ATTTCTTACTGGAAAATTCTTTACTTATAATTTACCTATTTTTAGCAGATAAGTATTTTAGTAGCCTGATTAATTATTTGCTTTCTTAGCTAATTTATCTTTTAGATTCTTAATTCTTATTTTTTTTAACTAAATTTACTATAATATTATTTATCTAGATAGGCGGCTTATCTCTATATATACCTGCTTTTTTATTAATAAAAATTAAATTTAAATAGAAAGTAATATTATTATATAGGCCTTTATTAGAATAGACTTAGTTGGTATTTTAAATTCTATTTTTATATATTTAGTTAATTGCTTAGTTTTATAGCTAAGGTATTCTATTTCTTTAAATTTAGTATAGATTGCTAGATTTCTATTGTTTAAGTATATATAAAAAATTTAGAAAATACTTAAGCTATTATACTAATAGCCTTTAGATATTTAAATTATTAGTATATTATATAATTATTTTAAAAGGGATAAAAGCTTCCTTCTTACTAATTTAACCTATCCTCTATTTATATAGTACTTAATATATCCCTTCTAATAGTCTGCTATATAGTTTTTATAGTTATTAGAGTAATATTCTTATATTTTATAATACTAGTAAATTTAGGGGTATTAATTATAGCCTTATATTATATTTATCTTAAAATATTACTTATTATATAATTAATTAAATACTTTAAATTATATAATATTTATAGTAATATTTCTTAAGCTGGCCTGGGTCTATTATTTATAATCTAATTATAAAGAAATATTAGACTCTTTTTTTATATCTTTATATTCTTTATTATATTAATAGTAAGATCTTAAAATATTTATAAAAATATATCTATCTAATTATTTAATTTAGCTTTAGGTTAAATAAATACTTTTAGTACTATTATAATAGAAAGGGAGTTTATATTAAATATAGGCAGACCTGGGGTACTATAATTTATAAAATCCAGTAAAATACTTAGAGGGAGAATACTCTCTATTTAGTAGGCTAATATTACCTATATATCCAGTAGGCCTTTAAATAGCTTAAATAGTTATTTATATAGCAGGCTAGCTAGGTTATCTAGAGTTATCTAGCTGTAATTATATAAAGGTATTATAATATTATTTAGTATAATATTATATAGTACTCTTAACTGCAGAAGGGATATCTTTTAATTTATTAAGTTAATTATTTTATAGAGGTAGAAATACTTATTTATTTATATTAAAATAAGATTACAATTTCTTATTATTAGAGAAGTAGTATTAAAATAGCTAAGTTAAGTAATTAGTATTTCCAGCTAGTTCTAATCCTATAGTTAAAAGATAATCTTAAGATTTTATACTACTTCTAGCTATAGACTTAAGTATATAGTATATTTAACTTACTATAAGACCCCGGGGTCTATATATTATTAGAAGTAGGCAGCTTTTTAATTATTTAGAATCTTATAATTATTTATATATAGCTTGAATTCTTAAAGGAATTTTATTATATTTTGACTAAAAAAGATTTATTTAAATAGTATATATAATTTCTTTATTTAGTTTCCTCCTACTAGATTAATTATCTTAGAGATAAACTGTTAGAAATTTAGATTCCAGGCTGAAGTAACTATAGCTGAAATTAGAGTAGATATTGGAATTAGTAAAAGAGTTAACTTAACTAATAGAGGGGGTATAATATATATCTCTATTACTCTTAGAGGGTTTCTAGGTATCTAATTAGATACTTTAAGAGATCTTTATTTTTTTAAAGGTTAGTTTAATAAAGAAATCTAAGGCTTAGTATATAACCTATTAGATATTATATCTATAAGAACTCTTAGTAGTCCTTTTTATATCTTTAAGTATAAAATTACTACAGCTAGTAATATAATCCTAAGATTTATAGTTAGTAATTAAATTATTAGAATCTCTATAATTTAAAATATATCTATCTCTAGTATCTTTAGAAATAAGTATTTTTACTAAGGATACTCTTTCCCCCTTAAGCTCTAATTTCTTTTCTTCTCTTTTATCTTCTATTTTATTAGCTATACTAATAGCTTCTATTTTACTTATTTAATAGTAGGACTTCTTTTTTTAGTAGTATTTACTTCTATCTTTACTATATTTATTACTGTACTTTCTTATACTAATTTTATATTTATTATTAGGTATTCTTTTTTCTATATTAGATAGTTATTAAAAATTGCTAAATCTATTAAATTAGCTCCGGAAAAATATTTCTATTAGCTTATAGGTATCTAATCTAGTAAGCCGATACTACTTAATAGATTTATAATATCTAAGGCCGGGTATTAGGTTATTTTTAGAATTAAATCTCTTTCCTCCTCTAGACTTACTTAGACTTGGCTTTTTATCTTTCTTTTTTCTATTATTAAAGTAAATTCTAATAGCAGCTTAAAAATACTACTAGTAATAATTTCTACTAATAGCTTTAACTATATTAGCTTATTATCCTATTATAACCTTTAAATTTATTAGTAGGAGATATATTTAGTATGGACAGAGCCTATATAATAAGAGTTAGAAATACCCTATAATTTAGAAATAAAAAAGTCCTACAGCTAAAACCAGCAGATAGAAATTAATATAGAAAAGATATTAAGTACTTAATTAAGTACTTTTAAATAGAATAGAATAGAATAATTAATTAGAAAGGGATAAGAGCTGCTATAACAGCTAGTTAAATAATAAGTTAAGTAATAAAAATTATCTTTAAAAGTTTAAAATTAAAAAAGGGAAAAAATATACTCTTTTTTATAGAGGATAAGCTTATTTTTTAAGTAGTATTTAATCTTATAGGCTAGACTTACTGCTATTAAACTCCTGTATATCTATTAGTATTATTATAATAGTCTGGTTCTTTTTACTTTTTAGTACTAGCTTAGTATCTTATTTGCCTTTTAAAGGTTTTTATTCTTAGTAGTTAATAAGGCAATTTGATATATAACTATCTTTATCTTTTTTATAAGAAATTATAAAGCCTTTAAAATTAACTTTAAAGAGCTACTTTAATATCTTTTAATCTGCTTTTTAAGATATTTAAATTAAGATTTAATTTTAATTATAATTTTTAGAGTTTTTAAAATTTAAGGGGTTAATAGCTTAGCTATCTTCTTAATTAGTATTAGTATTTATAGCTAAATATTAAGCTTTAAGATAATAGTTTCTAGGTTAAGAAGAATAAGACTAGCTTCTTTAAAAACCCCCCTAATATTTCTTTTTATTATAGTAATCTTATATATTATATAAAAAACTAAAAAGAATTTAATTTTTAAAATATAAATAATAAAATATCTAATTAATTACTCTATTTCTTAATTATAAGCTTATTTTAATATATTAAAATATCTAATATTAAAAAGCTAGAATAGATAAAAGAAATAAGATAGTATATAAAACTAAATAATTTTCTTTTTCTTATAATATCTCTTGAATTTAATAGAGTAGTAATTTTTATAGCTATTAAAAATTAAAAGATAATAGAAATTAATTAATTAATTAGTTATATATTAATTAAAATACTTAAGTTACTTAAAATTAATTTTATTATTAATCTAGCTATTTTAAGTTATTATAATAGCCTAATTACCTAAAAGATTACTTTTTTAATATTAATTAGTAAGATAATATTAGCCTATATTAATAATAAATAGCTAAATTACCTAGCTTTTTATATTTATTATTTTAATAATTATAATTTATTTTTAATTTCTAGGCTATATTAATTTTAACTTTAAATATCTTTTTATATTTATAATAACTATTTTACTTATAATTATATCTATAAAAAAACTAATTTTATTAAAGTTATAGATATTATTTAATTAAATATTATATTTTATAATTATATTTATTATAAGTTAAAATTAATTATAAATAATAATTAAATTTTTATATTTAACTTTTTAATAGTTATATTTATAAAAAAATATATCTTTAAATTTAAATATTATTTAATAAAATTATAAGCTTAATATATACTAACTAGTAGTATATTATAGTTAATAAGTAATTAATTAGCTATATCTTTTATATTATATAGCTAAAAAGAGAATTCTTATAAATCTAAATTAAAAATAAAATAAATAATATAACAGGCAGTTAGGGACACTTAGGCTAGCTAGTCGCTAGCGGGGATATCTCTAGGGTGACCCGGATAGGGTTAAAAGAGAAGATCAGTGCCGTTACTAGGGGAAATCATCGTTTTTCCTTTCATCAGAGATTCTTCCTAGAAGTCAGAGAGGCCAAAAGGGCTCGAGGCTACTAGGGAGTCTATTAATTGATTGCCTTCATTTTTGAGAGATTTATTTGAGCCTTCTTGCCGTCACTACGTTCCCTGTCCAACTTCCGTCTTCGACCTCCCTCAGATATCGGGCTGCCGCAGGCCCCATTGATGCCTTGCCAGCGAACCTTCCTGCGACCGACCCGATATTCTATCTCATGAGATGCTTCCCTATCAGGAGACATAAGCCTCAGACTGGCCCGACCTTATACGCGTAATCTGGTGCAGCTTCGGGCTGACCGGCCAAGACGCCTGTGTGACGACTCTCTGTGCATTTCCCCTAGGGTAAGTTAATGAGTTGGGTGTTGTTTTCCGTCCCTTCCTGCTGCTAAAATAAGAATTTCTTCTTCTAGATTAAATAGCTTATATAAATTTAAAATAATATTATATCAAGACTAAATACCCTTTTACTAGCAACCTAGAGTATAATAATTAATTATATAGATCTCTATAGCGCGTCGGATATATAGATTTAGGTTATTTTAAAGGGCCTAAAGAGTAAGGAGTATTCTAGTCTTATAATTAGACTGTGATATACTGGGTAGTTGAGAATTAATTAATTAAATAGAGAGGATATAGGTTGAGGGATTTTTATCTTACTTACTTATTTATCTTACTCGCATATCAAGTACATTATCTTTTATATTCTTTTTAAATTTACGGGATATAGATAGTTAATTTCTAGTTCTAAATGCAGTTTAAAGAAGTCTGCAGAAACTAAAAAATCACATTATCAGGCCGATTTCTTCTTCTCGGCAATAATCTCCCGGAGTGCACGACCAATAGGTGCCCAGATAGGCTCCGGATCAATAGACACACCCACATCCATATTGTTGTGACAAATAGAGACAGCGATCCGGTCGCGAATATCAGCCCAGGCAAGAGAACCTCCCGCCCCTGGACTATAGATGACCTCACGATGGTCCCCAACAATCGGGTCCGAGGCTCCAACTTCTCCGCCGAGCCAGAAACCAGCAGCTCCAAACCAAACAGGGATCGGCAAAATCTTGTCCGGGTCTCGTGCACCTTCTCGAAGCTGCGTTAATGTCTTGACGTACTCGCTGGAGAGAATCCTGACACCGTCCAATTCACCGCCCTCTGCAATTGCAGCAAAGACCCGAGCAATAGCTGGCGCATTTCCTATGGCTCCAGCTCCTGGGTCCACGGCCTGCCGCATAACCTTGAGGTTGTGAACATTTGCACCCGGGAATACAGGCATGGGGCTGGTGTTGTATATATCGTCGAGGAAGGGTTCGTTGCCTCCGTAGAGTGTCGCCACTCTCGGGAGATCGGCATCAGGAACGCCGAGGAAGAGATCCGTGATGCCCAATGGTTTGCAGATCTCTTCTTGAACAAACACATTGAACGGCCGATGCTTGGGGTCTGTTCTTCGTACCACTTCACCCAAGATCCAACCCCAGACCAGCACGTGGTATGCGTTTGCGGTGCCTGGGGGAAACTTGGGCGTGAATTTTTCGACTTCCTGCACCATCCAGTCCCAATCCGCCAGAAGCTCCGGCGTCACGCCGTCTGGCATTTGAGGAATACCAGCACGGTGGCATAGTGCTTGTCCAATTGTAGTAGTTTCCTTTCCGTTGATACCAAACTCGGGCCAATACTTGGCAATTGGGTCCGAGAGCTTGAGGAGACCGCGGTCTGCCTGCATGTGGACTGCAAGGGATGTTATGCCTTTAGTGACGGAGAAGACTGAGAATATGGTCCCGGAATCAACTGGACGCTTTTCTTGGACATCTGCATATCCGGCGGTAGCTTCAATGATCAACTCTCCGCGGTAGTATGCCGCTACAGATACTCCTGTCTCTCCACGGTCGAGGACGGCCTGCAAAGCCTTTCTCATTCGAGGGTCAGAAGTCGAGATGTTAGAATCCATAATGAAGAGTAAATGTAGAGGATGTAGAGATATGATAGACTGGGTTTAACAGAAACGATTGAATATGAGATATACAAACTGATTTATAGTTATTCCAGACTTGTTTGCAACATCGTCACTGATTCAGTGCATAAAGTAGTATAGATCTACCCCTAAGTTAAAAAACCCAAAGCCTTCCCCAGGCTGACTCGGCATTTCCTTGGGATCCTTTTGTCCGCAAGCGGGGTAGAAAAGGTACAGACCGCGCGGCCTTCGCGGGCGAGCATCTCAGAGTCTAAGTTGAAGCCTCTGTGACACGCGTACCCGATTGATCCGCGAGAATTCCGCTTCGATTCTTCCGCAATACCAGAGTCTCTTAGCTCGAGATTGTGCGGGGAGAAATATTTAGTAACTCGGGTCCGGGGCCACACAGATGTCCGAGTCTTCTAGACCGTTCCGAACAGGCGCGCGGATCGCGCGGAAGGCGCGGACTCCCTGACTAATGTAAATCACACATGAAAAGGTCTAAGAGTTAGCATGTGTCTATTATTTTCCAGTTGTGGAATTTCGCGCCGGCATGCGGCCTTCATATAAAATGCAGATAGCGCCCAATTAACTGAAGGCTTCTCGGATATCCAACCGCCATCATGAATGTTCTCGTCGTTGGTGGAACTGGTATGATCGGTGGGCATGCTGCTCTATATTTATGCTCGATCGGATTCAAAGTGACCATTTCCGGTCGCCATCAGCCTGAAGTACCATTACTCTCCAAACTCCCGTTTATTCGAGGCGATTACACCAAGGACGAGATTGCAATAGAGCAACTGGCCGACTTCGATGTTGTCATCTTCGCAGCCGGGAGCGATATTCGCCATGTTCCAGACAATGAAGACGGAGATGGACACTTCCTTCGTGTCAATGGCACCATTGTTCCCGCCTTTGCCCGGCTGGCGCGCGATGCTGGCGTGAAGCAGTTCATCCACTTGGGCAGCTTCTACTACCACGTTGCACCAGAAAAGGTCAAGACCAGCGCTTACGTGCGGTCGCGCAAAATGGCAGCGGACGGAGTAGTGGCTCTTGCGACACCTGAGTTTTCCGCATGTAGCTTGGATGCTCCCTTTGTTGTTGGGACAGTGCCGGGAATGCAGTCGTCCATCTTCATCGCCATGACTCGGTATGCTCAAGGCACTCTTGGAATTCCCCCATACGCTCCGCCTGGCGGGGCGAGCTTCATTTCGGCTCAGTCGCTTTCCGAGGCAATTGCTGGCGCGATTGAGAACAGTGGCAAGGTATCGGGCAAGGCACTTGTCTTTGGGGACGAAAATCTCACCTTTGAGGCCTACTTTGGCATGTTCTTCCGTGCGCTCGGCCTGAATACCAAGGTTGTAGCTTCCGGTGAGGACCATCCACTTCTCCCTGAAGCCACTAGATATGCAGGCAATGTAATGGCGTCGGTGGAGACTACGCCGGACGTTTACGATCTTTTGGGAAGATATCGACGGGGCGATATCTATAGGGCAATACAGGAGATTGTCTCGCAGTATAAATAGTGAATACATTCTAACGAACTTTCCCTGCTGTGAAGATGTGGGCAGTATGAAATGGGCATCTACTGCTGGCACTCTTCTTATATATGAGACAGAGGCAATATTTGGACCTTGTGAAGAACGTGCTGGATTACCAATAACCCACAACAAACCCATATCCAGGGCACCACGGTACAGACGAAGCCCAGAACCAGAATGCATTAGACAACAATGTCGACATCCGATTACTTCTGGATTTTTCTTCTGCAGCTCACATGGCTGAGTTAGTCTATAGGTTTCAGAGTACTCTTCAGGTAACATTAAATTGCTAATGAGGGCGGTTTGCCCGGACTCCCTGGCGCGGATTCCGTGGGCGACGATCCCACACCGACGGTATCCTCAGCCCACGGATCCCGTGGCCACGGACTTAACCATGCGTATGTGACACTTGCCGTAGAGCTCCGCTTCTTCCCTTTATTCACTGATGCATCCACAGTAAAAGTACAGACATCTTATATCGGTACACTGTGGCAGAAGGTACCAAGTGTGCGCACATCCGTCTTGCAATATCAACAGGACACTACTATTCACCACGTTATCCACATAATTTGCGCTCTCGCATTTCACTATGCCTTCACATAAGCCAACGCCTCCTCCTTATGATGTCGCCGTCGATGTTGTCATCGTTGGGGCCGGATTTGGCGGTTGCTATGCACTTCACGAAATGCGTCGTCAAGGCTACACAGCCAAGATTCTTGAAGCTGAAGCTGACTTCGGTGGTGTTTGGCACTTCAACAGATACCCCGGTGTCAGGGTTGACTCCGAGACTCCTGTGTACCAGCTAAGTCTGCCCAATGTCACAGACTCTTTCAACTTTACAGAAAGATTCCCTGACGGCGAGGAGCTGCGGCGATACTTTGCCCATCTGGATCAGACTCTAGATCTACGCAAAGATACCATCTTCAATACTAGAGTCATTGGCGTTCACTTCGATGAAACAAAAACTACATGGTCTTTCTCCACAGAGTCAGGATTGCGCGCTACCTCCCGATACGTCATCTTCGCGTCCGGGTCGACCAACAAGGCCTTCATTCCCAATTTCCCCGGCATCGAACGGTTCAACGGAACCCTTATTCATCCTTCATCCTGGTTACAGAATCTTGATGTAAAGGGGAAGAAGATTGGAATCATTGGCCAGGGTGCCTCCGGAGTCCAAATACTTCAGACCCTTGCGAAACAAGATTGCGAGGTGACCGTGTTTATTCGGACTCCCTGCACAGCGATGCCGATGGGTCAGAGACCCATATCCACTAGAGAGTCGGAAGAGTTGAAGAATCTCTATGACGGTATCTTCACCAAGGCAAAATACAACAGTTCGGCAGGGTATGCCTATAATCCCTGCCACGCTTCTTACAACGACCTAAGCAAAGAAGAGCGCCATCAATATTACGAGAAGCTATGGGCAAGGGGCGGGTACGGTTTCTTATCGAGCAACTTTCCAGAAAACATGTTCAGCAAAGAGGCAAATGCAGAGGTGTACGACTTCTGGGTAAACAAGGTGCGAGCACGCATGACCGACCCTGTCAAACGCGACATTGTTGCTCCCCTGAAGCAGTTTCAATGGATTGGAACAAAGCGGCCCAGCTTGGAGATGAACTATTACGAGATGCTGGACCGCCCTAACGTCAAGCTCGTGGACCTGAAGAGCACGCCAATCAAAGAATTTACAAGTGGCGGAATCACCACGATTGACGACAAAGCTCATGAGCTGGATGTTGTGGTTTTTGCTACTGGCTACGATTCTGTGACAGGAAGCCTTTATGACATGAATATCAACGACAAGGGCGGCAATTCGCTGCAGAAGAAATGGGAAGAGGGAATCAAGACGTATCTCGGAATGATGGTTCCTGGACTTCCCAATGCCTTCATCCTTTACGGCCCACAGGCCCCGACCGCGCTGGCAAACGGTCCTCCATTTCTCGAACTTCAAGTCGAATGGGTCACCAAGCTTCTAGATAATATGAAGAAAGACAAGGTACAGACAGTCGAGGTCTCTAGTGAGGCGGCAGAGGCATGGGGACAAGCCTCCTCAGACACGTTCGAAATGCTGCTCCATCGGGAGACTCCGTCTTGGTGGAATGGAGCGAATATCCCTGGCAAGAGGAGAGAACCGCTGATCTGGCACGGCGGTATCCCGGCTTGGTGGAAGGAGTGTTCCAATGCACTCGCAGATTGGTCCAAATTTACTGTCAGCAAGTAATTCGGTCCCAAGAACGATGATGTGGTAGCGGATAGAGACACCATCTCTTAAATTTAGAGGCTAAGAGGGAGCTGAAGGTCGCGCGATCGCTGCTGATCAGGATATAGCGGTTGCTGTGTGCTGTAGCCTGCTATCCTTTAGGGCCTATAGAAATCAGGAAGTACTTAGTGTACTTATATCTAACCTAATGATTAGGACTTACTTCTTATGGATAAGACTTTTTAAAGGGCCCTCCGTAAACCCCGACTTATCCGCAACAGATGAATTCCCCCCTGCACTGTACTTTTAGTCCTGCGAGGGGAGTTGGGATGCCCCACTCTGGCTGACGGCACAATGACACAATGATAGCTGTGCTGCAGTCTTAGCATATATCCGTGATCAAAGAGATCGTTGTATAATTTATTGATGCTGTAAATGAAGTTTGGCATCACATCCCGATGCATTTTCTCGGGCGCTCCATTCTGCCAGATGGTCAGTATTCTGTCCTGATATGTCTCAATGAAGCGGTTGTGGCTTGTGGTAGAGTTTTGCCTCCCGTCTCTAATAAAGCAAAATCTGGTGGCAAATTAATGGAGTACATTTTATTCAGATCTAGAGTTCAAATTGGCCGTCTTGCGTTTCGCAATGGAATGTGCAGCAGCCCAAGTGCATCTGCTCAGACACTACACAGGTTATTATCAACGGCTTTATACAACTACCTGCGCCAGTAACACGGCAGCAAGCTCCAACGGCGACTATATCTGCAAAAACGAAGACGTGTTGATTTCGGGATTATGCTGAGACTCCTGGACCAGCTTCCAGACCGGCTGCTAAGAATCCGGTCTGGACCGGGTCTCAGATTCCCGGCATGTGGGTCTTCCGGTCTCAGACCCCCGGACCTCGGTCCGGAAGGCTACCGGAGGCCGCCCACATCTTCATATACAAAACCGATCCCTAGCCCTTAGTTAGATAGGAAATGAAGAGCTTTTATCATCACCATCGTTCTATCCTCAATGTAGCAGATCGCGATCTGGGATTCTGGTGCCGAAGTGTGCAACTGCTAGATGGTACCAGAACAACCCACGCTTTTATCATAATATTTACAAAACCTGGCTGCCCCATTAACTTGGGGCTTTAATTACACTGTTCCTGCCTACTAAGCGCAAGGATAATATCTAAACCCTTGCTTTTTGTTCAACTTCGGGAGCTCAAGTTGCACTCGCTTGACAGCTAGACAAACATGTCGCCCTCCAGTTTAATCAAGACTATGGAATCCAAGCACACGATTGCAGATGCAACTTCCCCAAGCCAAAGAGAGTGAGGCGAATAAACTGGCTTAAGTAAAAACCATGTCAAAGAACCGGTGTGGGCGCAATTGTATATGTACCACCCTCTGTAAATTGTACAGCACTGTACTTCTAGACCCGTAGCGCCGTACTACGCATGACACTCGTCATTTACTCTGCACTTAGCTTAGTAATTGCAGTGGCAATCGTTAAAAAGGAGAAGGAAATGATGATATGATGAAATAAAATGTGATTCATGCATGATGACTATTTAAGTAATATCGATAAATTTGAAGCTCGTACTACACTCATTGTGCTGGAGACGTTCCAACGGACAGTCGATTTGATGAAGAATCCTCTTTTGGCCAAGTGCATGTGAACGCCAATACTTTCTAACGTTCGGTGTTTCTTATTAGTCGTATTATCGACAACCCCGGCTACGCTGCCCCACCGAACCTACCACCCAACAGCATCTTCAAGGCGCGTAAAATCTCATCAAAAGGGGCACCGCAAGATCAGCCAACCGTCACGACGTAGCAGGAGTCGAACCGCAAGAGACGCGTCGGTTCTGCGTCGTGCTATTTGACGAGAGGGCTAAATGGTTGTGATGATGGCGACTCCCGCGCTAGATTACTTCAAGACTGGTCTCGACACGGAGGATGGCCACAGCACCAGTGACGCTGAAACGCGTCGCGATCCTGTCAAGAGGGAGTTGAGTTCTTGCGCCATGTCTTCGAGACCGAGTCCAGCGAAACGGATACGGATCTCCAATGACGATCCCGATGCCCAGGAACAGATGCTAGGTATGTCACCAAGTGCTCACCTCTCATGGCACACGGGCTAACGCAATCTACAGAAAGAAGCATGTCCAGGAGCGTGTCCGTTATGAATAGCTCAAGCCGGCAAGGCCTTTGCTTGAGCCCTCAGGACCTCGAGATCGAGCTGCGACTCGCTTCCGAGTATCCTCTACGTCGCTTGCCCGTCTCAGCAATGCGTGAGCCCACCACGCACATGAAACAGTTCGCCACGCTCCGGACGACGCCCGTGATACCATTAGAGGCCAAGGTAAGTTTCACATTCCCATCTCTCTTCATGAGTTCTGACACCGAGACGCAGGCCTTGGTATCCGAACAATCCGGCTGGGCACATACGCCAAAAGACAGCTGGTTTTACTGCCACCAAACTAACCCACCCCTAGACGTCGGAGCAACATATTCCGATTACGTGCACAAACGCATTGTAAACATCCGGCGCAATGCAGTGTCTTGCAAGCAGAAAATGGAAGATGAAGCCAGCTGGAACGAGAGTGTTAATTCGTCATTGCTTGAGCTTGCGTTCGGTGATGACAAGGTCACAGATGTTTCTTATCGCAACATGTACGCCAGTCGGTCTTTCATAACCCTTAGTTTTCAAGCTAACACGACCCAGTTCACGATGCAGCATCCAACCCGAGCTGCGCGATCCAAACCCGGTTCTAGCGGATCCCAAGATCGACTACGCCGTGCTGCTCACCGTGGAAGAGTGCCATCCGTTGACAGCGTTTCTCAACCAGCTCCGAACTCTTGATCCCAGTCGGAATCACACGACACACGTGCAGCTAAGCGATGGCGCTAACACACCAATAAGTATCGGTATCAAAACAGTGAGCGGCCAGGATGATGGTTCCATACGGGGCAATGCGCAGCTGGCCGCCTGGTTGCGAGCCCAGTTCCGACATCTTGCCTCATTGCCAAAAGCCGACCCTGAGAATCTCCCTATTATCCCTTTTGTTTTCGTCCAAGGTGCTTCATGGCGCATTGACTTTGCCCAACGCACCAAAGATGAGCTGGTACAGTGCCCCTACTCTCTATCCAGTAGCCGTATCGTCACTAACTGAGAGTCTAGATTATCTGGGATGGCTTTTACGTTGGGTCATCTGATGAGATCCACGGCTGCTATTGCATTCTTGCCGCCCTCGCCTTATTAGAAGACTGGACTCTGGATCCATTCCTCGACTGGTTCGAACATGCCATAGGGGCTATAGAGAAAGATGATGATGGACAGGTTGCGGTGTATTATGGCAAGCCCCCTGGACAACGCAGTGTCCCCTACGATGGCGGGCTTCACATCTTTGGCCAGGAGATAAACTACGATACGTTGGGTTACAATGGCTTTGGCTACAATGGTTGAGGAGTAAAAGTCATCAGGGACAAGCCACTGGTATATCCCATCCCCTTTTTCTCACGCTCACACCTCGGGTGTGTTCTTTAGGTACCCTTCATTGTAATTGCTACAGGACATAATTCATTTGCTGTCGACTGTCCGGGTCGAGTTCGAAGTCAGCTAAATGAAACTGGGCCCATCAACCAAGTTGCCCCAGTTCTAGTTGCCTTCGAACTCGCAAGTCCCGATATCAACGCTTGCTACCGTATGGTCTAATATGACATAACGGGAGAAGCATATAGCAGAACGATAGCAGAAATATTTTATAACAAGTTTTAATTACTATAGTTTTAGATTAATTGAATAGCTTTGGACGCTTAAGACCTACAATATGCTTTGTCTCAATAGCCGTAGCCTCAGGGCTGCGAGCCTCCTCTATGCCAGCTCCAGGATGAAAGCCAATATCAGTTGGGTTTCCCTTGCGAACGCCAAAATTTCAAGGTTTGTATCTCCTTGATTCACTGAATCTAGGTCCCAGTTTACCTTCCTCCTCCAATCGGCACCTGCCGTTGCTCAGGCACCTCGTGCTTCTCATGACGTAGCTACCTACCCTGGAGCTAAACTCACATCCGTGCACGAACCAATTACGTAGCTGGGTCGCTTATCGATAAACAGCTCTCCATCAACAGCACCACCACCACCCATTCTCTACTCCACGACGAGCTTGCAGCATCATCGGAAGCGCGCAAGATGTCATGACGCGAAGACCGTCACAATGCTGCCCGAACCGACGCTCACGCTGACCCTGCCCAGCATTAACGACGGCCTCACCCTCGACTGCCGCGTCTACCACCCGCTGTCGCTCGCTGCGAATCCCCGCGCCCCGCCATGGCAGCGACATGCCGCCGTGATTGCGCACCCGTATGCGCCATTTGGCGGCTGCTACGATGACCCCGTTGTTGAGACTGTGGCCGGACAGCTGCTGCGCAAGGGTTTTCTGGTTGGCACGTTCAACTTTCGGTACGTCGTTGCTGCGATGCTATCGCTGTGATTTGGAATGTCGAGATTGAATCTAGACGGACTGTCACCGAGGCTCCAAGATAATTGCTAACCAGCGCCGTAGCGGAGCGAGCGGTTCGGCAGGCCGGACATCATGGACTGCAAAGCCTGAGCGCGACGACTATGCGACAATGGTAGCCTTCATCGTCTACTACGTTCACCACCTCGATCCCTTCCGCCCGCATTCTTCGTCTTCAGATGTATTCGGTCCGTCGCCAGACACGTTGAGCCCACCTGGCGATGCTCCGGTACCGACTATCCCGCCACCCGCGCCCCCAGTTCTCCTCCTGGGAGGTTATTCCTACGGCGCCATGATCACCACCCAGATCCCTCCGCTGCACGTTATCCTCGAGCCGTTTGCGTCCCCGCTCGCTGGCTCCGACGCTGCCGAGGTTCGTCTCCGGGCCGAGCACCTCGCCCAGCAGCAAAATGTCGTCCTGGCAAGTGCTCGTTCCGTTATGCTGGAGCGTGGAATCAGGAGCCCTAGCAAGCGCGGGGTGAGGATTGGAGGCGACGAAGGAGGAAGCCCTAGGAAGAGTCACGAAAGCCACGGCGGTCGGCGAAGCTTCTCGCTTGATGCCGAGGATAAGATCCGCAGGGGTGTGCACGACTTCGTGGCCAAGGCGAAATCAGGACGACATGGCCACAGGTTGTTCCACGCAAAGTTGGACAGTTATGATCGAGCGATTACGCCTCCAAAACCGCCCCCGCCGCCGGAACCGCAGCCGGATGAGAAACTAGCCGCCATACGAAACCTGACGATACCTGGTGCAGCCTACCTTTTGGTGTCGCCGCTCCAGGGTCTAGTCACTCACCTCGCCACCATGTCACTGGTCCCTACCGCACTCGCGAAACAGAAGAGCCCTCAAGAAGCAGAGGCAGAGGAGAAGCTCGTTCGAAATCCCACCCTGGCGGTGTTTGGAGACACGGACGTCTTTGTGGCGTCGCACAAGCTACGGGGATGGGCGGCACGCATCGAGGGGCGCCAAGGGTCTAAGTTCAAGGCGCACGAGGTCACAACTGCGGGACACTTTTGGGTCGAAGAGGGAGTTTTGTATCGAATGAGAGATGAAGTTGCCGCGTTTGCGGACAAGATACTTATGAATTAATGCCGGGTGTGGCGAGGGTTGGTAATGAGTCGTTTGCCTCCACTGCAAGCTAGTTTCATAGAGTAACATGTGTTGAAGGGACTAAGCGTATATACTACATCCATTCAAGCTATAAATAGAGCTCTTCTTTTCCCTCGCTAACTTACTGGTCAACAGTGAGGAGTACGTAACGCTGAACGGTACTGGCTGAGTTCATGTGTTGTGTATCTCCGAAACTTCGACACTTGCAGCTGCTCGATCTATAGTGCTACCACCAAGTCAGTTGCCTGCAGGCTGCCTGATACGGCGTGAATCATGAAGTTTGGCCATGAATGATTGATACAATATGCGAGTGGTTTGCGGCGTTCAGAAGAGTCATGTTGCAAGGACTAGGCTGCTGAGCACTATTCCGGCGGCCATGAGACATGTTTCTTCCGTGTGGGAACTCCGCTGACAGAACAACACGAGGGGTCAAGATAATAGATTCGGTGAGTAACCCCACCTCAGGCTTTGAAACAATGCAGCTACGTTGGAATCAGGACTTGCCAATGTAATAAATCAGGACCGATAATAGACAGACTTGGTTTGGCATGGCGACGGGCCGCTCATGACACTTGTGGGCGGGCTCTGTCTCTCTTCCGCACAATCTACAGACTCCTGAAACCGATAGTTGTGACGAAAGTGAGAAAAAGGAAGTCGGAAAACTAAACACGTGGACGGCACTGTGGCGTGCTCTCGGTTGATGTCTCTCTAAATGTGCTTTGTCTTTGAGTGGCCGATAGCCAACGACTAGAGCGACGCGAAAGATCGGCGGCTTGGGCATCTGCGTGTCAGGATAATACGCGCCCTTTGCCGCCCAAAACGACCTTCGAATCATGGCTTAACATATACAACCGCTGCAACCGCTGCCGCCGTCTGTGTCGGACATGGCCCGGAGGGGCTTAGACCAGGATTCATCTGACCCAACGTCTTACATACTCGGCTCGGAAACGCCGCTAAGGATCGAGTAGCCATGTAAGAAGCCGAAGGAGCTGTATGTAATTGAAGAATCGACACATACGGATCTCTATCACAAGGTGGAATAAGCTAGTGCTAAGTCGGCAGCGTTCTTTGGCAAGAGTTTCTAGAGAAGCATGAAATGGCAGTACGGAAGGGCATGGCGAGAATGTAGTGTATAATGTACTGGGTATATTTAACAATCAATGCCACACGCAGTCCAATGGGATGACGGCGGGATTGCTATATTACATGGTCGATCTATACCTGCAAGCTAACGTGATCCATCTCTTGCTTCTTCTCCACCTCCTCGACTCGGCGCTCCAGATCCAGACCAGCCTGAAACTTGGCCATGTCCATGTTGGGCACAAAGAGAGGAGCCTCAGTGAAGAGATAGCGCATCTCCTCGAGAGGTCGCTTGGCGGTCTCAGGGAGGACAGCCCAGAAGAAGAGGGCGTTGGTGAAGTTGCAGACCTAAATTGGCATATGAGTGAGTGGGCGTGAGGGTGATATGTTTTGGAACTTACGATGAAGAGGATGTACCATCTCCAGCCAATGCCGTGCTTGTCGTCGAGAGCGACGGAAGTGGTCTGGCCAATCATGGTGTTAAAGGCAAAGGACGTCATGGTCGCAATGGAAACACCCTTGGATCGAGTCTTGGTGTCGAAGATCTCGGCAGGGATGATCCATGAAAGAGGACCGCAGGTTGCGCTGAAAGAGAAGTTGTACAACCAGGTCATGGCGATGAAGCCCCAGGCTGCGCTTCCGTTGTTATTGTCGGAGCCAGGAGGGAACTTGGCGAGCAGGATGGTGGCAATGATGAAGCACACTCCGTTGCCAACGTTGCCCCAGATGAGCGGCCAGCGACGGCCGAACTTGTCGATGAACAGGATGCAGAGGAACTGAGCAACCAGGGCGATGACGGACGAGATGGCCTGGTAGCGGAGCGTCTCGTCGCCGGCGATGCCGATCTTACTGTAGATGGTGACGGAGTAGTACTGGATGGCGCTGACACCGGTCATCTGGATCGAGGCCTGCAGGGCGCAGGCGAGGAAGAGGCGACGGAAGCAGCTGCGGTCAGTAAAGAGCTCCTTGTAGCTCTTTGCCTCGGCTTCGTGCTCGCGGGCAATGGTCTCCTGGATCTGGTCGAACTCGGCGCGCACCCAAGCATCGTCGGTGTTGCCGCCGGAGTGCAGGCGGGCGAGCGTCTGGAGACCTTTATCGACACGGCCGTGGTCAATCAGCCATCGCGGCGACTCCGGGAAGAACAGAATCAGCAGGGCGAGGATGAGGGCGGGGATCATCTGGATGCCCAGCGAGACACGCCACTGGCGGGAGTCGTGGTCACTGAAGCCGATGTAGGTACCTAGGGAACAAGGTCAGCATTCGTGATGGAGGCGGTATTGGAGCTTGGGATAGTCATTACCATATGAGATCCACGCGGCAGACAGGGCACCAACTCCAAGCATGAACTGCTGAAGGGCAGTGACCCGGCCTCGAATGCTAGGGTGGCACAGCTCGGCCTGATACAGGGGGATGATCATGGTAAGGAAACCAACACTGTAAAGCAGGTCAGTTTCTGATGGAACTAATACAAGATTACACGGTCAACTCACCCAACACCAGCAAGACATCGTCCGGAGTACAGGTACTTGATGTTCTGAGCGCCGGTCTGCAAGGCTCCGCCGACAAGGAAGATACACGCGCCGATGAGGATGGTCATCTTCCGGCCGAGACGGTCGCCGGTGGGACCCGCAAACATGGCGCCGAAAAAGGCGCCCCCGGTGAAGATGGAAACGACGGCTCCGCTGCGGGAGGGTTAGCTGAGCCGGGGGGTATGACGTTTCATGAGGCAACATACACTTCGTCGGGGTTGTCTCCAAAGGTCTTCTTGAAGTTGCCTGACGCAATGGCCTCGGCGATGACGCCCAGGTCGTAACCGTACAGGAGAGAGCCGAGCGAGGCGAAGACGCTCACGAGGAACTGGTACCACTTGGGTGGGAGAGCCATGATGGCGGTGGGAGGAGAGGTAGGTGGTGATGTTATGTGGTTGACTTGTCACTGTTTACACGCACAACGACAAGATGTTGTCAGTCAACTCGACTTGAATTGACTCCAGATGCCAGAACCAGAAGGGCGCGCGTTGACGAGCGGCGATGCCCCGGCCTTTTAAGCATCTGGCATCGAGCTTCGCATCAATGCATCCATCAGTACATCACCCAAGTGACAATCCCGACTTCATCCATGATCCATGCGGATGCAAAACCCCATCCATGCGGGAGCATGCCCATACGGCCATCAATCCATTCTCCATAAGTTACAGACCAGGGCATTTGCAGGCCATGGGGATAGGATAGAATGGGCCCTCTCCCCTTGACGCATTCCCGAGCCACCGACAGACACGACACGACACGACAAACGCGCGTTCTCCACCCATGGGTCACTACGAGCATTCCGGGCCCGAAGGCCAGTACGACAAGAAGATGTGTCAAAACGGCCGTCCCGACCAACAAAAGGCACACGAGAAGGAAAAGACACACGGGGACGGAGACCCCAAGCTTTCCCCGCATGGCTACGGGCCTGGGTTGGCGGGTCCCGTCCCGGAGAAGACTTACCGCTTGTGGGTTATCTATCGAGTTTGGGAACTTGTTGTCAACTGGGCTGAGGAAAAGACGGACGCTGTGAAATGATGCGAGGATGCTTTTTTAGTCTTGTGGAGAGGACTCCACCGGGCGATGGGGAGAGTATGCGGAAGACGATGGCGGGTTTGACGTCTTTTTCGAGAGATTTGTGTCTCTGTCTATTTACTGTTCCATCTTTCTAGCTAGCAGGTTCTCGGTCTACTATGCCCAAGTCCGCGTATACTCGATGCACAATATCATGACAGCGCCAGCCATGGTATAGTCATGATAGTGCCGCGGCACAACAGAGCTGGTTGGGGATCCCCCCATGGGACCCCCACATGATCCTCGGCCCCCCAGACAACAAAACGGAACTTGTCCCGTTCTCGTCTATCATCCAAACTGACAACGGACAATTTCGATGCTATTTCCCGAGACAAGGTGGACTGGCGATTGCACCCAGCCTCATCGAGGCTGGCGTCATGCTCATCAGGTCCTCCAGGTTGCCCATGTTCCGGCACTGTTCCGCTTGGCAGACAAACAGGATCATCACGGCCAAGATCCAGTTCTCAAATGCCATTAGAAGCCATGACTGGTGGAAGGTTGTGACGATAGGTCCCCGAGCTCCCCACAAGGCAGGCCACTGGGCGAAGCAGCTCCTCACGTCACCTGAGGCCAGCACCGCAACAAGCGGGCCACACGCACCGGGGTTTTTGCAAGTCTCGTGTTGTGCGGTGCGGGGACGCTGCAAGCAGAGGGGAAAGAATAAGTTGACTTGTTAGTGGGCTTTGCAAGCAGCGAGTCGTTGGGTAGTTCGTGAAGCGCGCCAATCGAGGAGCTCCGCTTGGGAGGCTGAAGCGCACGAACCGGAGGCGTGCTGGGCGTGCGGGGCTGTTATGGGAGGGCCGTGATGCTGTATTGTGAACACATTGGTATTAATTAGTACTCAATAGTGCGACTGCCAATTGTCACATTATCGTCCTAGGGCCTGCCTGTCAAACTAGAGCCTCCTCTCCTCTGTCTTTTGTTGGTGCGGCTGGTTGGCTGGTGTTGTTAAGGACCCCGGCTTTCACCGGGTTGCCCGGTTCTGTCACCGCCGAACCACCGAAGGCGGATCCACCCGCCCGCTCGCCGGGGGTTGATAAAGTGCTAAATCGTGGGCTTCACCGTGCCCCGCGTTTCTTGTAATTGGGGTTCCCTCCTCTCGTGACTTTTGACCTTGAGCATCTGAGTGACTTGCGTGACTTGATCTGAATTGATTTCTTTTTTCTTTCACTTCACCTCGTACCAATAGACACTTCACATCATGGCCACCTTCACCCGCATCCCCGACGAGGACCGTCCCTCCATCACCGTTGACCCCTCGGCCGTCATCTCCAAGATCGAGGACAACACCTACGGCGGCTTCACCGAGTACGTTGCCGTCTTTCCACTCTGCCCATTCCCTCTCACGGCCTCTCCTCCAACTCCCATTCGCTGCCTCTTCGCCATCCAATGGGCTGCCTCGAGGGTGGTACTGACACGCAACCCAGGCACATGGGCCGCTGCATCTACGGCGGCATCTACGATCCCGGAAACCCCCTGTCGGATGAGAACGGCTTCCGCACCGATGTCATCGACGCCTTCAAGGAGCTGCGCGTGCCCGTCGTCCGCTATCCTGGAGGCAACTTCGTCGCCACCTACCACTGGCTGGACGGCGTCGGCCCCAAGGAAAGCCGTCCCCCGAGGTGAGTTTCAGTTGGTTGAGGACCCCATGCACATTGTCCAACACTTGAATGTGTTGGTCGTGCAATCCTTGTCTTTCCCGTGAAGCTAATACTCCGTTCAGACCGGAGCTGGCGTGGATCGGCACTGAGAGCAATGAGTTTGGCACAGACGAGTTCATGAAGTGGTGCGAGGTTGTAGGGACCGAGCCATACTTGTGTCTCAACTTTGGCACTGGTAAGTCATCCCTCTCATTGATCAACTGTCTTGATGCGGGCCATCTTGGTCCCTCGGTGTATCTAGAGCCAACCTGTTACACCGTCACCAAGCCAGCCCTTATGACATTTCTCACTCCTACTCTCACATTCACATACTGACCCATCACAGGAACTCTCGATGAAGGTCCGTTGCGCCGCCTACTTGCATAGTCATGAAACCCCATTCCCCACCTTTGCTAACCCTGCTCCAACAGCCCTCGGCTGGGTCGAGTACTGCAACTCCGACAGGAACAGCTACTACGCCAACCTGCGCCGCAAGAACGGCCGCGAGAAGCCTTACAATGTGCGCATCCCCTCTGATCATCCCCAACCTTCCGCTTACTGACCGCCGCTCCGCAGGTCAAGTACTGGGCGCTGGGCAACGAGTGCTGGGGCCCGTGGCAGGTCGGCCAGTTGACCAAGGAGGACTACGCCAAGAAGGCCTACCAATGGGCCAAGGCCATCAAGCTGCTCGACCCGTCTGTCGAGCTCATCCTCTGCGGCGAGACGGGCCACAGCAAATGGGACCAATACGTCATCAACGAGTGCATCAAGTTTGATCTCCATGGCCTTGGCGGCAGCACTACTGCCAGCCTGATTGACATGCACAGCATCCACATCTACACAGCCAGCTCCGACCACAACAAGAATGCCACGGCACCTCGGTCCGCGGAGCGAGCCATCGAGATTACTGCTGGCATGATTGATGTGGCGCGCATTGAGAACGGCGTCCCTCCCACTGTGCGACGACAGAAGATCTGCTTCGATGAGTGGAACGTCTGGGATCCCGTTCGCGCTCCCGGTGAAGAGGGTGCTGAGGAGAAGTATGTGCCTTGAATCCCATATCATCAACATCTCGCTAACCTCCTTCTCAGGTACACTCTCTCAGACGCCCTGGCCGTCTCCGTCTGGCTGAACGTCTTCGTCCGCCAGTCGAAGCACATCGGCATGGCCACCATCGCGCAGTCCGTCAACGTCATCTCGCCCCTGATGACCACCAAGGACGGCATCCTCAAGCAGTCGACCTACTGGCCGCTGCTGCTCTTCAGCAAGTTCATGCGCGGCTCCACCATCGCCGTCAACGTGCGCTCCGGCGAGTACCTCGGCGCCACGGAGCCCGCGTGGATCCGCGGCGCCATCGAGACGCCGTGGCTGGACGTCAGCGCCGCCGTCGAGGACGGCGTTGTGAACCTGGCCGTCGTGAACATCCACGAGGCCAAGGACTTTGCGACGGAGCTGCGCGGTGTAAGCGGCAAGGACGTCGAGGTGCACAGCGTCAGCGGCGCCAACGTCGCCGTTACCAACACGGACGAGAAGCAGGAGGTGGGCATCCAGGAGTCCAAGTGGGACGGCGAGGGTCTGTTTACGTTCCCCAAGCACTCGCTCACCATCTTGCGATGGAAGCTGTAACGGGCGGGTGTTCCGGATAGCGGTTTCGACTGTCTGTAACCCTTGGGGTCCTTCTATGGTCTGGTCGTTGGTGGTATTTGGAGCGGCTCGTTTAACAGGGTTCCGCGATGGGTTTTTCTGGTTGGCAATTTAGTTTAGAAGGTTAGGGTTACGAGTACGAAACTGCGAAATGATTGATGAAATTGGTCCCGTTCCATTGCTAATCGTTTGATGCTTGTAATTACGGGATAATTGTGCGATATTTGCTGAAACCCCCCAATATCTCCCGTTGTCGCTCGTTGATTTAGTTTTAGTTTGAGATTGCATTCGCTACCGTACGTCATCATCACACGCACTGTCAAGAACGGTTCAAATGTTCTGAAAGAGAGTTGGCATTTATCTTGAATTCAATTCAATTCAATTCAATTCAATTCAATTCAATTCAATTCAATTCAATTCAATTCAATTCAATTCAATTCAATTCAATTCAATTCAATTCAATTCAATTCAATTAAAAAAAAAAAAAAAAAAAAAAAAAACCATCACCTACAATATTGAAATATGTGTCAAAACCAATTCCCATCACTTGTCGAGGTTTCTAAGCTCAGAAGAAGACAGGTCTAGGGTAGACACCGTGCCAAGCCCGAGCCGAAAACAGTCCCACAACCAACCGGCGGTAGAAATTGAGCATCGGACTTAGCTCAGTCTAATTATGGACGGCGGCGCTTAAAACCCCATCGACAAGCCGTGTAAGATTTCTAATTCTGGGCCTTGGTATCGCCCGGAAATAGGTGCGTGTCTCTCTCGCTCTTAGCGACGCCCTCGCCTGTGTCTTCCGGTGGACGATGTCGTCGTCGTGAGATAATTTGGCATCGGATGGTTGCTGCAAAGTACACGTCGACATGGTGATCATCCCATCAGTCAATGCATCTGCCGCCCAGGCTTGGCAGTCTTCTCCAGCGTCCCAGCCCACAGGCCGGAGCGATTCTGCGACGAACAGGTGGGCATCCATGCGTGGCAGAGGAGATTAAACATCAGGTAGCCACTCGCCCACTGAACTGGCCAGCAGTGCAGCCACCCCGGCGCAAACATGGCTCTACCGTCAAGCCAGAAACATCATCAGAGTCCACGACACCAGGCGGCTCCGTCCCGTCTTTGTTCGCCCTCAGGTGCTCGCAGGTCCCCCGGCTCGACCTGAAACTGCCCCCGTGCGTCAGTACACGCCTGGCGCTGCTCAGCGACCCATTGTTATGGCCTCGCAAGCGCCTGGCCGTGGATGCTCAACATGCCAGAGATGCATCCCCAGGTACAGCGTGCGAGGAAGTATCTCGCCCGCAGATGACGGTGGGGAGATACACGCGAGCGCAGGCGCCCAATCACACGCCGCGACGCCTCCAAAAATAGCGCCGCTAGCTCCATCGGGCGCCGCTTAATTTTGAGTTAAACGCGCGCCTGCACACGACGGGCCAATTGGGCGGCCGCGGCCCCACACCAGCTCGCGCCCCTCGATTTTCCACGTTGCGCACTCAACACCAAAGGCCCGGTGTTGAGCAGATTTGGCACTTTCATTCTCTTGGACGTTGGCGATCCCGTCTCGCAAGCTCCAGATCCCTGCGGTACATGCTGCTTGTAACCCCCCTGCAAAGTTTCGATGCCTCTGCTCCTAATGATGCGCATGTCGTACCGGCTCCCCGCCCCTGGGACTCCCATTGCCGCTGCAGACCTTCCCGCGTCGCCCCAACTCGTTCGTGGCCGGCTGAACAGAAGAGGCTTCCCCTTCTATTATCTCGATACCCTTCCCACCCCGGTCTCCACCACGCCATGCCATGCAATGCAACGACCCCGTTCATTTCCTTAGGCGCCACCATCTCGCCGCGCCGTGGGTGGGATGTCTCTGTGCAGTCCCCCCCCCGAGCCTGATGTCATGGAAGCCTCTGAAACCTGCACGATGGCTGGCTCTGGGGTGCTTCAGGATCTGCTGGACCCTCGTGCTCGTCCGCTTCCGTCTTGTTAGTCCACCGCATTTGAACAGGACCACGCCATCGCCGCAACTGCCGCCAGCCGACGACGATCCCCCGTCTCGCACCAACAGTCCGGTATCTCTCTGTCAGTCCGATGCCCTGACCGCCACGCACCCACTCGCTGGCGCTTCCTCATACCCTTCCGTACCGCATGTGAAATCCCCCGTCTTGGACCCTCTGCCCACAGTCAGGAGACCCTCCGGACTCCCGCCCCGTAGCCGCCGCTCCCGGGAGCCTCCTAACCGCCCATCTGCCAGACAGCCGCCTCGCCGACCAATATCAGCGGCCCATTCGCGGCATACTCTCTGCCCCAGACACAAGTGTGTCGTTTCATTTCCCCTTTCGTAGCCTTGTCTCGTTTCAGCGACGCAGCCGCCCACGGCGAGATTGGTCTTTGTCTTTTGCCTCTCCTCTGCGATCCACCCGCGGCCGCTCCGCGAGCTTAAAGCTGCTTCATATCCGGCCCTCTCACGGCCTCGGTCTCCTCTCTCTCCTCTCCAAACACGCTCTCGCTCCACTACCAAGTTCCATCTTTTTTCCTATTTTCCTTTTCCTATTTTCCTAAGTCTCGGTCTCATTCGTCTCTGTCACGTTTTCCTCTGTCGCTTTCCTGACCAGCCGGGCCTCGAATTCGCTTTCTCATCCTCGTCTCCTTGCCCCGTTCGCTATCTCCTTACTCCTTATACCCTTATATGACCGTCCGGACCCTCTTGTTTCGGCCGATTCTCTAGACCACGGCCCATCTCAACGAGACCAAGATAGACCAGCCCGGTTGACCCAGGCCTTACCCTCTTTCCACGCGCCTAATCGGTAATATCCTCACCTCGCTTCAAGGATCCGACAACATCCCGGACATTTATCTCTTCCTTGTCACCAATCGACCTTGGAACCATTCGTTCTACCTTGTCCATCATCCCCACCAAACAATCACTTCCATCCACCATGCCGAAACACACCAGGAACTCGAGCAGCTCTCACAGCCGCTACGGAGCCCCAATGCCCGTCAATCTCGCGCCCTCTCCTCTGTATAGCCAGCAACGCATGTCTGCTGTACAGGGCAACTACTACAGCATCCCTACTACCTCCGCCTCCTCCATGGCGCTGCAGGCTCAGGCCCAGGTCCAGCAGCCCAACTACGACTCGTACGCGACCAGCACTGCGTCCGCCGTCTCCGTCCCGCCTCCCGTTCAACACCGCGCCAGCTCAGGAGCCTGGACGCCGCAGGATGACCAGCAGCTCTTGAGTGCCCGCATGCAGGGCCTCAACTGGGGTCAGATCCAGGCCAACTTCTTCCAGACCAAGACACCCAATGCTTGCCGCAAGCGCCACGAGCGATTGATGGAGCGCAAGGGTTCGGACGACTGGGACAACCAGAAGCTTCAGCGACTTGCCCGTGAGTACATGAGCATGCGCAAGGAGATCTGGAGTGGCCTCGCAGCCCGAACTGGAGAGAAGTGGAATGTCGTGGAGCAAAAGGTAAGATATCTTCCTCAACAACCTCAACCCCGTATGTCTTGTATTCACCGACTAACCCATGCCTCCTCCCCAACAGTGCATGTCCAACGGCCTCAAGAATCTGCAAAGCGCAGCCCGGGCCGCTGCCCGCCGCGACCGCCTCGAGTCAGGCGGTGCTCTCTCAGGGTATGACGACGACAGCGGCATCTCCGGCATGGGCCTGACCCCGGTTGACGAACTAGACGCATCCTATAGTAGCCCCGAGACGACGTCGTCGGTAATGCACTCGGCACACTCCAGCACGGCTTCGGCTGCGGCCACGTACCAGGCCATGCAGCAGCAGCAGCAACATCGACAGCAGCAGCAGCCTCACACCCACATGACGGCGCTCGGCGCGAATCCCGCAGCGTACGGCTTGGGTGCATACGGAGCCGGCTACGGAGGTCACGGATACTCATCGAGTGTGAGCTCTACCGCCAGCGCCGGACATGGATACGGAGCACACGCCGGCAATGGCCACAGCCAGGGAAACAGCCCGTATCTGAGCACACATCGACCCCAGAGTTCAGATATGACCCTCGGGGCCATCATTAATAGGCCCCGTGGTGGTCCTGGTGTCTAAGTGAGGACCGGTTTTGGCTGAAGGCACACTTGCACCACGACACACACACACACATCACTCATACCGGCTACAATACTCATACTCTCAATCACCATTTTCCTCTACGCTCTTCCTCAACACTCTTCCTCATCAATCTTCCTTTACACCCTCCCTCATTCCCTTATTACTCCTCTTGGCTTTCCCCTTTACACAGAGATTCTCACCGGTCGCCGCTATTCCTCCTCAGTCATTTTGGACACCACCATCAATCACTCCCGCACCATCAGTCCTTTCAGTCTGCTTTTTTTATTGTCCCTCTGCATGGCGAGAAGCCCCAGGTTACGGTGTTCACGGCGCTCTGGATAACGATACGATGATGATCAGCAACCTTGCCATTTTTCCTGCTTTTGTTAGTCTTTCTTTTCCCGTTGCTTGTTTTCAGTGGAGTTGGTTGGAAGGTTGCGTAATGGTATATGTTTTTCGGTTTCCCTTTTGGTTTTCCTTTGTTTTCCAAAATGGTGGCAACTGGCCGAGACGACTTTCACTTGTCTTGTACACTAGAGATAGAAATACCAGGGCATGCGGATGGATGATGGCATTGAATCTAGAATCTTGGAACTAGGTCCCCGCACTGAGAATACAACTTTTGCCTGTTTTTGTTCATTGTTTGTCTCCATCTTTTGAGTCTCATATATAACTTAGATATAGTTTACAATGGTGTTGAGTTCGTTTGCAAAAGAAATGTGACAAAACGAACCACGTCTCGGTGAGGCGGATGCCAGGTCTTGTCACATCCATTGAATGCCGCCCTGTCAATCATACATCTGTTTTACATTGCCGTCATCATCTTGACGGTTTGGCGTCTTGCAACCGACTGCTTGAGGTCTCTGCCGCCATGATTACCATCTCATCCAATTCCTCCTCTTCCCATTCGCCTTCATCCTCGCCGAATACGCTGTTCCACGCCCTGGTCCACATACCCTTCTTATGCAGAAGAGCCAAGATCATTACGCCTGGCAGATGCCAGACACTCGCCCAAAACAAGCTTCTGGCACTCCCATGGTGGCCATCGTGTTGCCAGAAGCGCACCGACTCCCGAAGGAGCCAGGCGTTGATGGGGAAACTCGTCACCGCAAATGACCATTCAGTGACGCCCACAGCGCATAGCGACACACAGAGAGGGATGAAAATGAGACTGTATCGGAGGGCAACCTGGGAGTTGCGCTTGGGGTTCGTCCATGCTAGCATGCGAAGACCAGCGGCCTTGTACTCCTCTCGGATGGGCCAGCTGAGGGCCATGAAGTGGGGGAATTGCCAGGCAAAGAGAAGTCCTGCCATGAGCCAACCGCCAATAGACGAACCGTCGTTGGCAAACAAAAGTTCTCGCCAGGAGCCATCTTTGGTGGCAGCTTCACCAGCCGCAGCAGCCCAGCCCATCAGAGGGGGAATACCGCCCACGACAGCGCCAATCCAGGTATTAAAGGCCGTTATGCGCTTGAGCGGGGTGTACATGCCGGCATATATAAAAATATTGGCGAGACCCAGGAACGAAACGGTTGGGTTGACACCAACATACAAGGCTCCCACTCCGGTGGCTCCGGCCAGGATAGCGAAGGCTACGGCGCTGCGTGTCGAGATGAGGCGTCTCACCAAGGGACGGTTTCGAGTTCGGCTCATCTTGGCGTCGGTGGTGGGTTCGTAAAGCATGTTGAAGGCGTTCGCGCTAGCTGAGCAGAGTGTGGTACCGGTCGTGAGGAAGAGCAATGTCAATGGGCTCAGGCTTGGCGTTTCGGTAGTGCTCGGAGCTAGCATCTCGGGGACTGGATAGAGCGCATAGGAAGCCATAGCCGATAGCACGACGAGCATGGTCAATCGGGGTTTTGAGAGTGACATCAAGATCGAAATAGTGCGGCGGATGGAGTTGGTCGGTTGCGCGGCTGCGTGGGAGGTCAATTGCGACGAGGCATCGAGCGGGAGAGGCTTTTCTCCGTCCGCGGCGGCGGCGGCGGCAGCGGCAGCGCGCCTTTGAGCTTGCCGGCGGCGATGAGGGGCGATATTCGGGTCGGATTCGGAGGATTCGGAGGAGGAAGAGATTGCTGAGTCGGCAGCTTCGGGGGTCGAGGCGGTGGTGGCCGTGGACGATATGCCACCATTGGCACGGCGGGACACGATGAAATCGAGGCAATTGGATCGCTCAAAGAGGCGATTGGATAGGAAGAAGGCAGGGCTCCTCAATGGAAGAACAGCGACCATCCGGGGCGCCTGAAAGGCCGCAGGTGACGACATCCATCGTCGCACGATCGGCGTCGCAGCAGCTCTGCTATGAGGGGCTCCGGAGAGCACTCTCCAGGATTGGAGCTCCGTGGCGGGGACGAGACATCGTGGTGGTCGCATGTTCACCTGGCGCTCGGTTCATGGCGGCCCGAGGGAAATCTCAATCCATTACCGTCGCGCGGGAGCTGGGGAAAGGAGAGGTGGTGCAGCGGCGCCTGGCGCGATGTTGGCTGTGGACGGTGGTACGACTCGGTGATGTGAGGGCAGATTTCCTGGAGGTTTTCGTCCGAATGGGGAAGTTCTGGGGAAATGGAAGCCGCACGTGATATGGCACGTGAGAGTCAACGGCTGAGTGGTTCGAGATTCCCCCACGTCCGTTCTTTGCTCTCCACACCACCTCCGCTTCGTGATGCCCCGAATATTTGCACTCCTCGGCTCAGTTGCCCATTCCGTTTTGTAGATTACTAGTTAGTGGCTGCCGCCCAAGTGGTCGATCAGGGCGAGGATGGTAAGTTGAGTTATCCAGCCGAGATGCCTGCAACGTATTTGGTAGCACGTAGTAGCAGTCCCGCTCCATTACATCCATTTACAATTCCACATCCCATATGATCGTGTCCTCCTCCTCCCCCTTCTCTTTGACGATCCCGCGTAATCGGAGCCGCTCTACGGTCGAAATGTGGCAGCCTAGAACGCGAATTACGGGGTGCGGAGAGAACTCGGGCTCAATTCAAGCGTCCCCACCACGATTCAGTATTTCGTTGGCAGCTGTAGCCGCAATATGGAGACGCCCCAGAGTCACCTGAAGAGCAGAAAGATGCCTTGAGAAGTTGGGACTCCAGGAGGGTCGCGTTGAGAGCGGGGGACGCTCCGTGGCATATGCCGGCTCGTCAACGTTAAAATCTAGCCACCAAACTCACCCTATAAGAATCGGGATGCGCGCGTCACTCACCGACGTCGGTTTCTTCGGATTCTCTAAACACCTTGGATTTCCCAATTATCTATCTGCCGTGTCTTTGGCCCAACCCCCTAGAGTCTCCCATTTGCATCGTAATCGCTCGTGCTCAACTTAACACCCTCGCCCCTTCACAATCATGCCCACCCTTCTGGAAGCCCTCCGGCAAACCAGCCAGGTCGATTGCGATACCCTCGATGTCAATGGTATGACTTGCGTAATGAAATGAGTGCTTAATGACGGCTAATGACTAATTCGATGCAAAGTGGCCAAAGATCTAGGTCCATTTGTGGATTGCACCTCAAACCAGGTATTTCTTTCCATCCTCCCAACCCGACATGTTTGTCGCCCTGCGGAACTGACGGTCCACTGCCGAATAGGCCATTGCCTTTTTTGAACTCACCAAGACCGTCGCTGGACAAATGCAGCTGCATCATGCTAGCCTCATCAAAGAAGCAGTCAACGACGCTCGGGGTACACTGAAAACGCTTCAAGGCAGCACGACGTTTGAAGGGTTTGTGGTGGAGATCATGGTATGTGAATTACTTTATGGCACGGGATGTTTGTACTAATTGACGCAATTCTAGATGGTCAAGCTGCAGCTGGCCACTGTTCCCAACTTGACAGGCTACGTACACATCCAGACCAACCCGAAGCTATCATATTCTGCGACTGCAACCGTTGAGAATGCCCTCCGTATGTCTTCGGTGCCTTTGATATCTGGCACGAGACTAATATTAGAAGCAGGCGTTATTCAAATCTTCAAGGCTCTAGCACCCGACTTTGACGCAAAAAGGGTCTGCATCAAGGTACCGGCGACCTGGGAGGGCATGCAAGCCTGTCGGACCCTGGAGAACAAGGGAATTTCCACCCTCGCCACCACCATGTTTTGCATGGAGCAAGCAGCCTTGGCATCGGATGCGCAGTGCACCTATATTGCTCCTTATGTTAACGAGCTCAGGGTCCATTTCGAGGCAGGGTGAGAAGTCCCGTTTGTGAGAAGACAGGACAATCTAGTGCTAACATGTCCAGAGCTGTGGATGAACACAAAGCCTTTGACTTCTGCCGCGAGGCCCAGGCCTACTACATCGCCAAGTCCTTCCGCACCCAAGTGCTGGCCGCTTCGCTCACGTCGGTTGACGAAGTCATGCAGCTTGCCGGCATCCAGCACGTCACCATCTCCCCCACCCTCCTCCACGCGTTATCTGAGCGCGACATCTCAGCATGGGATGGCAAACTTGGGGACTATTTTGCCCAGGGTCCAGCAAACAAGAGCTGGGAGACGCGGGACTACGCAGCCCTGGTCAAGGACGAGAGCGCCTGGAGGCTGGCTTTTACGAGGAGCGGCTTTGGCACCAGCGAAGGCAAGATCATCCAGGCTATCAACTACTTTTCCGACTTCCAGGAGAAACTGGAGGACCTTGTGAAGGAGTATTCTGGTTAAGATGAGGTGATCATGATATATATAGGTATATACGAGTCGTATCGACAAACCGATTCCCGATCGGACTTGAGTTTGGCGAATGTGTTTGCCAAGATAGCAACTTGATACGCAATTCCCGCACCGCAACTTGCTACTTCTGTCTTTTTCTACGCTTCTCGTTGCGTCTTCAAACCACCTCAGGAGGAGCGGACAGCTGCAGCAGCAGAGACACACATTTCTTTGTTCCTTACTTGGTGCCAGTCAGTCAACCCCTCTTCCTTTGAGGGCAGAGCGTATTGCTCTTTCTGCCAAGGGATTCTGAGCCCCCGAATATGGCCTGAATTATGTGGTGTCGGGCGTGAAGGTGGCATGATAGTGACCCAAACCGTATACATGTGGCTCTCTGCGCCTTGCGTCTTCTTTCAACGACAACACTACTCCGGTACCCGTGTTTGTTGGTGTCCTGGAAACCGCCAGGCTTAGAGTATCACAGGTTCTATTGTGTTCCCGATCCGGCTTGACACTTCTGAGTGGCTGCCACCCATCCTTTGGGGGACGGGCACGCAAAGGTACTTTCTTTGTTACACGCACCACAAACTCACTGTCCACCGAACAGGAGGGGAATACAATCAGTCCAAATACGATTGCGTCATTAGCATTTGCTCGATAAATACTGAGATACGACAAAACAAATCATGGTATGGTTCTCATCGCTGCGGTTCTTTGCATCTTCATCCATCTGCAAACTTGTGTTAATGATCACGGATTGCGGACGCTCGATTGAGCTTCCGCCCTCTTCGCAAAGACCACCCCCTTCATCCCTAGAAAACATTTCTTTGTTTGTAAACCAGACGCAAACCGCCCTGAAATACTAGAAGGCGTGAATGGCCACTACCAAGAACAATGGCATTTGCACTTGGACCCCCTTGCAGCCCATCTTCTTTCACCTCGCACGCACTTCTGGCCTTGTGATATAACCGGGCATGGTCCGTCACCTTCTTTTGACTCTGCAGTTTGCATCCCTTTGTTCTTCGTGCCATATTTCATTTCTTCATTCTTGCTGCCATCTTGCCTCTCTCACCCATCGGATCTCTGTGCACTTGACTTGGCCAGCGCAGCTTGGCGACTTGTCACAACACAGCCTGAGCCCAGCATGTCTGAACCGCCTCAATCTACCCCTTCATCACCAATAGGTGAACTAGAAGCTCAGTTTAACAGGGAATGTCTACCGTATGGTTATTTCCCACGGGATACGTCAGCCCGTGCGTATGTGCAATTCCATGTTGCCGAAGCGCGGCGCGACCCGTGGATCAAACCGACCGATGCGAAATGGAGATCGGTCCACGACAAATTTGTCCGACTGCTGAATTCCAAGAACAAGACGATTCGGGATATCCTGATGAAGAACTTCACCTATCACGAAGCAGCCCTGTTTATGCCATCGGATCGCCCTGAAATCAAGGAGTTGCAGGACAGACACACCGCCCGGTACAACTTGCTCCGCCAGGGACGGTTCAAAGATATTGTGCCGTCCCTCAGCGTCAAGTTAACCATGTTGTACTTTGGAGTCTCCGTGGAGCCCATGCAATCTCCTCTCGACGAAGCCGCCATGGCCATCGACGAGCGGGAGCCTGACGGTCCTCAAATTGCGGTCGCGCCGCCGCTGCATTTCCTGACGGCACACAAGCATCGCAACTGGGGAGATGATGCGAAACGAAGTAAGTCTATCAACGTACCTCCTCATCGTGAATGAAATTTTGCTAACACGCTCAAGTGAGAGAAGATCCAATCCAGCCCATCCCCGCTCCGGATGAGCCTAGACCTGTATTGACGCTGAGAGGAGGCGAGGCGGATCCGGAGCCTGAGCCTCCAGTCGAGACTGTCGACTACATGCCCGAGGGCGAAGAAGCCTTGAACTCCTCCGACAACTGGGTCTACCTCTATGGCCTCCTCGGCTGCATCCCATTTGCTCCGACCAAGTGGCGATCGTTCTCAACCGCCGTTCGGCAGCTGTTGTCCCTTCGCTTCAGCGATGATCGGCCACGCTACTTCATCTTTACCCAGTTTGATAAGGAGACTAGCCAGATGCTCAACCACGTCAAAGAACCCTTGCCTCTCACCAAAGACAGCGCAGTGATGAAGTTCATACAGAAACATTGCGCTGCTCCCACACACACTCGAGATTGCTGCGCCTTCTTCGTCAAGGAAGCCACCGACGAGCGTCGAGATCTCTCCTGGGAGCCTCAGCCCGAACAGTTCCAGGCAGACCTCGTAAAGATCGGATACCCCGTCTTCCCAAAAGAGCAAGAACTCAAATTACACGGCATTTTTCCTTACACTGAAGAGGCCGACCCGGAGGCAAAGATGGTCCGCTATGCGTACCTAGCGTTCCCCAAGACCAAGGGGGAGGAGGATTTCGCCATCAACAACTTCAACGCGAACCAATTCAACCAACATTTCCAGACCGCCGTCGAAGTATTGGTTGGGCGGCCCGAGGGATCCTTTCTCCGCGGCATCTATTGGTTGCGAGACGACAAAAATGGCCCTTTTGTTTCAGATCCGGAGCCTCAAGATATGATTTATGGTGCAATGGGCCTAAAGTTCTCTGTGTGGGAAAGGCTTCACCCTCTGAAAAACCCTCGAGGCCGGTGGACACTGAGGGTAACCCCTTTGGAAGAAGACGAGATCGCCCTCGTTGCGCCAAACGCCCATCCCAAATCCTGTCATATTTTAACTCGTGAACCCCTGGGAAAATCGCCATTCCCTAAGGCCGTTTCTACGATCAAGTCACTGGCGAGTGACTACAAAGATGACGGAAATACTGCTGCAAAGCAAATTCGGCTCCTCCCTGGCGCCACCGCTCTTGGCGAGGTCATTGATCGAGATCAGGAAGGCTTGATTTACCCCTGTGCCCCTGGAGCGGGCGAAGCTGCTGAGGTCGGCAAGTTTCTCCAGAAACTTATCGACGACAAGGCAGAGCCATTCGTCTTGGTTCATCCGATTTGGGAGCCTGGAGAGTTGCAATTCGTTCCCAGCTGGGTTGAGAAGCCGACACCCGGCCAGCTTGTGAATATACCTGACCTGGGTTCCTCCTTGTGGGATTTCATCGACTCCATCCATTTGCTGGCCCGAGTTGGGGGTCAACCGGATGTCTACGGTCCAGACGTCGACTGTGTCGTTCTCAAATCACGGAATTGCAAGGATAAGAGGAGTGATGTCGAATTCCCGTCCTTCGTCATCACACCCAAGAGCAAAGACGACGATTGGTATCGAATCCGCGCGCAGATCAGAGTCCGTGAAGTACTGGTGACAATCAAGGGCAAAATCGACACTGATTGGAAATCGTCCATTGCCAAGAGCAACATCTGGGGTCCGAGGATCTTTACAGGTAAGACAGCACTGCCAGACAACGCATGGGATGCTAACGAAGGACATTCTAGGAATACGACACTGGGATCCTATGGAAGAATGGGAACTAGAACGAGGATTTTTTCGAGCCCAACGTGAGGAGCCCGGAAAACTCTCAGAGGTAATCCCTCAAACCAGAGGTCCAGGACACGGCTACAGATTCGACGGAGGTGGCACTGGCTCGACACATCCAGAGCTCGAGGAACCTGTAGAAATCGAAGGTGGTTTCAAGCCCGACCGGCCGCGAAGTCCTCACCCCGTGGATTCAGAAGAGCGCTTAGAGACTTGGTCTGAGCAGCCGAGCATCCATGACCGCCCGGATGCGCATGCTTGGCTCGGCCTAGGAGGCTATCCCCCTCTACCCAAGATCCCCATCAACGCGCCCCCGGTCGAGGCCATTCTGCGTACCACAAGCTCCGTCCCGATGGTCTCCAAGGCCGTCTTGACGGTGACGGAGCAGCAAAAGCTCCAGAAAAACTTCTGGGCCTTGCGCAACTTCATCTTGGGGCGCTCGGTCAAGTGCCAATACAAGAACTGCGAGTTTTCGTATCGAGTTGATAGACCAGCCGACATAGAAGACCACCTCATGAAAGAGCATCGGGCGGACAAGTGTATGTGGTGCGACGAGCCGCTCTGGGAGTTCTGGGACCACGAGCAGAAGCTGCATCATCTTCAAACGGAGCATCGGGCTATCATGGCCGAGGCAGCCAAAGCCCCTGCAACTAAGACCGCAGCCGCACCTACAGCTGCAACTCGCCCCGGCAGACCTGGAGTGGGATCTCAGGCTGAAGGTTCCGTTCAGGCACGTTTGTCGGGGCTCGCAAGTCGATGGGTGGCCGCCAAACAAGCCCAGAAACAGCCCGCTGGCCAGCCAGGCCGCCCCAAGGGTCCTCCTCGTCAGTTGGTCTATCCCTTTGTCAATTGGTACGACTTTCCGGGGCCGGTTGTATGCCGAGACCCTCCCGAAATGTGCCGCGTTGAACACTGTCCAAGGCCGGACGTTCGTCAGCTTGATGGAGAGGGCATGTATCAGCACTTTCAAGACTACCACAAAGACGATGTGGAGACGCTTTGCCCCTTCTGCATGCTCCGTTTCTTTGAACGAAAGGTCGATGAAGACGGAGTCGGTACTTTAGCGATTCGGCCGCGGGAGGACATCATCAAGCACTTTGAGTGTCATATCTATCGCCTCTGGGATAAGATACGCGGTCCACGACAAAGTCAACCATCAGAAACACAGTCGTCGACTTCAGTGGACCCAGCTGCATCCACGAGTACGAATCAAGATGTTACACTCGTCAGAACATGTCCATTCTTCGAAGACTGCGGTGCCGTTGTGACGCTCATGACGAAGGAGCAGCTCAAGGAACATCTTCGAGCCAACCACATGGAACATGTCCACCCCCCTCGTCCATCACGTTTTGGTCTTCCAGGATCACTTGATAGGGCACAAGATAATCCAGAAGAACAGACGGAGGATGGTACGCCAGTTCGGTCTGTAAGGGCTGCGGCGAACCGAGGAACTAAGAGACCTCGCGAGTCACGCAGAATCGCTGAGAGGAAGGATTCACAGGATATTCCCACCACCGATGCTTCGAGAGGAAGAACCCCGGCGAGAAAACCTGCCTCTAAACTTGGCACGGTGAAAGCCTCCATTGAGCAGGAAGAGTCCGACGGTGAGAGAAGACGCGCGCCATCTCCAGACTGGGACGCGAAGCTTGGCCCGGCGGACCCTGACTTCGAGCCCGAAGAAGGCCTGTACTGCTCCAGGTGTCTTCGCAAGGCACCTAAGAAGCGCGACAGAAGCCCAGGAAACCCTGATATGAGCACCGCCGAGGAAGTAGAAGTGAGTAACGCGACCCGTCGTATTAACCCCCGTGTGCTAACATTGGCGCAGTACCACATGGCAGGAGATCGCAGCTGCAGAATCCGCAGAGGACTGGGTGATGTTGAGACCATCCCGAACCGCAGCGGTTGGGTGTCGATCAACCGGGGCCAGGGCGATATCAAGAAGAAGTTCTTAAAGAAGTACCCAGCATATGCCAAGACAATCTATCCGACAGCGGGCGATAACAACGCCTCACTCTGGCGGTCCGACCCCAACAACGAAGACAACAAGGACGCGTGGAATCTTCCCTGGCCACCATTCAGAGGCCGGCCGCCGTTCCCCGAGGACGAGGAGTCCCCAGTTCATGACGAGGCTGAAGGCGAGGTCCGGAGTAGGAAACGCCACAAGGGGTCTAAGAAGCCTCACGATCCGGCGTACAAGTACGCCACTGACGAGGACGATGACCTCGAGTCAGATGGCGACGACAGCTCGGAGGTTCAGGACCCGAACTCCAAACCCGGCGAGAGCAGCGGCGCCCACAAAAAGAAGAGACGGGGGTCAAGGGGCCCTTTGGATCCGTTGTACAAGTACCGCCGTGACGTGGACGTGGACGATGACCTGAAGCCCGATTTCGACGACACCGACGAGATCCGAGAAATGAGCGCCAGCCTCGAAGAGAGCGGCAACAAGGAAATGGGCAAGGGGAAGCGGAAGCTCGCCGAAGCAGCCGCAACCGCAACTGCAACCGCAACGCCGTCCGCGTCTGGTCAAGGAGAGCAGACTCCCGAGGCTCCCCAGGTCGGACCACCGCCGAAGAAGGCCAAAGCGAGCGAAATCGTCAAAGGTGAGTACTCAACTGACACATACATACCGAATGCTAACCGTGTTGACAGCAGCGGAGAAGAAGACACGGGGTAAGCAGCTCAAGGCTAAGCCAAGCGCTCCGCCGAGTCGTGCCTCCAGTAGACAACGAGCGAGAAGGGAGAGCAGTGTGGCGAGCTCTAGCAAGAAATAGTTGCGGAGCCAGGTAGTCGTGAGAAATCTTTGGTAGTTTGCTTTTCTCGTTTTTGGGGCTCAACCGAATGTGCTTCGCAGTCGATTGACTTTGTTGGTTTGGATGAAGACACGGCGATTGTACTTCAGGCATAGATGAATCCACCACTTGTATTTGTTGAACACCAGGAACTCCGTGCATTAATCCGATCCCATTTGGTCAAACTCCCCGTCTCGTAGTCACACGCAGCCCATTGCGTGCGTTATATATCCTCCAGGGCACCATTATCAGAGGCTCAAACCCTGCCCTGCCACTACTGTACAAACATCCATCGCGCCTTGGAGATCCCAGCCCTAAACGATTCTATCCTTATTACAGAGCCTCAATGGCTTTCAGAAGGACATCTAATCCCTTCGCCTTCACGTCACCCTTGTCTCCCAGCAGCGAGCCGACATCACTGAGAATGCCCAGCGGGATATAACAACCCGTCTTGGCCTTGTCCAGGCTGTCCTTGAGTCTGCTTGTGTGCTCCCACTCCTTGGCTGCCACCTCTGCTCTCTCGATCACCCGGTTGGAGATGCCACACATGGCAGCGCAGTGCATACCGAAACTACCCTCGGCAACTCCGTTCTCAAGCTTGTAGAGGAACGTGACCCGGCGTTCTGCTTCGTCGACATGAATTTTCATTCTTCGCGCTTGAATCTCGGGGTGGTTCTCAAACTCAGTGGCTAGTGAGTGGTAATGCGTGGCAAAGAAGCCCACGCAACCAATGTGGGTAGCAACCTGGTGAAGCACGGCCTGGGCCACGGCGACACCATCGTACGAGCTAGTTCCTCGGCCAAGCTCATCCAGAATAACCAGCGACCGGGGCGTGGCTTCTGAAAGGATCTTCTTCGTCTCGGACAGCTCCACGAAGAAAGTGGACTGTGCTGCAAAGATGTTGTCATTGGCTCCCAGACGAGACATGATACGATCGACAGGCGTGAGACGTGCTGAAATAGAAGGAACGTAGCAACCAACTTGCGCCATGATGACAGCAGTGCATGACTATATTCATATTAGCCAACGTTGTAGTACTAGAGATACACTGACTTACCATGCGAAGAATGGTGGATTTTCCAGCTGCGTTGGCACCGGTGAGCAGACTGATCTTGGCTTGGTCGCCACCCAGCTTGATGTCGTTGGGGATGAAGTCGTCCACATTGTTCATCATGCAGGGATGTCGCAGCTCCTCAAAGTCAACAATGCTTCGCTCCTGATCAACGAACTGAGGCCGGCAGCTTGGGTGGCCAAGCGATGCAGAAGCCTTGGCGAGACTGACAAGACAGTCGAGCTGAGAGATGATCTTAATCGCTTGCAGCCAGGTGTCGTAGTCAACGTCAAACTTCTTAAAGAACCTCGAAGCCACGTCTCGAACAAGCTGCGAGTGGGTCTCTTCAGCTTCCTGCAGCTCCCGGACGAGCTTGCTCAGCTCCGGGAAGTACCATCGCTTGAGATCTTTTGTCGCCGACATTTGACGCCAGCTGGAGGGGACCTTAACACTCTTAGGGGCCTCCACCTGGTAAATCTCTTTACCGATGTCGGTATACTTGAGCGTTTTGCACTTGAATTCTTTCTTCTTCTCACTCAGAAGGTCAGCAAGCTGTTCCTTGATGCCGTCGATTTTATCCAGACTCTCATCGAAATCTTCGTCGATGCCGCGCTCCGGGATCAAGATCTTCTGATCACGAGCCTTGTGACGATCGAAAGCAGTCCGCCAGTAGCTGAGGGGATCTTCAAGGCTTGGCATCGAAGAGATGAGACGATCCACAATACCGTTACCGCCCTTGAAGGCGGAAAGGAGTTCCATGGTGTATTCAATCTGCTCAAAGCCTTCCAGGACTCGAACAAAATCCTCAGGCTTGCAGGCACCCGCGTGGATTCGGGAAATGAGACGTTCCAGGTCGGGCATCTTGACGAGCTGCGAGGCGAACTGCTCGCGGACAGTCTGATCCGCATTCAACATATCAACAGCATCCAGACGCTCATTGATTCTGTCAATGTTGCAGAGCGGATGTGCTACCCACTGACGGAAAAGGCGCTTACCGAAGGGCGTCACACACTTGTTAAGTAGACTGAACAGCGTCCCTTCAGTTCCGCCGTTAACGGAGTTGGAGAATACTTCAAGGTTGATGAGGGTCTGTCCGTCCAGCACCAACGTGCCGTTGTGCTGGATAGGACTGTACGCCTCAAAGTTGCCCTGCGACAAGAGCGGGCGTTCCAGCTTGAGGAAGCGAAGGTATGAGACCAGTGCCCCAGTCGCCGACATGACAATGTCATCGTCCTTGTGTTGCTGCAGAGCCTCTGGCCATGCCTCTTCTTGTCCGTCCTCGCCGACAAAATACTTGCCACAATCGAGCTCACGGCGGAATGTGTCGGCCTCCCAAAACTCGGTTCCGGGCTTGAGATGGGTCCAGATTGTGGTGGGGCTAGTATTGTTCTTGAGGATTCGCAGCGCTTTGGTTGACAGGCGAGACTTTTCGAGCAGAAGCTCTCTCGGGGTCGTCTGCGCGATCAATGTCTCAAACTTGGTCAGATCGACGTCGTCCACGAAACTGGACAGATAGAACCGGCCAGTAGCAGTGTCGGCAAAAGCAATACCGAACGCGGGCAGATCATCGATGACGGATTCTTTGATGGCAACACAGTAGGAGGCCATGTCGTCTTGAAGCATACCGCCATCAACAAGAGTACCCGCGGTCAAGACACAGGCGAGCTCGCGAGAAATAACCTTGTCTGCCTTCTTGCCGCTCTTCTCCTGTCGTTCTCGCATCTCCTTGCCCAGGTTGGTCTCCTTCTGGTCGACACGGGCTACTTTGTACTGTTTGGCGATGAACTGGTTGACCCAGTGGTCGAGAGAGCTCTCAGGGACTCCAACCATCCGCATGTTGACGCGGTCAGTCATCTTGAAGTCAAATTCCTGATGTCCAATAGTGGCATCATTCTCGTAGAGCTCGTAGAACTTGCCCTTCTTGAAGAAGACAATAGTATCCCACAGGTTCTGTTTGATTCCCCAATACTGCTTCTCAAAAGGAGAAAACTTGTTCCACGCGGATTGAGGAATGAAGATTGTCCTGGCGTCATACTCAGGGTCGGTTGGCGTTCGCTTCTCCTTGTCCATGGGGTTGGCTAGCCATGGATATCTGTCCTCGGGCTCCTTGGTGTGTGCCTTTTCCTTGAACTTGGGATCCCTGGCGGCGCGTTGGGCAGGCTTCGTGACGGGGTGCTTCTCTGTTGAGGAGGGATTATAGTTCCACTGAACCGCAGTAGAGGTTTCGGGGATACCCTCCATAATGTCGTCCATGATGTCGTCGTCCTCAAACTCATCATTGCTTGGTCGCGGTGGGACGGGCGACGAGAGATTCGATCGCTTCCGAGCTGCTTGGGGCTTTGTAGGTCGCTTGCGCTTCGTGGGTCGGGGCTGGTCATCATCGGATCCGTCGGAGACGACGAAGTCGTCTATATCATCTACGATTGTTAGCTGGGTTTCATGGTGTGTATCATGGAACCAACCATCATCTTCAGCCGCATCCTCAGCTTCCTCGTCATAGTCGTCCTCATCCTTGACAACCGGTCGTGCTCTTGTTCGCCGGCGGGTTGCGGATGCATTGTTGTATTTGAATGGCTCGTCTTCGTCGGAGGACTCGGCGTAGCTAACAACGACCTTCTTGACCTGGGTGAATGATCAGAAACGTGCTGTGAGGTGGCTTGGAGTGTAATATCTGCTAACCTTGCGAGTCGGACTGCTGGGGAGAGCATTGTTCGTGTGGGTGGAAGCCTGCTTGGATTTAGCCAAAGTCGCGACTGACGAAGACAGAGGCTCATTGCCCACCTTGACACTGGACTCCATGTTTTCCTGAGAACTCGGGGGTTCGATCGCGTCACTGCTAGCAACAGGGGTGGAAAGCTTGAAGGAGGGCTTGAGAGGAAGCTTCGCCTTGGGAAGAGAGTTGGCCTTGGTGGTCTCCTTGAGACAGGACGACGGTTTGCTGGGAGTAACCTTTGACAGTGGGGACGAAGCAGCCGCAGGCGTCGAGGGTGCAGCTTTTTGGAAGAAGGAAACGATTGATCGCTGCTTGGCTGAGGAAGTAGAAGCTGCTGGCTTCGTGGCCTTTGCAGGCGTGCGCGCCGGAGCTCTGTCGCCGGCCATGATGGTAGTGACTCGCCAATGGCTGTGACTCGAGGAATATCGACGAATGATGGAATCAGAAGGTGATCAACTGCGGTGATTCACAAAATAGAAGAAAAATCTACCGAATGAAGGACAGATGAATCGATCGAGTAAGACCACGCGCTGCAGATGAAGATGGAGAGTGTCGGTGGAGATGGGTCTTTAATCGGGGGGACAATCTAAGGTAGACCAGGAGACCGTCCATCGCGTCGCGGAACGGCGCGTGCGCGTTTTCACGTTCGCGTAAAGCCATTCTGGGGAAGGAACGGCACTTGCACTTGCTTTTTTTGGTGGGGCCTGATAACGCTGATAGCCAGCCACGCGCAACTGCCGGTATTGCACTGTGCATATACGGGAGTCCACACCGTTATCTGGCACTGTACATTCACCTGGCATCCGGGTCTGGCCCACGCTAATCCCATCATCACATCCCAGTTTAAATAAAGTCGACATCACAATTATTGTCAAGTCCATCTTTTATGAACGAAAAGAGGGTATCTTCATTATGTCGCTCTTAATTACATCCAACCCGCCCTCCGTCAATACGCCACGACGAACAGGAATGCAACCAACCCCAAAGGGAGAACCAAAGGAGTGTATCGAATGACGGAATCCATCCCCGGATCCATCTCAGGTCATCTTCCTCCCCATCACCCAACCCATAAACTTGCCCATCACCAGCATCAGCCAAAACATCCAGTACTGGAGCCCGGTGCTGTGGCCCGCCTTGAGACGAACCCTTGATCCCTTGAGGATCTTCATGGCCCTAGGCATGGCAAGCTTGTCGTACGCCGACATCGCCTCCTCAAGAGAACCTCCCTTGCACAGTTGCTCTGCCAAGTCCCACGCATCAGCCAGCGCCAGGTTCGCCCCGTACCCAGAAAAGGGGCTGACGGCGTGGTTGGCGTCTCCCATGAAGACGACAGGCAGCTTGTCCAGCTGGTCGTGAGCAAAGGGCTTCTTGTCACGGGCGTTGATCGACAGAACTGTTTTGGGGTCGGTGTTGGCAACAATTGTCCGGAAGGGCTCCTGTAACTCGGACCCCAGCTCCAGTCCCCGGTCTATCACAGCCTGGACCTGTTCAGCATCTTCCAAGTCGAGTGGCGGTACTTGGGTGTCTTCGAGACGACCAACTGTCCACACAAGACTATTCTTGTCCACAGGCGAGAAGAAGCACGAAACACCCGTCCCTGAAAGCATGAAACCCCAGTCCTGGTCAAGTGGTTTTGGAAGAGGGCCTTCGAACCGTGAAACACCTCCTCGAAGAATTGCCCCGGCAAATTCCAGATTGTCCTCCGGTCGTAGGTATGCTCGGAGTTTGCTGCCGGCACCGTCGGCAGCAATCAGAATGTCGCAGTCCTCCTCAGTGATGGTTTCCTGTCCTGGAGCCCCTCTCACGACTTCAACTCGGATTCGACCGTCCTCAAGGCTTCGAGCCGAAATACATTTGGCGCCCCATTGGACAGCATCCTCGGCACCGAACCCATCGTGAATAACTTGTCGAAGGTCCTTCCGAGGGATGCGGACGCTGGAAGCCGGTAACCCTTCGAAAGGCTTGTGTCGAAAGCTAATATGTTCCTTCCAGTCTGGTCCCCAAATCTTGAAGGATCCGGCGCCTTCAAGACCAGAGACAACTTTATCCAGAGTTTCGTCGAGAAGACCAAGCTTCCTCAGTGCCAACAGCCCACCGGTGGTATCATAACCTGCCAGAGACAGGGTGTAGGTTTCGCGCTGAGCCGACAGCTCTTGAGAATCGCGATCGTAGATGTGAATAGTTGGCTGCTTCCAGTTCGGATCCCATAGTTTTCGGAGACCGACAACAAAGGCGGACCCGGCAACACCACCACCGGCCACAATAATAGTCTTTCCTTCGAGGAAGTGTCGTCTTATACCGGCCTCGTCGTTCATGGTTGCGTTTTCTGCTTGGGTTGTCTAAACTTGAAAGAGCAACAAAAACTCGTGAGTAGGTTAATTGCCGCATCCCAAAGTAAAATCTCGAGATGGACAGTTGAGACAGTATTATATGAACAATTCCGAACACTGGCTGTTCTCCTCACTGCAAACACAAACCCTCCGTCTGTGACATTCGGAAGTCTATTGGACCGGCATACACTGATTTCCCCTCTGGGAATACGTATTGCCGTTTTTGGACAGCGGGGACAGCCTCCACAACTCTCACCTTGGGGCAACGGCTTGGCGCCGCGTCAGTACATAGTATATCAAGCGTCGGTGACCAGCTGAGCTTATTTAAAGAGGGCTGAAAGGTTGTGGCTTGCGAATCTGGGCATTCGTGTGAGCAGCTTTCCCAATGTGTTGGGGTGGCCTGCTGTGGCGGAACCAACTGCCCACGTGTGCAGCGTGTAATCCAGTCTCGTGTTTGTGCCGCAGTGCGCCCTGGTAGATGTGCGGCCGTGAGCCCATCGTACGGCTTGAGTCAGCATATTGTCAAAGAGTATTTGTGCTTTTGCAACACTCATTCTCTCGGGTTACCATGATTGCACTTTATTTCCGTTCTGAAAACGGTCGCATGCCCTCTCTGGGCGCGGATCACAGATGACCCGAGTTACACCGCTAAGTAACGGCGTGGCGGTGATAATTCCGTCTGTCCATGGTATCATTTCGCTTGATCCCCAGCTTTGAATATGAAATTGACGCTGGCCTTCGGAATAAGGTCCGAGCTGTCGATTTGTCACATTCGTTGGGCGTTGCCATGACCATATTTGGACATTCGTCTGGAAATGCAGGCGGGCCTAGGATTGTAATGCTCGCTGTTTTATTTGCTAGTGGCTCCCGCTTATTACTTCGGAACGCCGGAGAACTAGGTACTAATGGGAGATGTGAAAGCTGATGAGCCCAAATTAATAAACGGTACGACAGATATCAAGGTTTTATAGAATCCTTCTAAAAACCATGCTTACGTCCAGAATGAAACCTCATGAAACAAGATCAAAGTCAATTCGCACCCTGTGTCTTGGGTGGCGCCACTCCCAGCCCAAGGTTCACACTTGCTCACTCACCGCAGACTGCCAAATTTAGCACCACCACCCCACCTTGACACCCGGTGGATTACTGGCAGACCTCCAAAATAGAACCCCGCGATGACTTCAAATCTGCAATCACAGACGAAAAAAAGAAAAATTAATTTACATCCTCCCCGCTCGTCCGCACCATGCCGTCCGACCTGACCGCGCCGCCGGTTCTGTCGACCCCCGACGACAACCTCCTCGAAGCCCCCGCCGCCGCCGACCACAAGTCCTCGACCATCTCCGACGACGCCCTGCGGACAACGTACGAGATCGCCCGTACCGTCGACGAGGTCCGCGCCGGCGGCTGGTGTCGGATCGGCCTCCAGTTCCCGGATTTTATGCTCGCCGATGCGCCGCGCGTTGTCGAGGCGCTCGACAAGGACCTGGCCGCCGTGGAGGATGGCCCCGCGAAGAGGCGGATCTACGTGCTCGCCGACAGCAGCTACAGCGCATGCTGCGTGGATGAGATTGCGGCGGAGCATGTTGCTGCCGACGTGGTGGTTCACTACGGGAGGACGTGTCTGAGCCCGACCAGTCGCCTGCCGGCCATCTACGTCTACACAAGCCACGAACTGGACTACGAAGCCACCATGGGCGAGATCAAGAAGGAGTTTGGCGACAAGGAGACGAAGCTGGTGGTCATGGCCGACCTGACGTACCAGAACCATGTGGCAAAGCTCGTCGACCATCTCAACGACAGAGGATACACGAATGTGGTAGCGACGGACGTGGTACGCGAACCGGCAGCGCTCATTCCCAACCGGACGATACTGGGAGAGCCCATGGACGAGGAGCACTGGAGGTCGTACTCGCTCATACACATATCTGACCCTCCTGCTGCTCTACTCCTCGCTCTCCAATCCCGTTTCGCCTCCCTCCACATCCTCTCCACGCCGTCTTCAGAGAGCCCGTCCCTCACGAACCCAACGATGCGCACCGCCGGAGCCCTCCGCCGCCGCTTCGCCAAGGTGCTGTCCCTCGCCTCGGCCGGCGTCATCGGCATCCTCGTCAACACACTCTCGGTCGCCAACTACCTCTCGTCCATCAAGCTGCTGCGGGAGAAGATCGCCAAGGCCGACAAGAAGAGCTACACCGTCGTGGTGGGGAAGCTGAACCCGGCCAAGCTGGCCAACTTTTCAGAGGTCGAGGGCTGGGTGGTCGTCGGGTGCTGGGAGAGCGGCCTGGTCGAGGACGATGCGTCGTACTGGCGGCCGGTGATTACGCCGTTTGAGCTGGAGGTGGCGCTCATGAGTGAGGAGGAGCGAACCTGGGGCGGCGATTGGTGGGGAGGTATCGAGAAGCTGAGCTTGATAGAGACCAGTGAAGAGAAGGGTTCGGAAGGTGAGAACGAGAATTCAGAGACCGTCGAGGACGATGTTCCTGGAGGTGTTGAGGGCGAGGAATCCGAAGCCCCCGAGTTCGACCTCCGTACCGGCAAGCTCGTCAGCCACAGCCGACCCATGCGTCTCGCCGTACGACAGAACGGCGACGCATCAGACTCAGCGGCTTCCAACGGAACCAACGGGACCCGCCAGTCAGGGGCCCTCGTCAAGCGAGTGGTGGGAGAGTTGGCCAGCATCAACGGCGTGGCCAGCCCCGGTGCCGAATACCTGCGGTCGAACCGCACGTGGCAGGGCCTGGGGACGGACTTTGACAACGAAGCGAGCACGCTGGTCGAGGAGGGACGCAGTGGCATCGCGAGGGGATATCATGTTGGGGAGGAGGGCAGCCGGCACTAGGGGGCATCAAGCAATAAGGACACCATACGGATATTTGGTCCATCAAACTGGAGTTTAGGTCACAGGAAAAGGTCAAGGACATCATATAGTAAAATTCAACTTTTTTTGACTTCAATTCATCATTCTATCTGGTCATTAACTCGTAAAGAGATATAATCAGGAGCTGCATACTCGTATTAAGCCGAGAAGCGTCGCGCGAGGCTTCCAGAAGCCAGGGCGAGAGAGATGTAAAGATATTCCGATGTAGGCTTGCAGGCCAGCACCTGTCCAAAAAGGGACATGGGGCATACCAGGTGCGGCAGCAAAAGCGTCGACAAAATAAACATGTGTTTCGTAGATCCATCAAGTGTCCTGTCCCACGGTGACCACCGCGGGAGGGACTTCATCCAGAGAATTTCATCGTTGAGATGTTCGTTTCGGTTCCTCTCATTAGGTAACCCTTCCCATCCATCCATATGTCCATTCGACCATCTGTCGATTCATCCTCGGGACCTTCTCTGAGAGATAGGAGAGGGGACGAGACGGGCTTGTTCCGTGTCGTAGTTGCACGTACTGTTCTGCCCGTCCGTCTGCGTGTAGATATAACGTCGTAAGGGAAATGCGACCGAGTGTCGCGTCGTCATTCATTAATGTCTTGTTAAGAATCATGCGGATGTGTTATCATTGGGTGCGCCGTGTCCAATATGAGTGTCTCTGGCGCGGCGCCGTATTTTAGTTGGATACGGAGTGTCGGGTGCTATCGCCGGTCCGGAGCGGGAGTGGAGACCCGCTCGGAAGCCACAGCCCCTCATCTCTGGTGTCAGTCTGTCTATCAGGCTCGTGGCTTGCTTAGACGTAGACACGGCGAGAGTGAGGGCTGCGGTGGCTGTAGCGGGAGCCGGAGCGAGAGCGGCTGCTTCGGTGGCTGTGGCGGCTAGAGTGGTGCGAGTGCGAGCGCGAGCGGGTGGTGTACTTGCGGTCGTAGGCACTGAGGTGATCGCCGTGGGCAAAGGCGACGAAGGAGGTGAAGAAGAACAGGATGGTGTTCATAATGGCAAACGCCCAGCAAGCCTTGAGCATGGCACAGGGCTTGTCGGTGGTCCAGTCGTAGTCGGGGCCAGTGACGGTGACATCGCCAAGGCGGTAGGTCCAGTCGCCGTCGCGAGAGACGTTGGTGCAGTCGGCGTTGCGGATGCCGCGCAGATACCAGACGGCAGCGATGAAGGCGCCAACAAAGCCGAGGTCGATGAAGCCGACGAACATGGCATTGGCCGAGGAGCGGTGGTAGGAGAAGAGGGTGAACATGGCCCAGGCGAGAGCGAGGACCGAGACGATGAAGAGCACGAGAATGGAATCGGGCGTGAGGGCGTTTGCCTCGACGAAGCCATTGACAAACCAGGCGAGCATGCCCATGGTGGGGATCTGTGATGGTTAGCATGGTGTTTTCGGTATGCGCGCCGAAGAGGAAACTCACCAGAGTCAGGATCTGAAGAATCCGATTGCAGACGAAGAAGAATGCGAACCACATGTTTGCGAGTTGTTGCGGTTTGTTGCGACGGGAATGTGAGGGAAAAAAGTCCTTTGCGCCGGGAATGCGGGCGGTTTGCGACAGGTGTGTGGGTGTGGAGGGAGTCAAGTAGTGTTCGTATGGGCGATGAGATGATGATAAGGCGGATTTAGGATTGTGAGTTGCAGGTTGTAGCGTAGCAGGGGCAGTGACGATCCTGATGCTGGTGACGATGAGATCAGGAAATAAAAAGGAACAGAAAAACCTTGTGCATCATGGAGGGTGGGAAGACGTCGAGCATTTTGTATTGGGCGCCTTTTCCTTGGTTTCCCTTTGGGCGAGTGCTTGGGCGGATCTCAGGCGTGCAAGGATGGGCCAAGTTTCCCTGGAAAAGAGAGGGCTGGGGGTTTCGCGGGTTCGCCAGCGGCCAGCGGGAGGGTTGGCGAACGGACCAGGGCTCGAGGGGGCCTATAGGCGGGACGCGTGGGAGCCCGTAGTGGGGTGCAGTGGGCGGTTTTAGTGGGGGTGGCCCAGGGGACCGCCCAAAGATCAGGGACCACGCCGCCGTCCCCCGTGCTCCGCTGCGCTACGTATTGCGGACGGCTGGGGAGACCAGGGTTCGGAATCGATATTCGGATATTCTCGCATGGTTTAGGGCTTGGAAGGGCAGGCACTCGACGGGAAACGACGCTATGCAAGGGGACTCGAGGAATATTGAACCGAGGGAGATACAATACACGCCGAGAGGGGAGGTTGGAACCATCAGCGTCTTCGGGTACGCCGCTCCAGGCCATCTCCCTCAGCCAATCACGGCCCGAGCGCAAAGAGAACGTGATCGATAGTCCTCCCCTCTTTGGCATCTCACGCACAAGCGATGCAGCACCGTAAGAGCTGAGAGTGAGAAAAGGTCAGATAATTCTCAAAGGGGACTTACAGGGATCATGCCCAGTTTTTTTCTTTCTGTCTTTCCGTGTCGGTGCTCCTCTTCGTCCGTCCCTCTTCCTGGAGACACAATTCCAGCCCGGATCACCCAACGATCCAAAATGACGTCGTCATCTCTCCAGACTCATGCATGCGCTCTGCAATCTACGCCCCGAGTCCGCGCGCAAAACCTGCTACCCGCCAGACGTGCTGGCTGCCAGGGGCAAATCGTGTGTGTGGTCACATATCGTCTACTAATTACAGCATCTCGATTTGCGTGTCTCGGGGACGCATGTCGATGAGACATTGTTCTAGACCGGGGGGTGTGGTTCCGCGACTGCGACGTCATCGAAAATGGCGGGGCTGGGATGGGGGGACGGGGGGACGGGGGGACGGGGGAAAAAAAGCTGGCTGGGCAACTTTCAAGATGCGACGAGAACTGACGATGCCTCGCTTCCAGGGGTGTTGAAGAACAGACGGCCCAACCAGCCAATGGGACAAGGCGATTTTCTCGGGGGGGGGGAAACCTGGAAACTTGTGCCTAGGCTAAAGCTCCAAGCTCCTTCAAGCTCCAAGCTCCAAGCTCCCCGCCGAAGCTCCGTCCATCCGTCCACGTCCGCGGCTCCCACGGGATCCTATGCGCCATCCATCGCCATCGCCATCGCATGCATGCGTGGTAGTACAAACTAATTATTACACGGCATAATGGGAATACGCTCCGGCCTGACCTGTCCGTCTTCCCGCTCCAAGTCCAGAGCACTTTGTAAATTCTCGCTCGGCCTGGTTGATCCACCCAGTCGCGTAGATACCCCCGTGTTTCAGCCTACGATTTGCGGGAGGCGGGATATAGTCCTTTGGTTTCGGTAATTGCAGTTCGCGATCGCTCGGGCGTTAATCACGGAGGTTGGGCAAGGAGCACAGACTGAGCAGGTAGTACGGAGTAGTCTCCGTGGTGATACACTCTAGTTCAGACAAATCTCTTTTGATCCTTCACTCATGCATTCATAGGCTAATTACTCGTTACCACTATTTCCAACATCAAAGGTCCGCCCCACACGCAACATCACGTATTATAGTGCCGTGATGAACGACTCGACCGATTGCTTCCCTCGCGGGGCATCGCCCAACGCACTCCCATGCCATCCCGCAGCCGTCCCTCGGCCACTTCCGCTCGGCGCCCCCGCCGGCTTCTCCCGGGCTGACCTCCGCACGCGGCCCGAGCTCGACCCCGATCTCGAGCCCCCCGCCGACGCCGCTTCGGAGCTCACCATCATGGTCCTCATGCCTCTGCGCCCAGCGGCCGGCCGGTCCACGGAGCTCATGCCGTCGGACCCGGCCTCCTCGCGCTCAAAGTAGTCCTCGTACTCGTCGTACTCGTCGTCGTCGTCCGCCTCGGCCTCGCTCCGCCCGCTCGCGCTGCTGCCCCACGTCTGCGACACCAGCCAGCAGTGCGAGCGCTCGTGCGCGTCGGCCCCGATGCCGTTGTTGTCGCTGCGCTGGCGGCCGCCGCGCTTCCACGGCGGGATGCGCGTGCCCTTCAGCCGCGGGTTCAGGTGGTAGCTGACGCCCTCGTGGTGCCGCACCCGCGCGTCGTCGACTGACACTGACGCCAGCGTCTGGAGGATCCCGTACAGGAGCACCCATCGGCCCCGCCGCGCCGTCGAGGGGTCCACTTCGCCGACGCGGTCGCCCTTTTCGAACCGCACAAAGGCGTCCACGAGGTCGCTCTGGATGAAGTCGCTCCCTAGTGCGTAGATGTTGGTGCTCTCAGTGTACGCCAGCTGCACCCGTCGCTCCATAGCGCCGGCCCGTGAACCTGGTCCGGCGTTGCTCGCCGCATCGGCCTTTTTGCTATACTTGAACAGTCCGCCCTCTTTGCCAGTAGACGGCGCAACATTCGGCGGGATAGACTCCGGGATCAACGGGTACGGATGCGGGATGTGCGGGAAGCGCAGCTTGTTGTCGAACTCGATGAGCATGTCCGTCATAGGCGCCTCCGCCGAGTCCGCCTCAAACGCCATGTTGCCGCTCTCCGAAGCCATCATCCACTTGCGGCCCGATCGCGCCTCCGACACATCCCACACAATGTCTCGGTCGACGAGGTAGTCGTACAGCGCGCCAAAGTCTCGCTGCAGCGACATGGCTACGGTGCGGGTGAGCCACATATCCTCCCCGACGTCGCCGTCTGCGTCTGCCGATCCCGGTCGTGAAGATGTCTGTGGCGCTGGCGGCCAGGATCCGTAAATCTTGGTATAATGGCTTTGGAGCATCTCCTGAAGACGGTCTGCAGCACCTCGTGCAGGTCCATTCGCGGCCGCCCCGGCCGCCGCCCACATGTCTCCATACGAGAACTCGCTCAGTCGTTCCTCAGCCGCTTGCACGCGAAGCTGCGTCTCGAGAGTCGCCCGCTCCAGCAGCGCGCGCGCAATAGGCGTGGTATGTTTAATGTCCGGGCACCGCTCGAGCTCGCCGTCCATACCTGCGCAGTGGATGAAGCTCTCGCGCCAGCCGTCCTCCCAGCGCACATCTGGGCTCTCGGCCCACGCCAGCAGCGAGACAGCCGTGGCAGGGTCGGAGCGCACGTCGTCGATGCCGCGCACCGAGAGGTACTTGACGATCTGCGCGACGTTGTCGTTGTCCGGCGGCATGTAGCTGTCAAGGCGTGTATGTAGGTCTGATAGTGCTTGGTAGAGCGACATGCCGACGAGGGAGGCATGGTACAGCACGGCGAAGACGTTGCGCGTAGTGATTTGGTGCCGCAGTTGGTCGGCGCGGTTCAGATTCGCCGGTGGGGGAAAGTACATCTCGTATGAGATCTGGCCCTCCAGCTCATCGCGTGAGCTGGCCTCCTCCGAGATGGGAGGTGTCAGCGGGCCATCACGGCCGAGGCCATCCCGTCCCAAGCTAAGATGGGTTCCATATCCCGCGGGCGACGGAGGCAAGTAAATATCCTCTTCGTTCGAGCCCTCGCGCAGCAACGTGACAAGGAAGCGACTCTCGGTTGCCTCAATAATATGCGACGACAGGCGAAGACTGGGCGGCTGCTTCGGCGCTTGACCCTTCCGCCCCAGGAAGATGAGCACGTCGCCATTGGGATCCCACAGCTCCGGGTCCTTGCGGAGCTTGTTCCACCGCGCCACCGGTCGCCCGGCGCCGATCCAGCGCCGGATGGTGGGCATTGCCGCGGCCGGGGGCTGTGGGATCGGCGGCAGCTTCGTCGTGGGCGGCGGGCCGATTGGCTTCGTGTCCCATGGGTTCTGCGGGCTCGGCGGGGACGGCAGAGGCTGTTGCTGGTACTGGTACGGCATTGGAGGCGGCGCGGTCTGGATGGGCATGAGAAACTTGTCGTAGCCCTGGTTCTCGTGGCCGTGGTTCTCATCGTAGCCCATAACGGTCCCGGGTCTCACCGTCGCCGCGCTGGGGGGCCGCTCGACGCTTCCTCGTCTTGCGCCGGGAGCCTCGTCCTCCTTGTCCTTCTTGCGGAAGGCAAACGTCTTTGCCAAACCCCTGCGGACGTCGTCGCTCCGCTTGTCCAGCCTGCTCCGCAACCCGCTCTTCTCGATATTGCTGACCTCGTCCGTCTTCACCGAGGGCTTGCGGGGCCGGTTGTACGCCCAGTCTGCCGGCGGCGCCTGTTGCATCGCGGCCATGTAGCGAGGATCCGGCACCATCATCATCGGCGTGGGCGGCCCTCCGTGCATGGCCATGTTGTTGCCCCATCCCTGGGCCGCATATCTCGGGTCGCCGCCCATCTGCGTCACCATTGGCGCCTGGAAGTTGAGATACTGCGGGCTGGTGGGTCCCGCTACGCCGGCCGGGAGGGGCGGGAGTGGGAAGTCCGGGATGGCGTTCGGGTCGGAGTGGTTGGACGAGGTGGCCGACGCAGGACGCCCATTGCTGCTGCCGTTTCTCGGCCTCACTTCCGTCTTCTTTTTGCGCGCGATGGCGCTTCGTCCAGACATGGCCGGTCGTTGGGGTGGTGGTTGAATAAAATATGTAAGTGGGGGAGGGAGTGTATATCAACTGTTCAACAAGACAGACACTGTAACAGACTCCGGGGTATCCAAGAAGCAACAAGACAGAAGAGTGCAAAAAGGGTATCTGGGTATACAAGTATGTGCAGGAGTGCGTTACGTCGTCGCTCCGGGACTGACGGGAGGCTTGTTTCGACGGGTTGTGATGACGAGGCGATTGGCTTGTTTTTGTACAGACGCAGAACAATAATGCTGGAATTAGATGGCCAATTGGTCAGACCCGGTGCCCCATACAGCCAATGGTAGATCCTGTCGTGAAAGGGAATTGTGATATCTCGTTTTTTGTCGCTCCCCGGCCGTCGCGTAAGCAAAAGCGCAGCGAGGTCTTATTACACTGAGCTGACTCGACGGTTGCTTGGCAGCTCGTTGCGCCCGCTGGACGACGCACCCAGCAGTGCGAGGTGAGACTTTTGCCAATCCCTCTCCTCTAGTGCAGTCGTACGCGGCGGGACTGCGTTGGAACGGCCGAAGCGTGTCTCTCCTGTGCGTCTGCCGAGCGAAGGGGCATCTGCGTGGTGTTAAGTAGCGTTGCCAAGGGAGGGAACGAGCGGCGTGGTCCGTTATTTTTGCTTGTTCTTCCTTCTAGGGCCGCGGTGGGAATGCAGATCAACGAATAGGTAAATGAAAGAATGGCCAGAGAACCCCGATCGTCTAAGTCAACGCGGATGGGGGCGGGGAGGGGGCACGGAGGTTCTTGAGTCAAGGGCCGAGCGGACGGTTCGGCACCAGAAGAGAAGGAAAGCTTGTCGAGTCTCGAATATTCCGCCAGAGCGGTAGCGCCAGGGACAACGTGGGCAGCAGCTCTAGGTGGCGGCCTCAACCCAAAGCGCTCGAGTGTGCATCGGGGATATCTCATCCAGGCCGGAGAGGGCTTGAACTTGGCAGGGGAAGAATTATGGGCGGCCGAGATGAGACGGGGTCAGACTTTAGACAGAGTCTTGGATTTGGCGGCCCGGATAGGCATCTCGGTCCAGCATTGGTAGGTCACTTGGCTGATAAGGGTGGCATGTCTTAAGACTAAGACCCCGGACAGCAATTGGAACTTGGGATGTGTGGTCGCGACCAACTGATAAGCAAGCGTTGGGTTTTCGCAGGGCCAATCACGGAGGCAGGGACTTGGGGACTACCGACAGCACGGCGTGGACTCGACGGGGGGGTTCCACGTACTGTACTTCTGTACCTGTGTACCTACATGATCGGAGGCACGGCATGCAGAGAACCTTTGCTCTTGGTCTGCCTGCGACCGGGACGGTGGCATCGGTTGGCGCGTTGGCGTTGGAAGCATGTATCAGTCGTATGTATGGAGTGCCGATTGGCAGGTCGGTGTGACAATTGAACGTGTAAGCAAAGCCCAAGCTCATTTACGTAGTATCGCTATTAAGAAAACACCAAAAAGATTATAGAGATAGCCCTCATCGATCGACCTCCCAACGCAACGTGGGCCCGTGGATCGCTGGACCCGTGGCACCGTGGCCCGCGGATGGATACGCAGCCTGGGGAAGCATGCGGTTTGTCATGGGGCTCACAAATAACACCCTCGTCCCTCTTTTGCGCCTTGTCGCCCCGCGCCGTTATTTGCTTCGTTAGGGCCTTGGGGGGGAGCTTTTCTTATCTTTCTTCCCTAGTGACAATCCCTACAGCCAAGAGACGTTATAAGCCATGGGATATTAATGCGCCCCCCCGCCTCCGTCACCCCCGTCGGGCCTCCACTCCCCCCCTGGTCCCCGGCGACTTTGTCCACGCAAGGCACTCGCCGGGGCCCGAGATGATGTATTTGGTTAATTCGTCCTACTGGCAGGGGCCTCACCTCAAACCAGTGAGCTTTTGGTTTTGTGGCTTGCATTCGTTCGGCAGTACTACCGGCCACCGTCGCCGTTTTCCGTTCATGCTCGAGAATTGCTCGCAAGCGATGCCTGGAAAAAGCTTGTGGTGCAGGACGATAAGATGCAGCGCCGGACATTATCACACATATACGGACGACTTCCGACGTTTCAGGCGCGGGCAGCCAGGCCGGTGATGGTGGCATAATATCCAGCGGAGATGCTGAAAGGTTCGAGATGCATCGAGAACGGGCGCAAGCTGCGCTTTAGCCGTAGTAACAAAGAGTCACAATACGCAACGCATGGCACGCAGGATTTGAGGTAATTAATCCATCCAACCCCCGCAAGAAGCCAGACTACAATAGCCGTTCTCAACGCTCTGTTCCAATGTCCACATCGTCATCCTCGCGCCCTATGCCATCCGATCCCATCCCGTGCAGTCCCGTCTCTTCCGCGCGTTCGACCCCTGCAGCCGTTGCAGCCCACGCCGGCGCCGCGTAGCCTCCTCTGGCTCCGTCCCACGCGAACGGGAGCTACCGCCGTCGCAGGATTCTGCTGTTACTGTTTACAGGTATTAATTACAGCCTGGGCACAGCGAGGCCAAGCCACCGTCTGTGTTGGGACATCATGCGCCGCTGGCGGCATGGGGGTTGTGGCGTCTCACCGGAGACGTGCAGACGTATCCCGTATCAATCGACAGCCGAGGCCTTAGTTCGTCAACACCACGGCAATCATCACAACCAGGCCAAATAAGAACACCGCTCTCCCTCCAGAACTTGACAAAACCTCTTCCAGCTCACGTAGTCTACATTTTCCAACCTCGGACCATCCCCCTCCGCGTCCTCCACACTGCGTGATTCGTTCCCCTCGTCGTGACCCCTTCAATCCCCCTCAAAAGGGAAATTCCGCCAATCGGCAATTAAGCCAGAGCCCCAGCCCTAGGGCATTCGCGGTCCCAGAACCACCTGCACTTGGGTCCAAGTCTCCTGTTATACGAGCGCGTAAACCTCAGGATGGTGTCATTGATGGCGTCAAGATGGAGGGACGCGTACATAAGGACACTCTGAACGCCTGGAAAATGGGTTGTTTCGTTTCAGTGACTCCAGGAGAGCCAGAGACCACCACAAGCACCGTAACTGCACCGGCATTTGTATTCCAACATCCCTCGCCATGAAGCTCTGGAGCTTCCTCCGGGCCCTTGTGCCCATCGCCTTGCTGGCCACCGAGGCGTCTGCGTACGCCAACCCCGGAGCCTGCAGCGGCGCGTGCTGGTCACACGACCCCAGCGTCGTCCGCCGAACCAGCGATGGCGTCTACTTTCGATTCGAGACGGGCAGCAAGATCGGCATCTGGAAGGCCTCTGCCCTGACCGGCTCGTGGGTGTACCAGGGAGCCGCTATTCCCGCCGGTAGCATCATCAACCTGACTGGGAAGGATGACTTGTGGGTGAGTGCAGCTTAATGTCGATATAGCCATCAGTCCAAGGTCAACGCTAACACCACGCAAGGCCCCCGATGTCCAAAAGGTTGGAGACCAGTACATCATGTACTACACCGTCTCCTCGTTCGGCTCGCAGAACTCGGCCATTGGATATGCTACCTCGACCACGATGGAGTACGGCTCATGGACCGACCACGGCTCCACCGGCGTCACGTCCGACTCGTCCAAGACGTACAACGCCATCGACGGCAACCTCATCAGCGACACGTCCGGCAACTACTACCTCAACTTCGGCTCCTTCTGGGGCGACATCTACCAGGTCAAGCTGAACTCGGCCGCCACCAAGGCCTCGGGCACCCCCTACCAGATCGCCTTCAACAGCACCGGCTCGCAGGCGCTCGAGGGCGCCAACATGTACTACCGCTCCGGCTACTACTACCTGTTCTTCAGCTCCGGCATCTGCTGCGGCTACAACACGGCCCTGCCCGCCCAGGGCGAGGAGTACAAGATCTTCGTCTGCCGCTCCGCCAGCGTCAGCGGACCGTTTGTCGACAAGAACGGCAAGAGTTGCACCACGGCCAACGGTGGCACCCTGGTCCTTTCCAGCCACGGCAACGTCTACGGAGCGGGTGGACAGGGCGTGTTTGCCGACCCGACGTACGGCACCGTCCTGTACTACCACTACGCCGACAAGACGAAGGGCCTGGCCGACGCAAACTACCAATTTGGCTGGAACACAGTTACCTGGAGCAGCGGCTGGCCCAGCGTGTAAACGAAGAAAGCCAAGATTGCCATGTGTCGTTTGATGGCTGACGGAAAGCCCCTGCAGAGCCCATGTTTGCTTCTTCCATGTACATATTTTGAACACATGTCCTGCGCATAAGATGCATATGCATCGCGACGTCACGTTGCTGGCGACCATGTACATTCGCGCAAGCCAGATCTTCACATGCATCGCCTCGGGATAGCCCTGGGGATAGCACTCGGGCACATAATGACAATCATGAAACACGATAATGTGCCGAACAAAGCAACTAAAGGTGGGGGAAACGTTTTGTTTAAAGCAGCCAATCCATTTTCCAACAGCTAAGGCCTACTAAGTCGTTACGTACTAATTGCGCCAAATGTACATCCAGCTCCAGTCGCCAGGAGCGTTTCGTGTGAGTGTATAAAGTAACACTCGCGTTTCGTGAGTCCTGAGGGTATCTCCCAACCGTGTCCCGTCGCAATCCAGGATGAAAAAGAAAAACAGAAGGACAAGCCAAACAAGCCAGACGTAGGAAATCGTTAAACCAGTAGTCGACAATTTCCTCCTCCATCACCAAGTTTTGAAGCGGTTTCGTATTGAATCGATTCGTTTTGAGTACTGCCGGAATCCGTTTAAGCAACTCCGTGGCCGGGCTTGGTGGTATCGGCGTGGGCGCTGTGGCCGCGCGAGCGCATAAAGGCGAGACCCTCCATGGCAGTCAGGCCAGTGAAGATGGCCCAGATGAAGAAGCCAAATGCGACAGCGGCCTGAGCGCTCTGGCAGAAGTTGTTGCCGTGGCAGTGGGGTACGCCGATGAAGTCGGCCATAGCGATGGATCCGGCGAACCAGAAAATTGTGGTGACGGCGAGGATGGCGAGGCCAACGACGGAGTGGTAGAGACGATTCGCGAAGAGGGGCACGATGGCGAGGTATACGAGCATGAGGAGCGACCAAATGGAGTTGAAGAGCATGAAGCTGAACTGAGAGGGGGATGTGGTGCCGAAGTAAGACGAGCTGGTTTCGCTAACGACTGTTGGTTGAGATGTGTTAGCTATTTTTCCTTGATGGGGATTTTCCCTGATGGGCAAGCAAAGAAAGTGAAGACTTGCCATATCCGGTGAGACCGAGCTCGATGATGAGCAGAACTGCCAGGACGGCGTGGACAATGGTGATGATGCCGAGAGACATGATGGCGGTTGAGTTGTGGGGTTGTTGGGCGACGAGGAGAGCTACACCAGGTAGACAAAAGGTTGCACGATGACGGAGCTGGCTGGGCGTGGAGGAACTGATGCAACTGCGTCGAAGTTATGGAGAGGGAGAGACAAGGAGGCAGAGACGACGATGGCACCAGAGAAAGAAACGAAGTGGGTTGGGTAGCATTTAAAAGAAACGGCGACTTTGGGCGAGCATGACGGGCGATGACCTATGACCTTTGCTCGAGGCCGCCATTGGGAGTGAAGAGCGCATCAAGAACAAGCCGGAAGGGAAACAGCCCGAACCGGGTCAGGCGGACGCCAACGCGGAACAGCCCTACACTGTCCTCTGTCCGTAGGCGTCAAGACAAGGCAGCGCAGATGCTGCCAATCGTCATTCCTGGCGGACCAGGGGGTGTGGTGATCATTGGCGGAGGAGGGTGGCCTCGGCGGTGCGTGCGAGATACTTTCCAGAGGACGCCTCGCAAGCCCAACGCTTGTTTGGGTTTAACCCGTTGCAGCGCGCCAGGGCGTGATTCGACGACAGCGCTGCTGGTGTGTTGCGGTTGTGGCTACAGTGCAAAAGGTGACTCTCGGCGTGCGGATCCAGCTGGCATGTCTCTCGGATAGGGCGGCCTTGGGCGACGTCTTGGGGTAATGGACAGGGCGTGGTGTAGTGCGGAACGACAGGTTGAGTGGGCGAGATGGCCTTGTGGCGCCGCGAACATGACGTTGGCAGCGGGCGATGAGGTCATGATGCGTGGCTTGGAGGTGGGTTCTGATGGCGCTGGTGGCTTGGCATTGGCGCTGGCTGGGAATAAGGGAATAACAACTCTGTTTCAGAGGGACCGACCTTCTGTGTCACTGCCGGTCACTGCCATCCAACCATCCAATGCGTTCGTCGCTGGGAGGCCGTACGCCGTGAAAAGAGGGTGCAAACTTGGGCGCTTAATCACCAACCATAAAAATCACTCTCAAAGGTTTGAAGCTCGAGTGAAACAATCCAGCCCCAAGACGTCACGTTCCTTCTCCCTGCTCGTTCCTTCCCCCGCTCCCTCCCTCCTTCCCGGTTCATGAAATCGATGATGCATCGATACCTGAGGTTGGCCCACTTCTTCCTCGTCCCCCCTCCAAGTTTACCGACTACTCCCAGTCCGGTCTTCCAATTCTTCGCGACGAATACGAATTCGAATTGCCATCGAAAAACACCGTCGCATTCTCTCGCACTTGCGCCTTGTGACTGACGACGACTCTCGCTCTGCTCGTCGCCGCTGATGACTAACACCAGCGCACAGCCTTGCACGGCCAGCTGAAAATGCTCTGACTTTGACCTTCCATCCCAAGCCACCAATGCCATACGTAATTGCGACTCGACTCCCGACGACTCCCCGACGACTCCGGCATTCGACCCTTGTCGCCCGTTTGGCATTCTGCATGTCGGCACTCCGCACTGCATCGCAGGTAGTTCATGTCTGCCTTGTTCCCGCTTGTGGTATCGTATCCACGTGGGCTGCCACGAACGACTGGTCATCAACTCTCAACACGGAACATCCCATAATCAGTGCGGAGGCTCAGTTTTTTGGCGGTCAACGTGGGTCCGCCGGGAGGTTCCGTCAACAGAAAATAATAAAATTTAACCCAGGAAGAATACGCCGCTGTAACCCAACTCCCAGTTCCCAATTCCCAATTCCAGGTTCCCGATTCAATTCTCAGTTCCGGTCTCCCATCTCATCCTTCATCCGCTCCCTCAACATCTTCATCGAGACCTTTCCCCGTCTTCTACAATGATACTTGACCGTCACCGTCGTCGTCTGAAGAATAGCTCGCTCTGCGTCCACTTCGTCGCTCGCGAATTGCGGATTCCACATCTGCACTTCGGACCCCGAATCTCCAATTTTGTTGATTGACTCCTGCTTTCGCAAGTGCCTGGCAATGACTTTCTCCGGTTTTTCTCCTCCCTTTCCGACCGCTATCAGTGTCGGTGGTGCATGTCCAATTAGATCAAGGTCGAACCCGGCACCATCTTCAACAGGCGTCCCAAATTTATCTGCTCTTCTCCGCTGCACAATGTTTCCAATCACCTTGAACGGGTGCTTGTAGCCTCCTGCAGACCCGCTGAGATGGTATCCTGTCGAGGACCCACGCTCTCCGATGAGTCTCGGCGCCACATGAATAAAGAAGCGTCAGAGTGTCATCAACGATGCGCAGATGATGAGAAGGTTGGCCTCGACGAAGCTGGACACATCGTATCAGCTGGATGCTCTGAAGGAATTTGAGAGTCAACTTACACCCAGACCACTGCGCTAGACATGACCCAAGTGGAATCTCTACTATGCTGGATAGGTATCAAGAGTATCAGCCGGACGATGGAAGTCACAAGTGTGCTGATGAAAAAAGTCCGTCAATATGAATCAATCATGGCTAAGTGAGTACTCACGCTGAGCCAATGGTGAACAGCAGAACGAGGCCTGCCTTCTGCCGCGACGGCATCTGCAGCCTAAGAATCATGGGCATCGGCAGCACTAGTAGAACCAAATCTGAGAGAATTCCGAGTCCTACCGTGGCAATGTAGAGAGCCGGTCGGTTGATGCAAGTGCCCTCCATGCCGACGGTCCAATGCTTCTGGATCGGGCGGCACCCAAAAATGACGGCGAAGAAGATGGCCGTATGGTATCCTACAACGAGGAAGAAGGCGCTGTAGACTGACCACTTCCACCGCTTTTAGGGCGAGAGCTTGAGGTAGAAGAGTATCAGTGACACCTTGGTGAACCCTGTTTCGACGGCATATAGGATGGGCACCAGAACCATGAACTAGAAGCATGTTGGCTGACGAGACACAGTCTGAGAGGTTGGCTGACGGGAGCAACTCACATTGCTACCGTAGTTGAATTTCTCGAGCGACATCTCCCACGCGTGTACCCCCATCAGACTCTTAGAAAACGATCCTGCTCACTAGTTAACATCATCCCCAAGATCATCCGGCCGTAATCGGAATGGCATCATTATTAGAACCACGTACTGATCAGAGCAACCTGAACAGCTACGGAAAACATCCAACCCACGCCCAAGCAAGCTTGATACCATGTCAACATCTCCACACCTCAAGTGAATCTTCGAAGGGTTATCCATACCTACTTCTCCGTCCGGCCTAGGTAACAAGCTCAATTTGACGTAACGAAACTGGATGAGGAATAAAAAGGCCAGGACGAGGCCGAACCCGCATATTATGTACGACTCGAGCACGTGTCGCCGCTCCGGGCGATTCAAGTCGACCTTGTATCCCTCTGGGGCCGCCATGAAGACGGTAACACCATCCACAACTGGAAAATTACCCATCTTCTTCCCTTTGTTTCTTAAGATCCGCTGCGGTGGTTGGGGTAATATTATTCGCTGCGTTCTTGATGATGGGTGGTTCCGCCGGTAGGTCAGAGATGGCTTCGAGCCGGAAGTCGGTCGTCGGTCGTCCAGTATTGATCGAATCGAATGGGTAATTCTCTTAATAGAGATTGTGCGAGTGGGAAACGCAACAATTACTTGACCCACGCCGGGTGGAAGTGAACGAGAAGAATATCAGAAGAATGAACAAAGCCCCCAGATCAACGGACCACAAACGGTTCAACGTGGGAGTCGACCAAGAGAATCTGGAAGAGAAGAGAAGAGAATAAATGAAACTCGACAGTCAGTCACACGACCTGGGGCCTCAACGACATAGCCAAACCCAACAACGCCCGGAGCATCCACGCTAATGCCCCTCAGATCCACGATGTGTTGGCTCCAGAGGCACCAAGGACGCCGTAAGCGTCAGAAACGCAGGGCCGTGATTGTTCTTCTCCTCTCGCAACCTGTGAATTACCCGACTGGCCTGGCCACTTGTTTCCCTCGCCACCGGTCCCCGGTCGCCGCGCCGGGTTCATGGTGTTTTGATGCCCGCCGCTACCGACCACCAGAGGCCCGCCCGCCTGCCAGAGACAGAGGTGTAACGCGTGTAGCTTTCGGCGTCCAGGGCTGGTGATGTGCGGTTTCACATCTCTGCACGGCCTGATCCAGAGCTTCTTCCGGGTGTAGGATCTGCCGCGCAGGCATGGGTTGAGGTCGAGATGCGGAGAAACATGCTCGACGTGGCCGAGCATCGAGTTTCACGGGCTGATCTAAGGCGTCAACTATCAATACTAGGACTCCGGTTTCCGTCTAGACGCGCTGCACGACACGTCCAGCATCAGAACCAACAACCACACACTGCTACACTGGAAACCTTATCCATCTCCATCTTCCCATCTGCCGACTCCACCAGTCTTACCGCCGAAGGCCTCGTATAAAACCAAGTGCGGAGGAGGTGAGCAAGAAAAAAATGCAAGCTGAATCCTTCCAGCGCAAGGATCGGATCCGCATCCATCGATCAACTCGCTCAGCGCGGCCAGGGGAGTGGCCAACAACGGGCATCATCGTGGTCGTTGAGTGGAGCCGACAAGCATGGGCTAGAGATCTTCGATGAGGTTTTCGTTTTTCCTTTCCCTCTTGTTTTGCCCACTTGTGAGCCCACCCCAATCTCAGATCTAGCATTGACGCAGCTATTTTCTTCATCATGTTTTGAGCCCGTCGCGGGCCTGGCTTCCTTCCCCGCGGCGCCAACGACGCCGCGTGTTTCTTCGCGAACGCCATCTTGCGCTGCCCATGTGGGCTAATCGAGGCGACTAAGGCAAAGCTAACGGCGGACACGCCGCGGCGGGCAACTTGCAAGGATGTGTGTGGATCCCGTCAGGGCTGGTTGATAGAGCTGAGATCGTGAGATAGGACATGGATGGGATAGACCTTGGAGCAAAGATTAAGGGGAGGGAAGGATGACGCTGGCGCAAGGATCACGACACAACGGCCAACCCCATGGTTCGCTTTGGGGTAGATGCTCTTGACATTCATGGTCATCTCTATCATTACTATTTACATATTATCGGGCCGGATCCAACTCGTCAGTCCAGCGTATCATCACTTCAGCTCGGCTCATCCTTTAGCTCTCCTTCGCATCAATCATTCTGCCTCTACTTCAAATCTTAATCTTAAAGCAGTTGGCATAATAGGTGACAGTGGCACTCCAGTCAGAGAAGAGACCAATGATTCCAATCTGGCGCCAGAGCACATCCACCAGCTCGTACATATCGCCGTCGTTGTCGACAACATCGGTGATGGAGCTATAGTAGTAGTCGCCGTTAGCACCGTTGGCCAGAGGGCCCGATCGCTCGAGACTCCACGAGATGATGTCGAGACCAAGCTTATTGGCCTTCTTGGCGTACGCGCTGGGGACAATCTTGCCCTTCTTGCCCGTGACGAGGTAGTTCAGAGGGGGGGCCACGATGCGGACACCGTCCTTGGCGTAACGGGTGAGGTTCTGGACGGCAGTGGCGAAGGTCTCCGGGGTGTCTCCCGTCTCGTCGAGGTAGACGGCCTGCTTGGCGAACTTGGGCTCGTGCTTGAGCCAGTACAGGATGTCGTCGTACAGGAAGCTCTGGGGCCACACGCGCGATGGCTTGATGCCCATCTTCTTGTAGTCATCGATGAACTGCTGCGCGTACATCTCCTGGGTGTAGTCGCCCTGGAAGGGCATCGCGACCTCGGGAGTCTTCAGCTCCGGGGTAAACTTGAGGCCCAGGCCGTCCACCAGAGCAATGTGCTCCTTGTGGCTGAGGACGGTTCCACAGGTGGCGTATAGGTCGGTTCGCCAGTTCTTGGTTCCGGCGAGGAAGTCCTTGGTCGTGGTGGCGGTGGCGTTGAAGCCGTCCATCTTTGCGCACAGCGACTTGAACTCCTTGAGAGTGATGTCGCTGGTGCAGCACTTGGCAGACGCCGCTTGGCCGTTGGCTGCGGCCTTGAAAGGCTGCGTGCACTTGGCGTTGAGCTCAGGGATGTTGACAATGTTGGTCGTCGTGTGCAAGTCGCACTGGCTGTGGCGGCACACAAGCTCGCGGTCCTTGGTGAAGGCGACGTCGCACTCGAGGATTCCGGCGCCCATACGAGCACCGGCAAGGGCAGACTCGCGAGAGTGCTCGGGGAACTGGAGGGCAGCACCGCCGCGGTGGCCAATGGACCAGTCGGACCGCTTCATCTTCATGTTGGAGCATGACTGGAGCTTCTTCTTGAGATCGCCCTCCGCCATGTCGTTGACGAGGTAGTAGGGACGCGGGCCAAGCTCGATCTGCGTGATGGGCTGCACGAGGTTCTTGCTGCTGTAGCTCGGCGCGGCAACGACGGGGCTCACGGCGGCAAGGCCGGCGACGAGGGGGGTTGTGAAACGCATTTCGGAGAAGTCAATTGAGCTTGACAAGGTCAATTGGCAAAGAAGCACAAGTGAGGACGACCTAGGGAGAACCACGAGGAGCTTGGTGAGACTCAACACTTGCGATTGAGACTGAGGCTGCGGCTGGCTGGGACAGAGAAGAAACCTACGGGCATCATGCAGTTCTTATGAGCGCACAATAGAAAGCAACGATCCGCATCGGATAAGCCTATTTGGGAAGCTCAAGGGTTGCAATGTGATGCTCGATTCCACCCGGACATGAGCGGCCCTAATCTCACTGTAGACGGTCCAGGTCCATGCCCGACACGGGTTGAAAGCCGCTCGTCGGTCGATAAGATGGGCATAGTCGCGGCCCATGATGCTGGAATTGTGTCGATCACAACCCGGTGCCTGTCGAGAAACAAGGTTTCAAGCTTGCAGGATAAGCTTGAGGTTGGAGCAACTAGCTTGCGGTGAGCACGTGTGGGGGAGCTCCTGGTATCGTTGGAGGAGTATGCGAGCATGGTGGGCACTAGGTGGTTACCAGGGTCGATGCGTGTGGTATCCGCGGCGTGTGATTCGTCATTGTTGCGGAGAAACCCATATGTAGAGACCCTAGTATCTCTAATCCTAGGAAGCCAGTGTCCTCGGATTGATGAACAGGAATATCAATTGAGGGGTCGAAGCCATCATAACGGGTGTTTAACGGGTGGTTCATGCGCCGGGCGGCTGCCGTTGGGTGCTATCAAGATCCGCATTAATCGTCCCATCTCGCTCGTGTAGCCACTCCTGGCCTCTCACAGCTCACATGGCGGCACGGAACTCATAGCTCGTCCTTTGCCGTCCTCGTGTAGCGGTGCTTACGAATTCCCTCAATCGTAGCCCCGAGATGCTCGAATCGAGGAGCGTCTTCTCCAAGGCCCCAGGCGAATACTCCCCCCACGTTGAGCTGTGGAACAAGGTCTTCCATTTTGTGCCGGATACTCTCCACCGTGTCGAACGACCACCACCGCCATTCCTGATCATCCCAGTAAGAGTAGCTTCCGTCGTCGTCATAGCTTCCTTCACTTTCCGCACGTGCAAAAGATTCAACCAGTTCCTCGGGAGTCTTGTCATGCCAGCTAAAGGCACCGGTCTTGCCCATATCCGCCCCTGTCTCCGGGTCTTCGAGTGGCTGGGTGGGACAACCCCGTGGGTCATCAACGTTGCACTGCTGGGTCATGAACCACTTGACGTAGTATCCAAGGCCGAGGTTGACCTGGTGTGGTGGGGCGCCGCGGCTGATATAACGCTGGATCGAATCACGCGAATCGGTGACGCCGCTGTGGTGCTTGGTGACTGTGTCGCGGCGATTCATAAGATCATAGGTCATGATGTTGAGAAAGTCGGCCTGCTTGACAATTCGGGGCACTGTCGAGGAAGTGAATGACATCAAGTCAACCTCCTTGCCAGGCACTGCGATGGAGAGAAGTTTTCCAGGACTCAAAGCAGCGCGAAGCTCCTCGATAAGTGAGACGAATGCCTCAATCTCCCACTCCCGTTCAGAATTGGGGATCTCTTTGTAATCATCCCGGTTTCCACTAAATTTCTTGTCAGTCTAGTTTCGAATCGCGACGGTTGGCCAAGGCATAGAATGCGGCATACCCTGGATACTCCCAGTCAACATCGACACCATCCGCGCCGACTGCCTCCACCATTACGGCAGCTTGCCTCGCCCAGCGTTTTCTCGAGGCGTCACTCTTCGCAGCCACTTCAAAGCCTGCGTTGTCACCCCATCCTCCAATAGCTACCATTACCTTAGTTCCCGGCGCGAACTTAGAACGGACCTCTTCGACGGTCGTGAAGAGAGGAAACTCGGAAGGCGTCTCGTCAACATTGAAAATCTCGGACCGCATAAAGGCAAGGATGACGTGGGTGATATCGGCAACGGCATCTTTGTCTGGGACAACATTATGCTGGCTAAACACGTATAAAAACCGCCGGTTAGTTTAGATCTGTCGCTTGTTGCGCTAGTAGATGAAAGGGAGGACGAGGAAGAGGAGTCAGATCTACCCGGTCAGGTACATAATGCACCGAAGCGGTTCCATTTTAGAGGCAACGACCACTATGGCCAGGAGCGCCCAGATGCCAACGTTGCAGAGGGCTGAAGTGCGCATTGCGGCGGCAGGGCTTGAAGTTGTGACGAGTGTTGCTGAAGGAAATGCGAGGTTGGTGAGGTTTCGCTTGATGTTGTGGAAGGTGCTCCGTGAGGGCAGCACAGTGCTCACTGTGTGTTTGTGTGTTTAGGGACCGGCACAGTTGCCATTCCGCCCCCACCTTCCCTGCCTTTCCCCGCGTCTACTGTAGGCACAGCGAGTTATAGTGGGCGCCAGCACTCAACCATCGCTTGGTTTGCGAACTGCATCAAGTAGATGGGAACAAGAACAACACAATTGTATCTCAGTAAAATATTATCTGTACCAAATAGGATTAAGGGAATATAGTTTTTATGGATAGAAAGTATAGTATTCGGTATTTGAATTGGGTTCAGGGTTAAACGATAGCCAATGTAGGAGTCTATCTTGTTTAAGGCATTCATTCCCAACCTCTTCTTACGATTATTGATTGATTGATCCCCTCACTCCGATATATTGTAACACGGTGACTTGGGGATAGGAACAGACTCCGCTAGCCTTGAAATAGAAGCCTCTTTACAAGTAACAGTAGAACTAAAATCCCACGTAAACCACCCCATGCTCCCAGGCGAAAAAGTTGGGGCATTTTCACATTTACAACCTAGACGTCTAGGGTAGGTCTACCTCCATTACAGTGCGTAGTCGGAAACAAACTGTCTGCCTTCGCACAGTACCGATCGCCTGAGCTTCATTTTTTCTCCAAAGTGCAAGTAAAGCAGGCACAGCCATTCTCAGCAACAACACCCACCCTCGACACCTTGGACGAAGACGAAACGAAAGGCAGTACTCATACCATCAGCGTCTATTACGCTTCTCATGGGCTAATTGAACGCTCCTCTTTGCATCTTCACCCGCTAGTCGCTGTCGCATTTCGATTGCTCTCCCACCGCCGATCCACCGCCGACTCGAACTTCAAACCAAAATGTTCGAAAACACTTGCACGCTGCCTCTCCAGGCGGACGTCTTCACCACCGCCCTCCACCCCACTGAGCCTCTGCTCACGGTTGGTTTGTCTAGCGGTCATGTCGAGACGTTCCGATTGCCGCCTGGCAACTCGTCCGACGAGAGCGCCGACGGCGACACCAGCGTGTTGAGCGATGGTAAGGGCATGATCGACACCATTTGGCGAACGAGGCGACACAAGGGAAGCTGTCGCTCGGTGGTATATGCCCATGATGGTTCAGGTTCGTCTCAATTCAAGCTCAACATTGCTTCCATCGCATGTTGCTAATCGCTGTACACAGCCATGTTCTCTGCCGGGACGGACTCGCTTGTCAAGCACTTCGACTCTGCGACTGGGCGCGTTCTTTCCAAGCTCGCGATCCCAACCACTACCACGATGCCCGATGCCCCGACCCTGCTTCATGCTCTCAACCCCCAGAGCCTCCTGCTCGCAACCGACTCGGGCGCCCTGCACATCATCGATTTGCGCGACGGCGCTCCTGGAAAGAAGCCTGCGCAGACCCATTTTCCCCACGCCGACTACGTTTCCTCCATCACCCCTCTGCCCCCCACCAAGGAAAGCACCAGTGGATTCCCGAAGCAATGGGTCAGCACTGGTGGAACGACTCTCGCTGTTACCGATTTCCGACGGGGTGTCCTTGTCCGCAGTGAGGACCAGGAAGATGAGCTGCTCACCTCCTGCTTCGTCCCCGGCATGGGACCCAAGAACAACCGCAACAACGGCGTCTTGGCCATTGGATCCGGCTCCGGCGTGCTCACGTTGTGGGACAAGGGCGCATGGGATGACCAGCAGGAAAGGATCATTGTGGATGGTGACAAGAAGGGCGGCGGCGAGAGCATCGATGCCGTAGCCCTGGTGCCGCAGGACCTGGGAATTGGTAAGAAGGTTGTGTGCGGTGTTGGTGACGGCAGCCTGAGAGTCGTTGATTTGGTGCGACGAGAAGTTGATGTTTCTATCAACCTTCGACACGACCATATGGAAAGCGTTGTCTCGCTTGCGTTCGACTCCGAGAACCGGCTGATAAGTGCGGGCGGAAAGACAGTCAAGCTCTGGGAAGAGCTGTCGGAACTCCAAGCCAAGGATAGCGACGAAGAGGAGGACTCGGATGACGATAGCGAAGAGGAGGAACAAGCTGGCAAGCGCCCCGCCGAGAGCGACAGCGAGAGCGACGACAGTGACGCTGATAGAGTGGAGGAGATGAAGCGCCGGGCAAAGAGGCGCAAGGAGGTGCAGAGCAACAAGCTGGGGCCGATGGGCGCTCATGGAATTATGGGATTTGATGGCTTGGACTGAACGAATCTAGGGGAGGAGAAAACCTGGACGGAGGACGACGACTCTGTGATACCCTGGGATGTCGCAACTTGATGATTCCACAACTACGAAAAAGATGAGAGACTTTAATACTGAATATATGAACTGGATGTGTACCTGTGTTATCGAAAGAAGCCGAGCTTGACAAAACTATCTTAGTTTGGAGACGACCCTCATATACTGGTCATCTGTAAAGCCGAGGCTCTCCTTCTCCCCGACGCTTCGGGAATATACTCGTAGCTATTGAAACTAGCCTGCGTCATGGCTGCTTTGAGCTTGAGATTTGGTTGTGGATATCGGCCACAGCTTCTCATTGCCAATTCCTGGCTTGGTTGATTTGGCTGATCCATGCTTGATCTAAGAATCCCTTCAATAAACGGTTCTCTTGACTCAACATTGGTGGAGAGCTGAGTCGTTTCGTCCTTGCCTTTGACCTGTCGATCTTGACTGTGGTGCTGTTGAGGTTTGCATCCTGATCCTAAAAGTGGCCTTTGTGGTTGGACCCATTGGACGGCGTAAACGAAATATATCGGTATTCCTGGAACCGTGCTGGCCTGGCAGAGATAGCGTCATAACGGTTTGACCATTTGATACAAGTCTGGTTGTTTGGTGGATAGACTAGTAAAGTAAGCAAGCAGACTCTAGATGTTTGATGTCGATGTATCTGTCGGACGAAGCCTGCTCACCCTGGTCCCGTGAGTCGTGCGAGAGTTACCGAAAGACGTCGGTAAGCTGCAGATTGGTGATTCCGGATGTTTCCTACTTTCGAGAGGGACCTAGTTAGCACTTCTAATAAAGGCTTGGACCCTACCATTCTCTCAAAAGTCGCTGATTTTCCGCCCTGAGCTGAAGATGACAGATTCCTGCCAGACCGGCTTCATGGAGCAATAATACATGATGGGTATCGTGACAGGCAATGCTATGGAATGTGAAACGGGGAATGGCATTCCTTGCCGGAACAGAGCAGTGACGAGGTGCGTAGGAACAGGGGAGGAAGCTAGATGCCTGGTAGGTGGAGGTAGCCCCAGGGGGTGTCGTCCTTTGTTCGATGGCGAGACTCACCTGAATGAGCATTGCCATTTGTGTTGAGAGGACTTGGGGTACATATAGTCCTGGTGGTGCTAGCGATTAGGTCCTCGTCGTATATGATGAGGACCGGCTTGGAACTGGTGGCTCTGGAGTCGTTAGATGCCCGTTTCCCGTGACGCCGCCGATCCCTCGCTTTTGTCTTGGACGTGGGCGGCCTCATCATGAATTCGCTGCCGCTGTAGGTCGTCGGGATGCAGATGTGCGGAATAGCTTTGCGTCAGCCGATTATCCTCGTCAATGCGACGGCGGAACCTCCGCCAACACTGATCACGCAGTCCCGGCCAGAGATGGCATCGATGACGTCGTCGTCCATGTTGCGAGCGGGGAACTGCTCAATGATCGATGGGTCCAGAACGCGCATGTCGAAATCGGGGATGAGAGCGTGTATCCGGCTAGTTAGATCAGAGCGTGAGGGACTCGAGACGATGAGGGGCGCCGAGAGGTCTGGCCGACCCAACTCGGTAGGAAGACGGTCGAGAACGCCAGGGCCAAGCACGATGCGCGGCGACGATACGCGAGCGGATGCATTGGAGCTGAAGTTGCGGGCGTCAGAGACTGATGGCGGCGAGATGGACGGTCGAGATAAGGCTCGTTGGTGCTTGGCGAGATAGCTCGATAACGCCTGGTCAGTGGCCGTGTTGGTGTTGCTGGCGGCTCGCAGATCGGTTGGCTCCGAGCTCATCACGGGCAGCAACAGCGGATTGCCGGTGTTGACGGGACCTTTCATAACTCTAGAGTCAATCCCAGGTCTTGATATTGCGGATGGAGGAAGGATTGTTAACGGAGGAAGGCCCGGAGATGAAGGCGGTCGAGGGCCGGAATGATGAACAGAGTTCCGGGAATTGTGGGCGGGGTTGCGGTGGTCGAGACCGGATGTGAGACGGCTGTGGATCCTGATTTGAGACGAAGGACGCGAGTGACACTTGCCACTTTGCCGATCTCCCACAGAACCTGCTTGGAATGAGACTCTGCGTTGTCTTTGTACATATTGTGCAATTTCAATGTGGCAATGAGCGGCCTGGCAAAGACAGTGTCGCTAACTACGCACATTGGGAAAATGTTAGTGTCACTTAATGGCGGTGGTGGTGGGCTTAACTAATTTTAAGAAACGGGCGGGCTGACTTCCCCGGAGCTGGCGTCCCGGTTTGTCGGAGCGCCATCTCCGGGAGGGAGCAGCCGGAGCATTTATTGGCTCGGGCATTTTCCCCATGCCCTTGTGACTGTCAAACGTCAAACGTGACTTGCAACCGGGTTGACTTGGCGGAAGCAGCTTAACTTTTGCATTTTGGATTGGGTACGTCTAGTGGCATGGGCTGTGTGCTCGGTTGAATCCATAATGATGAGCCCTGGGCTTGGCGTGTGCCGATTCCGTGGAAGCGAGACGGGGTATCATGGATAGGTAAGGAGAATTATCTCGTGACTGTTGTGGAGAGAGAAGCCAAGTGTCGGATAATTGGTCACCCCAGATTCTCCAGGGGGAGAGATAATAGATTCCAATATTGCAGTATAGATAATATCCGGGGTGGAGATCGCGACAGCATTTCAACATGGTCCAACTGAAAAGGGAGCAGCATATCGGACTTTCAACTGAGCACGCCTTTTCTGTTATTCATGGGGATGATTCAACACAAGCCTGCGTGTGTGACGACGAGCTGCCTTGCTAGTTTTGGGCCTCGTGCATGCCGATCGATATTGCCTGATTAACGATTCCCTCCTTCCCGTAGTTTGATTTTCCTAGTTACAGTGATATTGCCTGCAAGCTACAATGCACTTGTAGGGATCCCCCTGGTCCCATCCTTTCATCCGCACCGGGGCTGCGATTGTGATGGTGGTGACGCTGAAGGGGGGGAGGGTTTCTTATCTCACATGGCTCCTCCCTTTATCTGAGCTTGATTTTAATGTGGCGTTACCTAATGCTAAACATGAGCTCCTGTGGAAGCCAGGTCCCTCTCCCCTGGGCAGGTAAGCTGCATGCAGAGCGCACCTTCCGCCGGAGCTGTTCACTGCGACAGTACTGTAGATCCGGGGAAGTGGTGATAGAGGCAAGTGCTACTGCTTGCTGTCGGGTTGTTTTTACTGCTCGGACCAGTCCGGGCAGGCAAGGCGAAGAGGGAAGGCGCTACCATGGTACTACAATCTCAACGACCAGGGCAACTCTCAACTACCAGGTAGGTAACTCACGTGAATTCACCCTGCCCTTGTCCCTCTACTCTCTCTCTTCTTCCTCCAAATAACATCACCCAAGGACCATTATCGCCTCAGACACAACCTATTGCGTTGTCGGGTGGAAAAAATCAATCTCGACACGGGGGTCAACCGACCATCGGAGCCTCTCGTCAATTAATTTGCTCTTGGTGTCCGTTTTCCGCTCCGTCATCGCATCTTTTGCAACGAAATGAAATCTTGAAGCCCGAGGCCCGTCGGCGCCCATCCCTCGCTGAAGTCCAAGGCTGCATCACGCCGTTATCCGACGACTTCCAGCCTCGCGCAGAGATGTCACGACCGGACACGGCCGATGCCCGAAGAGCGACGCACACCTCTCCCCCAGCTGTCTGCCTGTCTCAATCTGGTTTTTGCGCTACCCCACGAGCGAGTCGAATGTCTGCATAGGAGCAAAGACCGCCAGTCGCTACGTGCACCAAGGAGCATATCTCAAGCCAAGCAGAACCGGCCATGACCACGAGCGCCTCAAGATAAAGAAACGCAACTTGGATGGACGGCGAACTATGGGGTCGGCGCCACAATCTCCGCCCCATCCACAGGCCCACGATCTAACGCGGTCCTCCTTCCGCGGTCTCCCACCCAAGAGCCTTTTCGGCCGGATGGCTTGCCCATGTCTCTCACCGAAGGGTTTGCCGCTTCACGTGCGGCTCGCCATGCCATGCGGCTAGCAGGTCTGTCCATCTCTCCATCACCACCACCACCACCATCACAGGCATGGTTGTTGACACTAGTGAAGCATCCGCATCGGAGGTGGCGGCTTGCGATGCTGGACGGCGCCCTCCACCCCCGGCCGGCTCCCCGGGAGCTCCAGCGGATCAGATCGACCCAATTGGCGACGAGCCAGGACGACTTGTCTCTCATGCACAACCCTTCCCCCACGCACCCTGGGCCTCGTCCGTTCGTCGACCCCAGCTTTGATAACGGACAGCTTGCTTATGGGATCGGGAACCACCAGGGTCAGCAGCCTCGCAAGTTCTTCGTCCCGGAGCGCCCAGAGGTTCGCCTCCGTTTAGACTTGCCCAGGTTTTACCCGGCCAGCCCAGGACGTACCCAGTCATTCGATGTCACTGATCTTGGCCACTCCACCGTCTCAAGACCCGCAACACACCCACTTGCAGTTGCATCCTGGCCACTCACCTTGCTCTTTCCGGCTGGATAATCACTGATAAGCTATCTCTTCAGCTTCTAACCAGACCATCGGCGCAGAACTATCAGCGTCACAGCTGGCCGGCGGCGCCAGAACCACGCGACGCGGCCCCATCCGATGTGCATCGTCGCCTAGATCCCGTTGTAACGCTCAATCCAAATTCATACTTTAGCTCGTCCATGTCCGTCCATTTGCGATTCCAATTCGAGTGCATCTTCACTGCAAACACAGAGTTTTTCACGGCTTCATAGTCGGCGCGCTGAAGACAGTTACATCGCCTCTCGACCCCTGTCAAACCGTCAATCTCCCTCAGTGACACATTCCCTCAGACCACTTGAACCTTTCAACTTCAACCACCACGATGGATGAAGATCACGGTCCTCGAACCATTGTGCCTGAGGAGGCCCCCTCCAAGACCTTTGGCCAGCGCATCAACTCCATCAAGCAGGCCTTCACCACTCGCAATGGCCTCATTGGCGACTACGACTATGCCTTCCTCTTCCGCCCCAATCTTCCCTTCATGAAGAAGCCGACGCAAGCCAGTCCCTTCTTTGGCCTCAATGACAAGATGCCTGTTTTCCTCGCCTTGCTCCTGGGATTTCAGCACGCTCTGGCTATGTTGGCTGGTATCATTACACCTCCCATGATCATCAGCAGCTCCGCCAACCTGGATGCCGACCAGCAGCAGTATCTCGTCTCCACTGCCCTGATCGTCTCGGGCATCTTCTCTGCTGTCCAGATCACTCGCTTCAGAATCTGGGGCACCAAGTAAGGCCTACCCCGCCAACCGTTTAACCTTGTTTCACTAACACGCCAATCAGGTATTACATTGGAACTGGAGTCCTCTCCGTCGTGGGTATCTCGTTCAGTGTCATCCCCATCGCCCAAGGCACCTTCACTCAGATGTACGCCAATGGTTACTGTCCTACCGCCGACGATGGTACTCTTCTACCGTGCCCAAAGGGCTACGGCGCCATCATTGGAACGGCTGCAGTCTGTTCCCTCTTTGAGATCCTCATCTCCTTCGTTCCCGCCAAGATTCTGCTCCGTCTATTACCGCCAATCGTCACCGGCCCCACCGTCATGCTTATTGGTGTCAAGTTGATCAAATCTGGCTTCCAAAACTGGATGGGCGGCAGCGGCAGTTGCGCATATGCCACTGAGGGTCTCTTCGCTTTATGCCCCAACATCAACGCTCCTCATCCTCTCCCCTGGGGTTCCGCGGAGTTCCTGGGTCTCGGTTTCTCCGTCTTCCTCACAATTATCCTTTGTGAGCGCTTTGGTTCTCCCATCATGAAGTCCACTTCCGTCGTCATCGGCCTCCTTACAGGCTGCATCATCGCTGCTGCTTGCGGCTACTTCGACCGTTCCGGCATCGATTCGGCCCCCGTCGCCTCCTTCGCTTGGGTTCACACCTTCCCCCTGACCGTATACGGCCCTCTCGTCTTGCCCCTGATGGCAGTATTCCTCATCCTCGCCACCGAGGCCATCGGTGACATTACGGCTACATGTGATGTCTCGCGCATCGAGGTTAGCGGGCCGATCTACGAGTCTAGAATCCAGGGCGGTATCTTGTCTGACGCCCTCTGCGGATGCATCGGTGCCCTTATGACCATGACTCCCGGCAGTGTTTTTGCCCAGAACAACGGTGTCATCGTTCTGACGCGTTGCGCCAACCGCACAGCTGGCCTCGCCTGTGCCATGTTCCTCCTCATCATGGGCATCTTCACCAAGTTCGCCGCCTCGCTGATTGCCATTCCCTCAGCCGTCCTCGGAGGTATGACCACCTTCCTCTTCACTGCCGTCGCTGTCTCTGGATTGTCCATCATCACCCGTGGAGTCCCCTTCACTCGCCGCAACCGCTTCATTCTCACCGCTGGTCTCTCGCTCGGTTATGGCGCCACTCTCGTTCCCACCTACTTCGACAATGTCTTTACCTACAGCGGTGACAATACCTCCCTCCAGGGCTTCCTCGACGCCATCGTCCTCGTCATGGAGACTGGTTTCGCCGTCACCGCCTTCATCTGCATGTTCCTCAACCTGGTCCTGCCCGAGGAGATGGAGGAGGACATCGACTCCCGCTCCGAGACCAACGTCGTCCTCAACGAAACAACCCACGCCCCCGTCGCCGGATCCAGCAGGGAGCAGAGCATCGAGCAGCAGAAGCCAGAGAAGCAGGGCTAAATGGTGAAGGAGAAAAATAAGGAGTTTTTGTGTTTATCGTTGAATAACGGCGTTTGTGGCGGGGTAAAGAAGTTGATATCGAGAGTCCCACGCATGATATACAATTCTGGCTTGACTGGAGAGACAAGTAAAATACCGGGTGGGGGATTGTGCGTCAACTAAATATACCCTTGATTCATGACTACCTATACCTTTTTCGTGTTCTATTGACATTAAACTCCACTAATACGCCAACCAACAGCAACCCAGCATGTTTAACCCACATCCTTACATTGTTCTATATGACATAACCTTGTCCTGTGGTATAACCTTGTTCATTCATTCCTCGTCATCAGCCCATTTACAACCTGCTGTTGCGCCCCGTATCTCGACTGGTGGTATGCATTCGCCTGTCTCCTGTAAACTTCCTGCACCTTACCCCACAGTCCCTTGTGGCCGCTGTTCAAGCAGTCCGTCAGCTCGCCCCCGGTTCTATTCTTACAACGACACTGGTTTGGTGTCCCCCCGAACGCTGCTCTGGTGGTTGGTTCTGGAAACATGATGCTCAGGCGCTTTAACTTTTCCCACGAGGCGGCGTTGCTCGTCGATGCTGGGTTATTGAGCGCGAGGCGCGCAATATTCCAGTCCATCTCTCCCCCCGTCAAGGAAGTCGACTCGTAGCGCCGCGCGGGCAGGTCAGCGTCACCTCCACGCCTCTCGATGGCGGCAATAGGACACATTGTTCCCTCTCGCCCGGACCTCCGACAGTTGCAGCGATCGGGGTTCACAGACGTCTCCTCGTCGATCTGAACCGTGACGAACGACGACTTGCCGTCTTGCGGGTTCTGCGTGAAGAGCACTAACATTGGCTTCGGCGGTCGTCGATGCAAGAGGCCTGTTGTATTGGTCCCTGTCGATATTGTTGTGCTGCGCACATCGCTCCCTGACGAGTTGCTGGTATTGGAGACAGCGCTTGTCGAAACGGCGCTAGAGATACTGAGCGAGCGACCAGGTGAGGTCCCGTTGGTAGTGGCTAAGGTGCTGCTCCGGCGCGATGATGGTGGTTGACCGACTGGCCTTCGAACCGGTGACTGAATATTTCCCCAAAAGCCGCTTTGTCTATCTGGTGACTGTACGTTTCCCATGAAGCTTTGTCGATCTGGTGGGGTAGTACCCATGGCAGCTGGTGAGCCTTGCCGTGGCCACGACGTGGAAAACATTCCCGGGCTGGGAGGTTGTCGTTGTGGGATTGTCTGGAGACCGGGTTGCCGGCCGGGTGGACTCGTCGAGAGACGTTCCCCGGACATTCTAAATGGGCTCGGTGACGCTGTAAAGGTATCACGGCCGAAGCCTGGCGAAGTGGGTGCGGCTCCAAAGCTGGATGTTGCCATTGAGCCTGTCCGAGAAGGAGAAGGAATTTGTGTCGCAGCTGCTGCGGCGTCACTAGTAGTGACCAGTGACCCATCAACCTCCTTTGGAATCCAGAGTTGGATGGATGCTCTCTCAACGAGGGGATCTTTGCGTCCGACGACAACGAAGCTGACCATGACGTTGTATTGTGTATATGATTCGTAGGGTTTAAAACCTGTGATGGCCTGTTGGAATTTGAGGACATGACTCAACTTCGTAAACGCCATCCTGGCGATCCTCTCGTCCCGTCGAAGAATCACCTCCCTTATCATCCCGGGGTTATTTGGCAGGGCATATTGCGGGTTGATGATTACAGAAGTGATATCAAAGTCAATCACCTCGGCTAAACTCAGAGTCAGTAAAAGAGCTCTTGGGATAGATTTCAAGACATACTTTGTCGTCGCGGTCGCCCTGATGGCGTCTGCTCAGTGCCTGTGATCATGATCCGAAACCTGCGGCCATCCGCGCCCATGCGCCTAAGAAGCTTGGCCGTCTGTTCGACATTTGCTGCAGGGCTCTTCAACGGTCTGTTTCAGGTCAGCTTTGGATCTACTTGAAGTGGGTGAATTCTGATCAAGGGAAGCATACACTTCGAGTAGTTGCTCCATCATCTCGTCCCCAGTCACGACAGGCACGAGCGGCGTTGGCTCTCTCTCCGGCCAGATTGAGAATAGATCTCGCCTCATCATCGGGGTAATCAAGTCCGGTTGGACAAGTTCTTGCCCAAATCGAGTGCATTGGGTCGAAAGGTCCTGGAACAGTCAGCAAGATTGTGCCGTTTCTACACTACGTTTAACTCACGTCTTCGAGCTGCCGGACATATGAAGGCCAGTGCGATTCATAGTCTACGTTCTGGAGGGGTGGCGACTCTCGAATCCTTTTAAAAAGCCAGACGCACTTCAGGAGGTTGAGGTATTGGTCGGTAGGCGGGATACGCTCTGTGACGACCATACCGCTCCGAAAGTTGATGGTTGCCTTGTTGAAGTTCAAGATGAAGGCATCAGACAGTTCCCCAAGCTCAAAATCGGCGTCAGTGCGGTATTCCGGTCGATCCGTGAGGGCCTCGAATCGAAATCGTTCTGCCACGTCGATTGGAACATCGAGGAGAACGATACGGCGATGGGCCTGTTGGTTGAGCGCCTGTTCGAGGTCAGGGACGAGCACGCCCATGATTCGATAGATGTCATGATGAACGGCGTTGATCCTCTGAACAAGGTCGTTGTGCATATGCTGAATATCCTGCCGGACCCTACAGAGGAGATCGCTGTGCGAGTTAGCGTTGGACCACATTACCCGACAACGAGGCAGACTTACATCTCGAAGGGCTTCAATACATGAAGAACTTTGGAGTTGTGAAGAGAAATTCGCTGACGCAGCTGATCGGCGGTGGGTTGAACGAGCACGTTCCATTCAATATTGCGCAACGGATTGCCCCCCGTGCGGTACCGCTCATTCGATCTTAGTAATTCTTGACATTCACGAAGCGTGGCATGATAGTCGCCAATAATCTGGCCCAAGGACGTACGATCCCATCGCGCTACTGCGTTGTATCCGGCTTGCCTTTGAAGTGACGAGTTGGCCTGGGTGACGACGCTGGTGAGGATGTCGAGGCTTTCGGCGAGGTACTTGACGTCTCTGCCAAACTCGGCGTATTGTCTCGCTAATGCAAGTTTAGCATCCTGTACAAGACATGGTAGATGATACCAAATGGGTAGGAGGCATCTGAAGGATTGGCAAACGTGTTGTGCTGGGTGGTTCGTGCTGAGAGCTAAGGATGCGATTCGCCTGGGGAGCCTCGCGAGCCCCCCAAGAAGAAGCTGGGGGCATCTGAGATGTGGGAAGAAGGCACTCACTTGCGTTAAGATCGTCGGACCAGCCGTAGCGGTAAATATCCCAGGCCAACCGTCCAAAGTTAATAATGTCTCCAGGCTGTATGAAGCCTGCCATCAGGAGCTGCCCCCGGCTGCTGGCGGGAACTCGGGGGGCACGTTGAGGTTTATGGGAACAGACAACTCAACCGTGGGATTGCGGAGTTGAGGGATTACAGAGAAGAAATGGGGAGTGACATGCAGGGAACCCCTCGTAGGAGGGCGGCTATGTTCATAAGGATTCCCAGCTAATTAGGCTGCAGGCTGGGCTGGATGGGATGGTGTCACAGAACACGGAAACCAGAGTGGTGGGTAAGGTGCGTTAAGAGGACAGAGGAGGGGGCACTGCTCGAACACTCGGTATGGGGGAAAGGGAAAGTGAGGCTGGCTGGCTTGGCCTTGTGCGCGCGTGTGTGTGCTCATGTGTGTGGGCGGCAGGTCTGGCTGAGACAAGTCCAAACAGGAGAGCTTCGGTCCTGGAAATTAAAGGCTAGAAGACGCAGATGAACATGCAGACGGCGCCACATCCCATGGGCCGGCAAGCCAGAGGGTGGATGGGTGTGGTCTCCCTGGAGGGGACAGATGTGATTCCCATAACGGATAGCTGAGCGAGAGCGATTGACGCAGGTGACAGAATAAACCAGTCAATATTCGTCGAGGGTTTGGTCCAGCTTCTGTCTCGGCACGGTTAACCGCCCTGGACGCTAGAGATACCAGACTCAATCAAAGGGGCAAGCCACTCTTATCAAGCTGTAGGACGCCGGTTGATAATGCCTCGTCGTCATCGCCGTTCAGCTCGATACGCCAGGGACACGCTTGACCCGCTTCCCCGCGTTGGGTTATTTTGTCCACCGCAAGTCATTCAGCTTTGGCTTGGCGCGCCATGAGCTGGGGCTGTGCCGACGCAGGGGGGCGGATTGGTCTTGGAAGGATACCGGCAACGCTATAAACGCCCTCCTTGCGGCTTGGTCCCGACCTGATCGGGGGCGGACAAGCGAGGGTGCGAGGCAGACAGCCCGATAAGGCTGGGCGAAGTCTGCCTAAGTCTCGCGTTTGGTGTCTAACAAGGCGGGTAGGCAGCTGCAGACGCACGTTCAAGATCACAAGACAGAGCGAGGCTTCCGGAACGCCTTGTCTTTGGCGTGCAGTCCAGGCCATTCCGGGACATGGCTGCTCGCCCGGCTGCCGTGTGCGTTGCCAAGGGCTTGCAGTAACACAGCCGAGATGCGTTACTTAACGCTTGAAGCCCCGGGTCTCCGAGTGCGTTGTGCCGCCTCGTCTTCGTTCCTTGCTCAGCTCCATCTTCATTGAATCGCGACCAAGTCTTGTTCAGTTTCAGTTGACGAGAACCTTGGAACAATGGACGACTTCCCTCCATCCGTCGCCGGTTTCCGCTCACCGGCCCCGGCGCGTGACGACGCGTCCATGAGCAGCGATGGCCTGCCTCCACCAGAGAATCCCAACGAGATTCTGACGGTTGCGCCCAAGGAGCGGTTTCGACTGGGCTACTTCGACGTTATGTGCCTGGTAATGAACCGAATGATTGGTAAGTCGTCGCGAGGTGTGCTTGGCATTGTCGCGTGGAAACGAGGGCGTGATTCATTTTGTCTCGGTTATGAACAACGAGAAGAAAGCGGAAGAAGAGAGATTGATGTGGACGATGAAGCAATTGAAGTTGCCAAGTTGACGTTGGATTTATGTTTGGGTCGTGCTTGACAGGTGGGGATGGATTTGTCAAGGAAGGAACCGCACCCCAGGCCAGTGCCTGCTCGGACCGCAGATCCATCGTTTTCATGACATTTCCATTAGTCAAGAATTCTCCGAGAATCCATCCCCATTGATTCTCGAGACTCGACGCCAATTCCTGGTTGATGCCAGTATTTGCAGGATTTCTGCGCAGAAATCCTGTTCATGGTGTTTTGGTTGTGGTTGTGGTTGTGGCGATGCACTTCAATAGCGTCGCGTCCATATCCGTCTACCCTACGGCTCTAATAGTCAAGAGACTAACACCACATGTTTCTAGGAACCGGCATCTTCAACTCGCCCCAGCGTGTCATGCAAGGCACTCACTCCACCGGTGCCGCCCTGCTCCTCTGGTTTGCGGGCATCATCTACTGCCTCTCCGGAATGCACGTCTACATCGAGTACGGCCTGAACGTCCCCCGCTATGTCATCCACGGCGTTGAGCAGAGCATCCCTCGAAGCGGTGGTGATCTCAACTACCTCCAATATGTCTACCGCAAGCCCGCCTACCGCAAGGACACAGTTCTGCTAAGTACCTGTCTGTTCGCCATCGCCTTCATTGCCCTGGGAAACATGGCAGGCAATTCCATCAGCTTTGCCACTCGCGTCCTCCGCGCTGCTGATGTTCAAGACCCGAGCAATGGCGCTGTCAGGGGTATTGCCCTTGGCATTGCGACCCTGACTTGCTTTATCCACACTTTCTCCCGCCGAGGCGGCATCTTTCTTAATAACGTCCTGGCCATCATCAAAGTCATGATCCTTCTGCTGATCATCGTCACCGCTATCGTCGTGGGCGCTGGTGGCTTGAAGAAGACGGACAACATCATCACCGAAAACACCAGCACCTCGAAAGCATTTGCTGGCGCCTCCAGCGATGCCAACGGATATGCCCAGGCCTTCCTAGCCATCATCTTTTCCTTCTCAGGCTTTGAGCAGCCCAACTACGTCATGGGCGAAATCAGCCGGCCTCGGAGGAAGCACCCCATTGCCACCATCCTAGGAGTTTCCACTGTGGTTCTGCTCTACATGGCCGTCAACATCTCCTATGTGAGTCTTTGATTGACTGCTCTGCGCCAAGTTCTATCGTCACTAACATGTCAACAGATGGTCGTTGTGCCCAAGGCTGATCAAATCAACTACCCAGGCGGCGTGGCCCAGCGTTTCTTTGAGCTGACTCTGGGGCGTGTCTCCGACGACAAGACGGGCACCCGAATTTTCAATGCCTTCTTGGCCATCGCGAGTATGGGTAACATCATCGTGATGACGTACACAGCGGCTCGAGTCAAGCAAGAAATCGCCAAGGAGGGCATCATTCCCTTTGCCAAATTCTTCGCACAGGACACAGACATGTCCCTCGGCCGTCTCCTAGGCTGGTTCCAGAAGAAGGGGTGGTTCTCTTCGATCCTCCGCATCCGTTGGTTTTCGCCGGAGGAGCACACGGAGAGGACTCCAGTGGGTGCCTTCGTCCTACATCTCATTTCATGTGTCATCCTCATTTTTGCGACGTGGGGAATGACTCCCGATAATGCCTACACCCTTCTTACAAGCTTGAGTGCATATACCATTAACGCCTTCTTTGGAACCTTCTTGGGCATTGGCATTCTGATCCTGCGCTTCCGAGGGCCACCAGCAACAACAGACAATGACAACGCCGAGAGCAAAACTACGGCTCCCGTAACCTGGAGGGAGATGACGGGCAAACATATCAACCCGGTACTCAGCGTCATCTGCGCTGTCATCTACACAATTGGTGGTCTCTGGCCCGTCGTCAATACATGGATCAAGCCAACCAGCGCCATTACTCAGAGTATTAAATGGTGGCTCGTGCCTACGATCTCTTGGATCATCATCGCCAGTGGTATCGCTTGGTTCCTTGGCTTCGTGGGCGTCGCCTGGCGAACCTACCGAAACCACCACAAGGTCTTTGTCGTCGAGAAGCAACCCCATTTCGAGAGCGCGAATGGATTTGGCACAGACGATAGCGAAGGCCGCGGGAGCGGTGGACTCGTGCTCGTTCATGAGACGGTGTATCTGAGTTGGGTAGGCAAGGAGACTCTGAGACAGAGAAAGCCAGAGCAGTTGGTGTTTGATGACGGCATGGATGAACAACCAGCACAGCCGATGTCCATGGCAGGGACAGATTTCGATGCCTTCTTTCAACAGGAGCAACAGCAGCAGCAACAACAACAATACCAACAACCACAATACCAACAATCACAATATCAGCAACCCAGCCAACGTCACCAATACCAGCAACAACAATACCAAGAAGATCCTAACGCAGGTTACGGGACGGGATTCAGACCATCCGAGCTTCATTAACTAATGGAAGAAGAAATCTAATAATGATACCACTTGTTTGAATAGTAGATTGAATTTAGGATACCATGGTTTTAAATAGCAAAGTAATGAGAATGACGAGAATGAATACCATTGTTCTGGAGAGACTGAAGCTGCTGAAGCCAAGCAGCACAATGGCAGACGCGCTGATGTTTCCATCTTGATGTAGCATGTCTATTCTAGACTCGGAAGTTAAAGCGAACGAAGAGTTGTACTTCACAAAGCCGCAACGCACGCGGCGAAAATAGATCGCGAGCAAAAGAGACATGGTCTCTCGAACTGCATTTTGCTTCGCTCAAATACGGAATCCACGCCCCATCCAAGAAACCCACCAGAAAAGCTATGAACACGAAGAGGAGTGAGAAAACCACAGGAGTGAAGAAGAAAAACTCAGAAAGCAAATATTGACGCCGCGCTGGTCTCCGTCTCGCCTTTTCACGTATCGCCCCGTAACCTGATAGCCCTATTCTACTTAGACACAATTCTTTCCTTCCACCCATTCTCTTAATATTTTGGCAAGGAGCGCCGAACTACCGTTTGAAACCCAGATTAGTCCTTCCTCCGCAGCAGTTTTCCATGTCCACCGAGGATACAAGTTGTCGTTTGCGTATGTTTTGAGCTTAGGGGAGTTCTTTGGCTTTGCGAGCGAGGATGCGGACGTTGTCGACGAAGCCCTCGACGAGCTCTTGGTATCGATGCGGTGCGCCGCTGATGGCTTTGCGGCCCTGGTCGATGGTAATTCCTGGAGCCAGTTCGATCTCCAGTTCGTGTTCCTTGTCCATCCTTTGAGCACCCTGTAAACGGTTAGCATCAATGTTGTCTATAACAGGGCTGGATGAAGTATGAACTCACCCCTGGGCCGTTTGATAAATGGGAGACCTGCGTGAGGTCGATCTGATAATGTCCATGCGTGTAACTGAGCCGGTCCTTGTTACGATCAGGCTGTCGATCTACTTGACTTGTCGCAAATTGCTCCAGCTCGTCCACGTCGCCATCCCAGTCCATTTCGAGGTTGATGCTGATACGGCAATCCATGGGGCACATGGGCATGTGTAAGTTAATATCCGCCACGCGAGCCTTGATGATCTTGCCAAGAACCTCGCGCGTCTTTTGATCGTATGTAACGCGCACGCGAACGTTTTTGCTTCGCGAGCCGAGGCGTGCACGCATGCAACCGGGGAGTCGGCCCTGGAGGTCTGACGGGAGTTCGAAGAAGCGGTCAATCTCGCGGCGGTGTTTGTAGAGAACTTGGACGCGGGTGTTGCCATTGGGGGCACGAGGGTCAGTCTGAATGACCGTCTGGTTGAGGAAGTCGTTGAAGTATTTGTGCTGGGCCTGCGAAGTGTCAGTAAGTTATGGAAGCATTCGGGTGTTTTGAGTTACGGCTTACCTCAGTCATGCTGCTCCGGAAGGCAATTCGAGGACTGTCGTGGAGTACGCATTCGGAATCGAGTAATCTATCCACACGATGGTTGGTGTCCTTGTCAATGAGCGTTCCCAGCTTGGCTTCAATTTCAAATTGAATCCCTCGGCTGACAATCTCTTGCATATCTTCATTGTTTATGACATTGATAAACAACCAATCAGCCACCGTCTTGGACATTTCTTCGTACGGCTTGACGCCAGTGATGCTGGCTTCCCATGGACCGAGTATGTCTTGAGGACCTGGCTCAGCAGGGGAAGGTTGGCTGTGGCTGGCCTGATGGGATCTTGTCGTCTCAGGGGAGGTGTGGCGGCTGGGACGAGCACTGCCCTCACTCTTGCCATTCACAGGCGCGTGGGCTCTCTTTTGAAGAACAAAGTTGGCGTGATTTGGCATCGACTTGCCCAAGGTCCGAGCATTTTGGGCCCAGATTGGCGGCTCAGGCCGGCGGAGGCGTTTCTTCCGAGGCATGACGGGAGAGCTGGAGGACTTGGAGCTTCGGGCTTGGCCAGGGACGTGACCTCCGTTGACCTCACCGGGTGGAGGGCGAGTTTCTCGGTGCTCAAGTTCTTTGGGGCTCAGGTCACGATCCTCCAATTTTCGTTTCGCTGGCGTGACTGCGCGGTCCGAGTCAATGACCATGGGTTGAGCAGTGACGTTCAACCTGCTTTCTGCTTCGACCGATTGGGGAGCGAAGTCGGGGTTGCTCTGGAGAGATGGAACGCGGGTCTTGGGACTGACGGAAGCGCTGGGGGCTCGTTCGCTGTGGGACTGAGATCTTTGGTGGATCTCACGTGCAGGGGACTCGTAGCTGGTTGAAATACGTTTAGCAGGCGGTGGAGGAGGAGGCGGCGAGCTTTGTGCGTGTGCTTGTGCTTGTGTTTGCGTGACTTGAGCACCGGCGGCAGATGAAAGCCTTTGTTGGTAAGGGCTTGGCGGCTGCGCGTAGGCGAGGGAAGGTTGTCTCGAGCCAGCGGACAAGGGCGGGCCCACGGGCGTGGGCGGCTGGGAGGGAGCGCGGCTATAATCGCCCGGGGGAGGACGCGACGCGGCAACGGGGCTGGCCTGGGCGTAGGGTGGCCCGTATTGATGCTGGCTTTGAGCTGAAGTCGGTGTGGGAGTCGAGTGTGTGGACTGCGAGCGTTGATGGATGTATGAATGGGAGCCGGCGGCCGAACCGATGGGTGGTGTTTGTGGGACTGGGTGCTGCCCTTGTTGCATGTACGGGCCTGGGGCGTGGCCTTGGCCGACGCCTTGAGGAACTTGGGAGAAGCTTTCGCGTCGTTGGGGTTGAGGCTGCGGTTGATATTGCGCGGGAGGATACTGGTGGCGCTGTATGGGGCTGTTCACCTCGGGCGGAGGTTGCGAGGGAGGGAACGGGAACCCGGGGCCTCCCGAGGCCGTGGACGGTGTCGTCGCCGGTCGGTATGGCGAAGGAGCTGGAGCCGGGCCACCGGGGGATCGCACATCGTGGAACGAGCCGGTGGACTGGAGCGGCGGTGGCGCAGGACGTCCAGGATACGGCCCAGGAGTTTGGTAAGGGGAGGGCTGCGGGGGGTATGCGTTGGACGGAGGCTGTTGGTGTTGGAGCTGGAGCTGGTGTTGCGGCGGAGCATGCTGCTGTTGGAGCTGCTGGTGCTGGAGGTGGTGAGGATGGGGGGGATACTCTTGCGGCGGCGGCTTGCCAGGCGATGGTTGCGGCGGTGGACGAGCGTAGTCGCGATACGAGTACTGGGCAGGGCTCTGCGATGGACGAGGCTGCTGCTGCTGCTGCTGCTGGCGAAGATGCTGCGGTTCCTGCGGTCGCGGGGGTGGCGGCTGCTGCTTAGGCGTCGGAGGCGCTTTGGGCTGGCCGCGGTCGCCGTTGTCCGAGGTGTTGAGGACGGATCTGAGATCCATCGTGGTCGGGTTCGCTCTGGGCGTGGGCGGCTGCGTTGGTCGATGAGGCGTTGGGGTTGGAGTCGTGCCGTGCCCGACAACGTGTGTCGGGGCAGCTCCAGGCGAGACGGCGTCGGGTCAATGTCAAGGGCAATGGCACGTCTCGCATCAGATCGCAGACGCGACAAGATCGCAGCAGCAAGGTACGAGGGTTGGATGGGCGATCAGATGGATCCGGTCCAGTGAGCAGGGCCGTCGTCGTCGTCGCGCGAAGGAGATGGGGATGCGTCGCAAGCGGACATGGATGAGTCTAGCACCTTACGCCGCCATGGCGAGGCTGCAATGCTGTCGATGTCGATTGACGCCTGGTGATTGGGAGACGGACGGGACGCGCGGGGGATGGATGGAGCAGGGAGTCGCACGCGCTGTACACTTGTCGTTAGATGGCCATACTCGGGGATGGTGATTTTTTAGCACTGTTGTGTCTTGACGTTCCAAGAGACAAAGGAAGAGAGACGAGGCGGAGCCCAGCCAACAACCTCTACCTGCAGGGATGTGTGTCGCAACGAACGAACAGCCAGAGGGCCGGGGAATGAGTGGCACTTTTTTTCTTTTCTAAACCAGACCTGAGCGGTACTTGTGCTGATCACTGCGCTAGTATGGGTCGCGGAGGTACCTCTGGTCCACAGCTCCAGACGGGCTTGGCATGTTAGGCACATCATCCCAGGGTATTTCCAGGGGCGTATCCTCGCGGGCGCTAGCACCATCAGCACTCGAGCCCACTGAGGGACGCTGTGGGAGCGCGTTCCTCTGGCGGATCGGGCCCCGGCTGTGCCCTGGAAGGCTCGTTTTAGGGGCCAATTTAGTGGACAAGTCACAACGTGGAGGAGAGAGCTCCCGGCTCCATCCATTCTCTTATCTTCAGCCTCTCATCCTTAAATCTTGTTGTAGTTCGGGTTTCCATCTAGGTACTTGACTACAGAGTACCGCACTTTCCATCCCCAAATTTGTCTGTCTCAACGTCATGTTGTTGAGACTGGCTCAAATTTTCTTGTCTTTTCTTTTCTTTTCTTGTGCGTGTGTTGGTGCGCGTGTGCGTTGAGTAGTCACGTATGTCTCACGTCCCACGGCATAGTCCAACAGATAGTACAGCTCCAGACCAGCCCAGCCCAGTCCAATGTCTGCCATTCGAGTGACCTATCTCTTGCATGGCTGCGGGTGCCACGTACGCCAACTCTCCCACCGCTGCGATCCACTGGTAGGATGTATGACCTACAGGTAGACTTCCCGTCCCGCCAGCGGTGCGGAAACAAATCCTCCCTCACTGCCCGTTTGTCTGGAAGCTTGGGGGTACGTTTTGAGACTCGTGCCATTGATATCGGGCTTGCTTTCGCTAATGCCATTGTGATTGACATGTCGGTTCATCACGTTGATGCTGCTCAATGCGACCTGCCCCTGAGACCCTGAGAAGCCACCTAGAGCTAGCTGTCTGCCGCGCGCTTTGTCCTTCTCCGTAGCTGTGATTACAAGGTACAGAGTCAGGTACCTAAGGCCCTAGCCTCTGTCCGAGCGTGACATGCATTGCTCTAGAAGGCCCTGGACTTGTAAATCTGTGAGACCCTGTGGCCCTACAATTGCCAAGAAACGCGTCCAACTGTGGCTCACAGGGCCCATGCCGTGTTTCGTGCTTTCAAGCCATGCAAAAGCGGTCCCTGGGCGGTGTCGGGGTGAGGCAGATTGGATTTGGACACGATGCTCTGATAGGGCGGCTCGTTGCTTTGTCGTTGAATTTATCACGTGCTGGGATCCCTAAATGACCGACTTTGCACCGGGCTCAGCTACTGGCTGTCCTAGGGCCTTAGGCAGAAGCTGTCCGCGTCGTCGCACCATTGTTCCAATTGCGGCGCCGCTTCAATCTGGATGAGTCAGCCAAGATTAGGTAAGATTGGTCGTCTGTCGTACCTGCCTCTGCCTGGTGCGCAAGCTTGCCCTGGTCAGTGCGTCGCCTCCGAGGCAGAGCTGTGCCTGACGTGGACCATCTCGAGTTTCCCTCTTGAGCAAAACAACCACCTCAACATCTCTCATTCTCTCCCTTTCCCCGCCCCATCTCTCTCCATATCACCATCCCACCCAAGAGACTCCCCTGCGCATGCCGTTGGGTTTATTCGGAAACCGCCCGTTTGCTTCTAGTCGCCCCATCTTGTCTCTCGAGTCGCCTCTCGTCCTCCTGCAGCACTCACTCGCCCGCCCGTCCAACCCGTCGCACACCTTCAAGATGCCTGGACTCGTGTCGGCGACCGGCGTGCTCGCCTTCCTTGCCGACGAGGAGCCTGAGCTCAAAGTCTTCGCCCTCCAGACCCTCAACGACGACATTGACACCGTCTGGACCGAAGTTGCCGCCGCTCTGAGCCAGATGTGCGTCCCGGATCCAGCAACGCTACCTTCGTTATTGATAAGCTGACTCTTGATAGCGAGGCTCTCTACGAGGACGAGTCATTCCCTGAACGCCAGCTCGCCGCTCTCGTCCTCGCCAAGGTCTACTACCATCTCCAGGCCTACAATGACAGCATGGTCTTCGCCCTCGCCGCGGGCGACCTCTTCAAGCTCGATGCCCCCGGCGAGTTTGAGGAGACCATCATCTCCAGGTGTATTGACCAGTACATCGCCGTGACCGCCGCCAAGAAGTCATCTCCCCAAGCTTCCAAAACCACTGACCTCCCCGAGCTCGCCACCACCTTCGCTAGCGGATCCGATGCCGTCATGTCCCCCACGACGCCTTTCTCGCAAACAACCCTGCCTCCCAAGTCTCTGCTATCGCGCGATTCCGTCGACAACACTATGCTTGAGGCAACCTTCCAGCCTGCTTTCAAGCAGGGCCGATCCGGCTCCATCGCCGAGCTCCCTGACCAAGCCACCGATTCTCTGCAAAGAGTTATTGACCGTCTATTCGAGAGCTGTTTGAAGCAGGGTCGGTACAGGCAGGTGGTCGGAATTGCTGTGGAAGCCAAGAACCTCGATGTCCTTAGACGGGTTATCAAGCGTGCCAGTGATGACGAGAACAACTCCAAGTCCAAGACCCAAGAGGGCACTCCCGGTCCTGCCGAGGATCTGATGGAGTACACTCTCGGCATCTGCATGGATATCGTCCAAGAACGAAGCTTCCGAACTGAGATTTTGAGGTTGATTCTTGATCTTCTCAACGAAATTCCCAACCCTGATTATTTCGCAATCGCCAAGTGTGTCGTCTACCTCAACTCTGACGACGAGGCGTCGCGAATGCTCCAAACCCTTGTCGATGACGGTGATCAATCTTCAATCGCAAACGCCTATCAAATCGCCTTCGATCTGTACGACAACGGAACACAGGAGTTCTTGGGCAAGGTTTTGGCTGCTTTGCCTTCTGGTGAGCCTCCCAAGAAGGAGGAGTCGGAAGAGAAGGACAAGGAGGGCGAGTCAGAGCCCCTTCTTGAGGGCCAGCAGGAAGCCCCCGAGAATGAGCTCCCCGAGGACGTGGCAAAGGCTTATCGCAACATTCGATCCATCCTTGACGGCAGCAAGACCATCAAGTTGAACCTCGAGTTCCTCTACCGAAACAACCGAACCGACCAGAGCATCCTCAACAAGGTGCGCGACAGCCTAGAGGGCCGCAACTCCATCTTCCACACTGCCGTTACCTTCTGCAACGCCTTCATGAACCAGGGCACCACCAACGACAAGTTCTTCCGTGACAACCTGGAGTGGCTCGGCAAGGCCGTTAACTGGTCCAAGTTCACTGCGACAGCCGCTCTCGGTGTCATTCACCGTGGAAACCTGTCTCAGTCTCGTAAACTCCTTGAGCCCTATCTCCCCCGCCAAGGTGGCCTCAGCAGTGGCTCTATCTTTAGCCAGGGTGGTGCTCTGTATGCGTACGGTCTTATCCACGCCAATCACGGTGCCGATGCCTTGGAATACCTGAAGACTCAGTTCAGCCAGGCTGAGGAGGAGGTTGTTCAGCATGGTGGTGCCCTTGGTCTCGGCATTGCTGGCATGGCCACTGGTGACTGGGAAATCTTTGAGAAGCTCAGGGAAATCCTGTTCCAGGATTCCGCCCTCAATGGCGAGGCCGTCGGTCTCTCCATGGGTCTCATCATGCTGGGCACTGGAAATGTCAAGGCCCTTGAGGACATGATTACCTATGCTCATGAGACCACTCATGAGAAGATTGTTCGTGGTCTAGCCATCGGTATGGCTCTCATCATGTTCGGCCGTCAGGAGGGTGCCGATGTTCTAATTGACGGTCTCCTCAACGATCCCGATCCCACTCTGCGATACGGTGGTATCATGACCGTTGCCCTTGCCTATTGTGGCACTGGCAGCAACAAGGCTATCCGAAAGCTCCTCCACACCGCTGTCAGCGATGTCAATGATGACGTGCGCCGAATCGCTGTCATGAGTCTCGGTTTCATTCTCTTCCGCAAGCCCGGAAGTGTCCCACGTATGGTAGAGCTGCTGTCCGAGTCGTACAACCCTCACGTTCGCTACGGCTCTGCTATGGCCCTGGGTATCTCTTGCGCCGGTACCGGCCTGGACGAGGCCATCGACCTCCTCGAGCCCATGATGAAGGATCCTACCGACTTTGTGCGACAGGGTGCTCTTATCTCCCTCGCCATGATCATGGTGCAACAGAACGAGGTTATGAATCCCAAGGTCTCCGCCATTCGCAAGACGCTCAAGAAGGTGGTTGGCGATCGTCATGAGGATGCTATGACCAAGTTCGGTGCGGCCCTCGCCCTCGGTATCATCGATGCTGGTGGTCGCAACTGCACCATCGGCCTACAGACCCAGACCGGGAACCTCAACATGGCTGGTATCGTCGGTATGGCCGTATTTACACAGTACTGGTACTGGTTCCCCTTCACCCATTTCCTGTCCCTGAGCTTCTCGCCTACGGCCATCATCGGACTGGACCATGACCTGGAGATGCCCGACTTCAAGTTCCACTGCGCCACCCGCCCCAGCCTGTTTGACTACCCCCCTGAGCAGGAGGCTAAGGCTGAGGAGGGTCCTGCCTTGATCGCCACTGCTATTTTGTCGACCACTGCCCAGGCCAAGCGAAGAGCCCAGAAGAAGGAGCGCGCCCAGCGACGCGAGAGCATGGATATCGACTCCGTCCCTGCTACCGGTGCCGACAAGATGGAGGTAGATGAGGACAAGAAGGCCGAGGATACCAAGGACAAGAAAGAGGTGGACGAGAAGGACAGCACCGCGACTACCGATACCAAGAAGAAGCCGGAGAAGGAGAAGGTTGGCTATGAGATTGAGAACATGAGCCGTGTTCTCCCCGGCCAGCTCAAGTACATCAGCTTCCCAGCTGGCCGATACAAGCCTGTGAAGAAGGTATGTAGATCAGTGATGCAAAATTCCCCATGCTCAGAAACTAACAGACACAGCCTACTGGTGGCCCTCTCCTGCTCCATGACTCGCAACCTGAGGAGTCGAAGACGCTGCTCGAGGAGAAGCTCAAAAAGGTGACGACCGAGCGTGCACCCGTTGCGGGCCAGCAGAGCGCTCGAGGTGGACGATCTGGCGCATCCGGCCGGTCCCTACTCGAAGGTCTTGTAGACCCGTCGCGAGCTGGATCTAACAGCGCCATGATGCAGCAGTTGCTTCGGAGCCAGGGCCGTTCGCCTTTTATGGTCGATCCTCAGACCCCCGGAAACGGAGGCGCGGCCGCGGCGGCTGGAGTATTGACGGCGGTGGATGAGGATGGTGACGATGACGAGGAGGCCAAGGTCCCCAAGGAATTTGAGTACTTTTCGGATGGCGACGAGGACGATGAGGACGACGACGAGTAGGGCCCGGCGCGTTAGGATGTAAGTGTTCATTGTACAACTAGACCAGCTTGACTGGCGGGGATACAGGTGCTTTCGGAACGGGTTTGTTGTATACTACGTCTCGGAGGGATGTACTCCAGGAGCAAGGAATACGGGTAGACACTAATTACCACTTGACACTGCGGCTGCAGATCGTCTTGATGCTGATTTCTGATTTAAGATGACTTGGTTGTGCGCATGTGAGGTTTATCAAAGTGATTCCGGTGGATCGTAGTGGTATTACTTTGAACTCGCAGTGGGTGGGTGTTTTAAAGACATTAATACGAGTACATGAGAGCAATTCATACATTGCACAACCTGAATAAACGACCATCCTTGGTATCGAACATGGGCACAACATAATCATTAGTTTGCCCCCTAAACTCCAGGCCACCCGGCACCATCCCAACATGAAAAAGCGCTAGATATTCTCCCATCCCTCGTATGGGTCTTCGGGGAATGTTTCCCCGCCGCCCGGCGGGTTGTCGGAACAGACTTGGAGGCGATGCCAGGCTGTGGCAAGGTTGCCGCGGAGATTCCAGGTGGCCGAGTGGCTCTCGGGCTGGGTGTTGTATGACTCGTCGGTGGCTTTGACGACGAAAGTGGCGCTCAGATGCTTAGATGAGGGATGGTTCTTGGATGATGGGTCTCCTTTCTTGTCGTCGGCTGTTTGCTTCACCTGCTCAAAGGCATCGAGGGGAACTAGACCCTCATATCTCCATCGTCTCCACGCCCAAGAGCCATGCCCAAAGCAGGAAGAAGGCGTGCCGTCTTTGGTGGTGCAGTCGGGGAGGATCTTGGCCTGGGACCAGGTCTTGCCGCCATCCAGAGACACATCAACACGGACGATGGCACGGCCGCCGCCAGAATAAGCATATCCGCTGAGGGCAGCCTGCTGTGCGTATTTTGGCTTCACCTCCTTAGACTTGCCAGTCTTAGTTTGGTCACCTTGTGAGGGTAGCTTGATCCATTTGCCGAGTCTGCATCCCGTGATGGCGCTCTGGACGGGCATCTCTTGAATCGCAGGCGCAGTCTCCCAATCAACATGCGTCTGGTTGGGGCCGAAGCACTTGTAATCTCGTCGCTGCCACTGGCTTGTGCTCTCTTCGTCGCTGAGCGAGATGTGGCTCAGCCACTTTACAGACCGAGCAGCAACATGACCAGGGACGATGGCTCTGAGAGGGAAGCCGTGGTCGCGAGGCAAGGTCTGGCCGTTCATGTTGTAGGCGAGCAGGACGTCACCTTGAGGATCAATGGCCTTTTTGATGGGGATTGAGGCGCCATATGCTTCGAGAGCGGAAAACTGGACGTGCTTGGCCTCGCTGGTACCTGCCAGGGCGGACGGGACGTCGAAGCCAGCGTCGGCGAGCACATCGGAGAGGAGGACACCCTCCCAAGACGCATTGGAGATGGCACCGACGTTCCACGGAAGCCCATTTGCCTTGCGTCCGGATTCTTCACTCATGTGCCTGCGGCGGTTTCCGGAGCACTGCAGGACGGCCGTCACCTTGTGGGCAGGGAATCTCGTCTTGAGGTCGTGGAGCGTGTACTCCTTGATAGTGCCATCCTCGAGCTCAATAGTAAGGGTGTACTGATCTGGATCATTGGGGATGGTGGGAACCCACATGTGATTCCGGACGTAGAAGAGGTCGTTGGGTGTAAGGAAATCTGCCGTCATGGCATCTGTGGGAGTCTCTGCATTTCGCGGCTTGGCCGTCATGGTGATGAGGGCAGGATGCCGTTCTGGGTCATCGGAAAAGGGATCTTCAATCTGTTCTTGAGCAGGTCTTCCATCAACTAAATCGGCTGAGTCCACATAGCCGATGAGAAACTGGCCGAGGATGTCGTAGATGTACTGGGCCTTGTGGATGGAGAAGATGTCCCAGTATGGTTCGATGGAACCGCCAGCAGCTCGCAGGATGACCTCGCCTCCGGGGTGGCCGGCAATCCAGTCGGTAATGTCGTAGACCTTGTCACCATATATGACCCAGGGATTTGCGGATTTCCCGTCATGCTTGCGGACCTCGGAGATGCGGAACCGGGGGATATTGGGGTCACGACCGTCATGTTTGGTGTTGGACGGTTGAACAAGCGAGTCGCATTGGGTGGGAGGGGCATGGAGCAAACTAAAAGCCAAGAAAAGGGAAGCAGCACCAGCAATAAGGACGACGGTATGGAGATTGGAGCATGTTGACGATGCACTTGGAGAGGCTGCCGCGATCCGGCTTGTTGGCTTTGTGGTTCTATTATTGATGGGGGTTGAACTGGAGAATCGATGTCCGGCTTGTGGCCGCGACGAGGGTCTTGGTAGATTGAAACAGGACGACTGCCATTGTCGGCAAGTCAGTCGAGGTGTTAGTCGCCGTGCCGCTGGAGAGAAGATGAAAGCGGACATGATGTGCAGTGGTATCAAGGTGAGTGAGGTGAGATTAGATAGAAGGGGGGTGGCAATTAAAGCCAAGGCACGAGCGACTCAGGAGGAAAGACGGTCCAGACAGACGACAGACGACAGACGACAGGCTTGACCGTCGCCGCCAACCAGGGAGCAGTAGAGTAAAACCTCCCCAGCAATACAATCCCTTGATGCTCGACGCGTGGTGTAAAGGAGGTTGGTTTGGCAACGGGGAAATTCTCGGAGGGAAATGGGTGACGACGGGAAGGGCGTCAGCGCCGCGTGGCGGGGCCGGGTGGCTTTTAAGGCATCGGGAAGGAAGGGCCAACGGTGTTACGGGCGGTCTCACCAATATAGATACCTACACACATACAAGGCGGTGAACGGGAGATGGCCGCGCACGTGGACTGTTTCAGTACCCAAAGATACGAGATTGCTTTTGGTCTGGGGAGAGTGGCCTGGGAAGAGTGGCCGACGCCAACAAAACATAAGTGATGAGATGCGGCCGCCGACCGACGATTGCCGTTGGAAGCCATCCGGCCGGGCCTCGCCCCCCGGTGTATTAGTGTATTAGTGTATTAGGGGTCACTTGACGTCCGGGCTGTGCCAATCAGGCGCTTACAGTGGCTGCAACCGCTGGGACTTAGTGGCTAAATACCCGGCGCACCGCTGAAGCCCGCTGCGACCCTCCCTAAACAGGGTTGGTCTACGCTGCGTCTGGCAGTCTGGGACAGACCGTGGCTTTCTGATTCGTAGGTCAATTCATATTCAACTGATTGAAGCCATGAGGGAAGAGGTCTGGTGCAGTCAAGGCCCAAGAGAGAACCACGAAAGAGCTTCTCAAACCATTCACCATGTACAATCCTCAATCGTCTTCCCATCATCATCACAGCCACCACCCTTCGGCAGACACTGCAGCGCCCGTGCAACCCAATTACTTACACGGTACTCACGGTTCACATGGTCGGCGACCTCGGGCACCATTCCCCAGGTACCCGAAGAGATGGCATTCTCGTCGGCGTACAGAGTACCAGCGCTACACCGGCTGCCGCGTGTACTCACCGGTCACCGGGACAAGCCCTCTCCTTTCAAATGCCGGTGATCCAGATCTCTCCGGGGAATTAATGTAATGCTTAATGAGAGACGGGCACATGGAGAGGGAGGGACGCCCGAGATAAGAAGAATCCGATGAAGCCGATTCCCGAGTCTATTCGAATTGAGTTTGCACTCACCACCCTTGCTCGCTTCCCCATGGCACTGGCACAGCAGGATTCTCGTGGCTTGAGATTATCATCCATCTTCGACTCGGAAACCAGTCCGGCTTCTGTACACCGACTGCCGGATTGCCTCCTGACTTGATCTGACTTTCCGACCTGCAGCATTAGTCCTCCGAACCAAGTCTCAAGTGACCGGCCATTTCTATTACTCAATAAACGTGGCCTTTACGTACGTTGCCGAACCGCAGTCACATGATCCCTCCTCCGTCCCATTGCTCACCGCCAACTCCAATCGGCTGCCGGCCGATCCAACGTCAGACCGGACGTCGGTCCCGGCCCTCGGGCCCGACTCCTCCGGACTTTGCGACCCACCGCTCCGGCTTGACTCCACATTCGAGGTGTCAGCAGTCTGCATTTGGCTTTCATCACGTCCTGGTAGTGGGTTTACAGTTTGCGAGCAGAGAATCTTGGGGTGCCAGTTCTGGTCAAGCCAATCATCTTGGAATAACTCCGCCAGTTTCAACGTCGTCTCTCGCCCACTGTCCAATATGGGTTTCATATTTCTTTTCATTTTCATACACTGGATGATGTTGCTGACCAGAACGTCATATAGTTGCAGGTATTTCTGATTCGAAATGATATAGTACTACCTTGCTGATGATTTAAGAAAAAAATCTAAAAACCCTTCGTGAATTCGATAGTGTTTACACAGGCCTTTACACTCGCTGTATCCGTGAACCCTCCCAACCCTGATGATGGCCATCTTAATGAGGCATAGTAACATTCTGCCTGACCAAAGGAGCCATGTCCGGCGGACTCGTAGAAGTACCCATATCGCCACTGCTTTCCCCACCCGTGACAAGCACTCCCTTGTTGTCGGAGTCCGAGGTAGTCGTTCCTGTTTCCGTCCCAGACACGTCTGGCTTGGCCCCCAAGCGCAGAATAATAGCGTTATGGTCAAACTGCCGATCAAGCGAGATGGGTGCCGCCTTCTTCGACCCGCGCTTGTTCTCCGCGCTGCGGAACAGGTCCGTGAACCAAATCCAGACGGCCGACATGTTCTTGCGGGAGAAGAGCATGAAGGGCGCCTTGAGCAGAAGCAGACACAGATAGCCGAGGTTGCGGACCGTTTCTTGTAGATCGCCAGTGCGGTATTTGCGACGCATGTCGACGAGGACGAGACCGATGAGAAATCCGAAACACAAGGCGAGGATGCCGTAGACGATGATGGTGGCGGCCATATTGTCCGAGTCCACGACGAAAGGATTGTGTTCGATGTTTCCGGTAGGATCGGGTTGTTCTTGCTTCGTGGCCGCAAAACCGGAGTAAAGAGGATTTTCCGTCATGATTGTTGGTGCCATCTTGGGCAAATTGTATTCTGGGTAAGGAAGAGGTTTGCTTGGTGCTGCCGAAACATTCGAAGGTTGATGGGAGTTGAAGAAGTTTGACAGGCGGGAGAAATCTAAGAAAGTCTGGGTTTTAAAGATCGCAGTCTACACAACAAGGACCATTGAAGGGCTTGATATAGTGACATAATCGGAACCCCTTCGGACGTGGTCACATTATACTTCGAAAAATTATATCGCAGTACCTAGTGCTCCAGCAAGGTGTCAAGCCACCCAATATTCACCTCCTCTCAAGGCCTCAGGACCGCATCGATGTCTACCCGCTCAAAGAAGCTGATGTGCCCAAATCCAACCCAGTACTGAGCCAGCCGATCATGGCTGATGAGCAATAATTGACTATCGATAAATTTTTCTATTCGCAAACATCTCGTTAGCCTATGCTTACTTAAACTTTGGACATGGCCGCTGTTCTCACCTCCAACGAAGTCCGTTTCGGCCACATGGCCTCGGCTTTTTACCACCCTAGCACCCATAAATGGCGGATCGGTAGCATCTCCGACGTAGCCCTCTGGGCCTAGGTCCTCGACTATAAAGGTATGTTCTCCACGCGGAACGTTGGGATCGCCGGTTAATTTGATGGCTTCTAAACGCCCGCGATATATACGAGCATCCGTTCTTCTAGCTTCCCATTCTGCATCGGTTTCGATATTGTCTCGTTCAAGACCAAGTTCGGCATCTGTTGCCGGTAAGTCGTCGGGTTGATGGATTAACAGAAACTCGCAACCGTGGCCGCTGTAGTCGCCGACCCAGATCCCTCGCCATGGCTTGAGGGCCGTCGGAGTGTAAATAGCTGGGTCAATTGTGGAGTACGAGATGACCTCTTCACCCAAGTGAATCCCGGCCATACCCCCCGTCATCCCTATGCCTCCAGCGAGAGCATTCTCAAACTGCATTCCCCTCAAGACGTGTCTAACTCCGGAAAAGGAGCCTGGAGGTGCGAGGGCGATACCCGGTGCCGCAGGACTTCCTGCCATCTCCAGCCAGTGGCGGATCCGAAAGGTTTGGTCAGAGACCTCGGACCGCTGCTGTGGGCGGTCTTTGGAGTTGAGGGCAATTCTATCCCGTCCTTCGAAGCCGCCGGAAACGTGATGGCGAGCGGGTACCGCTGGCGGTGGCCATACGTTACCGTAGGGGTACCCAGTAGCAAGCTTCGCATCCGCGACATCTGGGTCTAGCGGACGGGCTAAGAGGAAGTTGCTGAACATAGCCCCAAGCCGATCGTCCAACTCCATGGGGATCTCGTCGGCAAAGCGGTTGGCGCCGGGCCGCTTGGAGAAGCCTCCATCGTTCCTGGTCGGTCGGATACGGAATTGGACCACGGGCTTGTCGAGATGGAGAGCAACTCGTGGTTCAAACCCGTGTATAACTACCTGGCTGTGAGCAGCCCAGTGTTGGTACGTCGTTCGGTTCCTGCCGGCGAGCAACTGGTATCCCTCGATACAGCCGCGTCGGGGGTCATACCGAACGACGATGAGCTTACCCATTAGTTCACGGTCGCAGAACCAGATCTTGTACCGCGGTAGAAACCATACGAGATGGTGGGCGGCGTAGAGTTCATAGTAACTGGCGCATGGGGCGGGACTTGTGAGGGTTACGCCAGGGACGTTTTCCTGGACGAGGGCGTGCCAGATGACGTCAGAGAGAGCGTGTTTCCGCAAAGCATGGCATGTTGCAGAGACAGAAGCGACGTCGTAGGGTGAGAGATGACAGAGGATGGTGTCAACCAGCTCGGGAGGAAGTGTGCGGAGTCGGCAGCCGTCAGATGAGGGTTCCGAAGTGGCCAGGGAAGTGGCTGGTGAAGAGGAGACCTCCATGATGGAAGACGCCGGGTTGTCCATCTTCTATGGCAGACCGATCTGTTACAGATGCTGCGATGGAGCGACGGAGTTGAGTCAAGACGCCGAGGTTCGATTTGACGTGACAGTTCAGTTCGGTTCAGGGTAGGCGACTATCGGAACGGAGAAGCAAGCGGAAGAGGAAGAGGGGCCAACGGGCTCATTTTTACTTTCCTCCCCCAGCCAATACGAGAATCGGCTGATTTGTAGTTGTCGTCAGTGGTCTTACAGACGCTGGGTTTGAGAGACTGAAAGATGGAGCGTTGGCGAAATTCGGTGACGCAGATGAGTTGGACGATGCGTGCATGTGCATTTGAATGGTAAGGTGTTGTCCCGTCTGCTGTATACCGCCTTAGTAATAACTGATATTCGGTTTGGCGGGGTCACCACCACTTTGGGGCAGAAAACTACCAAAAGTTCCCGTAGTTCGTCGCTAGATCGCATCACATGAAATCCCGATCTAGGTAGGCTGTCTCGAGGCCTAAAGAAAACATGTTCAGCCTATTATCGCCCTGCATGTGCCTTCCAGGCTTCAATAACCGGCACCGAAGGCCATGTCCTCGATCCACTCGGCCATGATCCATTCACCACGCATTCTGGACCATGTCGTCTGCCCAGCCGGAGAGACATCTAGTGTGGCATCCGTCGGTAAACCTGTAGCTTTCAGGGCCAACTGACGCCTCTGTAAACTCGTTAATCCCTGGGAAAAGAGAAATGATCCCTACTCCCGGAGGTGCATCGTCCAAGGATGTCTATCCGACAAGTGGGCGCGATGCTATTCTTAGCGCCTGTTAGAATCGAGCTTCCGGTTCTGGTATCTTGCTGATGGATTTGTCTCTTTATCCTTCTTGGCAGTTGGTATGCCCAATAGGCATTCAACCCTATGGTCCCAACTATTCCGAATAGAGAGAAGTAACCAAGAATGAAGCATTCCATCCTGGATCCGGACCAAGATGAGAGAATGCAACTAAGAGTACTAACGGGGTCCGGTTGCGGAGAAGTCGGCATATCGTTGTATCGATGCCCAACCCCACGAAGCCATCACCAGTTCGGCCTCGCTAGGGTACGTATCTTTCTCGTGCCTTGGGCTTTGGCGACTTCATCGTCGACAACCCAAATTTGCCCTTTTGATTCATCGCATCATTTCGCCTCCTTCGTCGCCCGCCCAGACTTCTACACAACCCCCCTTCCTGGCTTTGTTGCTGAACTTTCTGTTGCCATCTCATACTTGATTTGTCCTTTTGCCATCTCCTACACCTCTGCTCGTGTGATCTGACCTCATCGACGCATCACCAGCCCAAGAAAACGTCACCGTTCTTTCATACGAATAGCTGGCCGCCTGGCACCTCACAGCCTTCAATTATAGTTTCGCATAGCCGTCACTGTTGAATCTGCCACGTTTTGCATCTCTCCAATCGCCACATCAATTTGACTCGCTAATCACCCTCCACCAACGTTCCGGACGCTGCCGAGAGGGATCCCTGCCACATATTGTACTTCCGCCTTCCTAAGTTGGCCTCATATTCAGCTATTTCTATTCACCGCCAAGAGACTCCATCTCCAAAACAACCCACCTACCATATCAGCTATGGCGTCCTTGTTACCGCTCATCTCCGAGATCCTCCCCATGATCATGCCGTCCTCGACCCGCATCACTCGAGCCAAGCAGCTTGAGCCAGCTCACCCTACTGTCGAGGGGCCTGTCATTCAACGAGAAGCCATCGTTAACAAGTGCGACAAGATGTGTGCATTAGGTGAGAAAGCCCCCAGTCATCGTCTCGTATTCTCAAGCTCTTCCTCGGACTTGATGCTAACCGTCGTACACAGTGCTCACCACTCGGCCCAACTCTGCCTCCACCATTCGTCACAATAGCGAACAGGGTAAGCAGATGCTCATACTAGGCCCATTGCACAATAGGCATCTCAGTTGACAACTCCTCCAGATGCCATCGTTTATGCTGTCTCCGGAAATGGTACCCTCGTTGTCAATCAAGGCTTGGACATGGACCTCAAGAATCACGACTTGTCTCCTGGCGACTTTGCCTTTATCCCCGCCTGGACAGAGCATCAAGTGAAAAATGATAGCGATGAGGACATTGTGTGGCTCATAATCCAGAGTGGCCCTCATCCCATCGGTGCTGACCTGGCTGACTGGGGAGGTGATATGATTACAATGCGCGACTAAGTTTGAGTCTCGGCTGGAGATACAGTTATCCAATGCGACCTTTCTTCCCACTCCTCTGCACTTGCACTTTACTGCGGCAGCGCAGGTCTATCAATTACGCAGTTGGACCTAACCAAGTCGAGTACTGAATCGGCAGCGGAACGGTCGTCAAACAGTTGCGCATGGTCCAACTTTGGGAACATCACCACGTTAATCCTGTCACGCTCTTCACGACCCAACTCGCCGACGCCAGCCCCTTCGCCTGCATCCAGGTAGTTTGAAACAGCCGCCGTACCGACGATTAAATCCCGCCCAGCCAGACTTATTACAGCCTTCCTCTCCGTTCTGCGCCCGCCACTCTCGGACACAAGCAGCTCATCCTTCCATAAGATGTTCTCCCGCCAGAAGAAGTGGCGTCCTAGACAGAGCGCCACAGCCGGGTCGGTGCTCGCAAAGTACCACAACTGCCACTCGTTGGCCATCTTGGGCCGCCGTCGTGTAAAGTTGTAGGCGACGTGGGGGAGGTGGAGCGCGATGGTAACCGGGTCGATCAGAGCAACAGAAGGGATGCGGTGCTGCAGACTGGAAGAGTGGAGCATGTGGGTTGTTAGGACGGAGCCGTAAGAGTGTGAGACTACCGAGAATTCCTGCCAGCAGTGGTGGTCGATGATGGTGGTCATCTGATCAAGGAAGTCGGCCTTGCTTGGGATCGGAGATGTGAGGCGGAATGACAGCGGCAGCACCTCGATGGCGATAATTCCAATACTGCCGTTTCCATTCTTTCTCGTTCCAGACAATCTTGCGAGGAACCCGATATATGTCCAGAGCCCGATACCAATGCCGTGGAAGAAAACGACCGGGACCTTGTCCTCGGCTGAGTGGGGGCGATGCCAGTAGCTTAACTGGGGTGAGGGAGACTGTCGACCCCCAACGAGCTCCTGAGGGCGTGGAGGGAAGACGCGAAGTGCATTGGCCCGACTTTTGTGATAGTATTCGAACCCATGCCAGAGAAAGGCCAGGTGAGTAAACTGGTCGACACAGAAGATGATCATGTACCACAGCAGGCTTCGATAGGAGGACTCGACGGTATCGAGCGTGAGACGCAGGCTCTGTGCACTCCCATAGCCTTCTTTCAAGGGGCGTCCTAGCTTCTCCTCGATCATGGAAATGAACTCGGCAAGTTCTTGGCCCGTAGCCTCCGAATTGTCATCATCCATACCGGTGGTCTCATATCCCTGCTCGAAGAATGCCCAAAGGAGGAATTCTCTTACGTTGTCGCGCCGAATGTCATCGGGATGCGCACCGAGAAACCACCCCTGCAAATATGTTTCTACAACTTGGATGTTGATCATGCATCGCTTGAACAAAGCCATCCGTTCTGTCGATGAGAGCGGTGATGGGTGACAAGCATTTTGCTTGAGACGCACGAGGTACGGACGATAGACGAGCCCAAAGAAGAGAGCCTCAGCCAAGAGCGCCGTATAAAGAACCCAAGCGACAGGCTGCGACAAGGCTGCGGAGCCGTAGAGGATAGGCAAGGCGATGATTGCCGCAACGTAGACGAGAGGCGTGTATTGGAAGAAGAGGATGGAGAGACGGATAAAGATCCATTCTGGGAACGAGGTGCCGATCATGGCGACTGTTCTCCGCGTACCCAGTCAGGGCGGACTCGCTGTTTTGACGTAAAATATGTTGGAAATGATAACAACTGCATCGATGTTGTGTAAAGTGAGAGTCGTGGAAGCCTTACGAGGATGAGTGATGAAACTTCTAGGCAGATTTGTTGGGACAAATATGGGGCAGCCTCAGGCCATAACAGGTTGATTTCTTCGGTAGCCGACCAAAAGCAGATGAATTCCCGAGAAATATTCAAGGATTGGATATGGGACCCAGCTTATTGCCTGACATGAGTGCATTCGATAGACAATATCCCAAGTTCATTTGTTTGTTGCTGGACCGTTCTGGGTTTGGTACTAGTAGGGCGCAACACAGCCACAGATGACGTCTATTTTGCGGGTGTCTGCACTGCCGCGACGCCACAACCGTTTGCTGCCGTATAAACTGCGACCTCCCGTCTTACTTAGTGCCTGGCAGACTTCTTTTGCGGAACCGGGGCACAGCAAAATCTGAGGATATTTTACTCCCATGGGTTGCGCAAGGCGATCTCATCTAGTTTCGAGAGATATATGCCATACTCCCACAACAAGTCCATAAAGTGGACCTATTTACGCCCACGTCTTATCCAGCGTGTCTCATCCAACAAGCTACCGAAAGCTGGCTGGCTTGTGAGAGAAAGGTCCCCTGTATCAACAGGCTACTGCAGCTCTGAACCTCGGGCCTTTGGGGCAGTAGGTTCTTTCAAAACCCTTTTATTCACATTGATGTGAATGAAATACCATATAACATCTATGCAAGCGTTGGTCAACGACTAGACGTACCTGACGGAAGCTGATACTGAAATTCTCCATTGATGCTCGGGTTGATCTAGACGAGTCAACACTGACCATACTACAGTCAGTGAGACGGGATGAAGTAAATAGATGAGACAAGGATGGAAATTTGGTGCTGATGATCCATGATAAATAGACTAGAGCGGGCGGGGAAGATTCGTTGTTCGCAGCCTGATTGGAAGTGGCAGTGTCGGGGGTTGTCACGTGGGCACTCGAAATCCCGACCACAACGGTGTAAACCAAATGATACCAAAGATGCAAAAACAACGGCGAGGTTTCATGGGGCGGCGATAAAAAAATTGGTTTATCGTTCAATGGGATGATCTAAACATGATATTAATGAAGGGCAAAAGCTCAGTGGCTTTGGGTGCCCTGAGGCATCCAGGCACCTGGCTGGTGAGATGTCCTCAAGAGACGACCACAAGAGAGGAGAATTACCAACGAACAGACCATCCAATCCCACTGAGACGACACACACTTGTAGGGATAGTGTAGGGGATGCCTTGAATATCGTGACAGATGGTTCTTGGCCCCAGGTCCCTCCGCAGCAGAGTTCCCTCTCAACGTCTGGCAACGGGGCTTTTGAGTACCACAGATATCATGACGAGATTTCTTCGTCCGAGGAGGTTCTCGAGGATATATTGCTTGCTGTTTTAGTAGATATATCGACGAGAGAATGCTGGAGGTAAATGATGGGTGTAAGCCGGTTTCATAGGTCGGGGCGACGTTGGATGAGGTCGGCAGAGGAGGACGCTGATTGGCCAGGCCCAGGACGGCCTCTCTTAGAGCCCACCCCCGACATAAAGCCCGGCTCCCCCCTCCTCGCTCCTCTTCCCATTTCCTTCCCTCCTTCACTCTCTTTCTTGTCATTCATCAAGAAACATCCATAATTTTTTCAGAAACCCCAAATCACTTGACTTCCATCCCATCCAAACCCCCAAGAGTCCTTAGCACTTACTAGAAGGACATCCCACATCCCATATCGCTGCCACCTCACTGTCGCTGTCTCCACCGTCACCCTCCCCCAATATACCATCCAGTTATCCAACATCCTTTCCAAATCATTCATCTGTTGCCTCTCTAGGCATATCATGTCTCTTCACCATCCCGTTGCACTCCACACATCTTCATCCCCGTACATGTCGTCGGCGCTTCAGCTGTCCCATGGTCAAGGACCAATGTGGAATCATCAAGGCCAAAGAGAAATGCGTTATTCGCATGGATCACGGGGCGGTATTGAGCCAAGCACTCTCAATTATCGCTCTGATGAATACCCCAGACATCACTGGAGTGGTAATGCTCAAGAGGTCGTCCTGGCGAATGGGGGAGTCAGCGCCCGCAAACCACCGTCACGTGCTCGTCACCAGTCCTGGGACATGGACTCCCTTCACAGGCAACCACGCTCCCATATCGATCCGCCAGCCCTTTCCAGCTCTTGGACCAATCAATTAGTTCGCCCGTCATCTCGACGTGGCTCAAAAAGCTCCCCGATGCGAGGCCCCCGGAATGGGTTTCCTCGAGTCGAGCAAGAACATCTGGACTCCAAAGTTGCCATGATCGGGTCTTGGTGTAATACAGACTTGACGCATGCCATCGTCTCTCCGAAGGATCTCTTCGAATACGAGAAGGACGCCTTGTTAGATGATTGGCATCCAAGAACACCACGGGAGTGCAGGCTTCCAACTCCTGACCTCGCACCACTTTGCATGGATTATGAGTTTTGCGCATGCTGTCAGAACGAAGATGACAGGATAAACGAGACTTGGTACATGACCTCCAAGGTGAAAATGGAAGATCAATGTATGTTGAGAGGCTAAGGTCTTGGGTCGCCAGCCATTTGTTGTCTAGATGCTGACAAAAGACAGTGAACAGTGCAATGGAGCATATCGCCAGAGCCAAATCTCAGTCAGGATCCTCAATGATCCGAAAATCCAGGTGAAGTGATGTGAAGCAGTAGATAGGGCTTCATGATGGTGGAATCGGTAGGGCAGGTTTGGCGTCCCGAGTTACAGCTCCCAATGTGTTGTTTCTGGTTTGGCGTTTTTTGTTTCACCGATCAATGACAGGCTTGATGGTTTCGGTGGGGGTTATCAGGACGATTTTGAGAAAAGTTCCAACTAATGGACCGGTGGATGGCTAGGATCAAGGATTTCATTTGTGTTCCTTTGCGAGAGAGTGTTTTGGTTCGATGGCTTGATCCACGAAGAAAGTAAATGCAGGACATCCAATTGTAGGATCATATTCCTCCGTTTCTTTCTGACAGATTTTCGTGTAATCAATCTTCCTTTATTCTGACGTATGCTTAACTCTTCTCGCGTTGCCTCCGGCCGAACTGTCGTCCGAACCGCCCCGTCACGATTGGCTCTTCGCAGCAGCCCGCTGCTCTCTGATAGTTGAGCTGCTAATCTTGGCACTGAAATCTTCGGTCTTGGCCGTGCCGCCCTCGCCTTGGCCTTCCGTGATCGCTCGAGCATCCAGCACGTCGATTTCGTAGACCTCCAACGGCCGCCAACCTTTTTCAGTTCTCCGGTCATTGATAGCCTTGCCGCCACCCCTAGTCTCAGCTGACACGACAATGACATCCATGGCCTCCTCTGTGATGGTGGGCCCAAAGGGGTCGTGGATGTTGACACAGCGCACCAACACTGTGCGATTTCGCAGTGTGGCGGTCAACTCGTCGGGCTTTGAGATTGTAGGAGGGGCCGTCATGGTGGTTTTGAACTCGAGGAGGGTACAGAGGAAGGAGAGCACACTTTGGGCACGCTCCTCCCAAGACTGCAGCTCCTCGGCATACTTTTTGTTGACGAGTAACTCGTCACCCGAAATGCCGACAATAAGGGTGCATGTCTGGCCTGAATCCTTTTCAGGGATAGCGAGAAGCAGCGCAGTCGCATGTAGAAGCAACTTGTGGCCAGGATGGAGATGATCAAAAGTCCCTCCTAAACAGACAGTGCCAACGAGGTTGGGCTGGTCCACAGTTGTTTTAGCGTCGGTCTCTGTGATCATAGTGATACCACCGTCAACAGCGACAAGCTGGTTATAGGTATAGATCTGCTTTTCTGCAAAACTGAGGAAATCAGACAGCAACTTGTAGCCAGCCTCAGTGCTGGGATGGAATATGGTCTCCCAGGGATGGGCTTTTGTGGCAAAGGTAGCAAGATCAAGTACAGCAGTGCGGTTAGGCTCATAGCCGCCATCTGGACCAAGCCAGTATTTGCGCAAGGGCTCATGATCGACCAAGACGATACGGGAATCCACGCTCCCAGGTCCAGCACCCACATCAACGTCGATAGACTCGCTTGCGCAGATGCCAGAGACAAGTGTGTAAAGACCTGCTAGTAGCGATTGGGCCTCGGTCCAGCGGACGGACTTGGCTCGCGGGGATGGGCCATCAAGAATGGGGCAAGCGACAGCAATAACCAACGTAGCTTGGGTTGGCAGGCTTTTGAGTTTGTTAAGAACTGCAGAGAGTGGTGCTCGGTAGGCGGCATCCAAGGCGATCAGTGACGAGGGACGTGGCGGTGCAGGAAGGAGGAGAAGCGCGGGGGGAGAGGTTTGAGAGAGTTCCTCGATGGTCGCCATGATGGTTTGTGTGATGGTTTACTTGATTGATGGTTTAGAGACAAGATGCGAGTTTAAGATACTATCCCGTACCTCGGTTCAGAGAGGGCGTGTAGGGGTGGAGATGCGAGCGGTATTCGTCGCACTCAAATTCAGGCAGAAGAGAATCTTCAAGACAGTAACGAATGCGAATAGACGTTGAAGTATATCATGTCACAAGGTCCATATTATTATCCAGTAAAGGACGGGCTCATGATGGGTGAGATAATGCTTGAGTCGTTTGTTGGTCTGAGGTTAAGATCATGCCGAGTTCGAGGTGGGGTACTTACAGGCATCCACACGCGCGACGATCATCCAGGGCGTCGTTATTGCCTGAGGCATGAAGGATCAAAGAATGCAACATTGGAAGTCGCTGCCTCAGTCTTTCACCAGAAACTTGAGGTACCTTCATCATCCATCCTGTAAGTCAAGCATGTGAAAGTAACAGTCTACAAACTTTTTGAGATGGCAATCCAGCTGGTGGGAAATGGCCTAGAAGCGGAGCAAGGGTACCGTGCCAACAATACTCTACGTCACGACTCGGCGGTGAAGAGGCAGTATGTGTGCTTGCAGCCAAACCTGCGCCGGACAAGGGTAGCGGGAATTCTGGGCAGAGAATGACAGAGATGACACTGGATGGTGCATGCAAATAGAATCATTACTGCAGTCAGTGCACGCCATGAGGCTGGAAAATCGAAAGGACTCGGCTGTGACGAGACGCTTTCATCATTTATTATTTACGCATGTCTGCGCACATCTGCTCTCGATTGGCGCATGGCGGAGCAAAATAGTGGCCGTGGTGTTGACGCATCCAATTACCAACCGCCGTATACCCGTAGCATGGTCGCTGATGAGCTTGGCCACACGCCGACGCGCACGGGGGCAAAAAAAACTCACGTCATATACTCCAGACAGTCGAGCCATCATGGAAGCTCTTTGCTGTGGCCCTTGACTCTCAAATACATCCAGACCGAATTTTTCTCCAGTGGTTGTGGCGATCTATTTTATTTTATTTCTTATTGAGATTCCAGATCACTTCAAATCACCCACATTATCAGCACCACTCCGCTCAGTATCGCTGACATTGGATAATCGCAGGGGCAACACCAAAAAAAAATGGCAGAAAACTACACCTTGCGTATCACGGCCGGCCCAGGCTACGACGAGGATGGGCATGTTCAAGTTCCTGTCAACATGGCTCAGCCAATTCGCATCTCTAGTGACCTCGCCGACATTGAGCTCAACGTGCGAATCCAGGATTACAAAGGACTCCCTCGTGAATCGCCAGCCACGTCTCCCTACTTCTCCGCCGAGCCTCATGCCTACAACCAGGATCAGTACAGCATCGCGTTCCGTTTCACCGCCAAGAAGCCAGCTGGTGAAGATGGCGCTGGAATCATGGCTACGAACTTGCAGTTCGGTAATGACTTTGATCGCCCCATCCGAGATCGCCTTCCCCCCGGTTTCAACACAGCCATGAGCATTGTCCGGTGGTGGATTGACCCGGGCCTGGATGGAGATGCCTATGCCGACAAGCCATACTTGTATGGGCCCGCTCTAAGCTCCTTCAACACCATCCATGTGGGTTCCGGTGAGTTTGACGAGGACAAGGGTGGTCTCTGGTTCGAGGAAGGCGGCGACGAAGCTGGTTTGAAGGCCCGTGAGGAGATCGGAGCCCCCGAAGACAACAAGGCGCGGATGAAGTGGGCGCTCCGCGCCGATAGCAAGGATAAGTGGGTGTTTGAGTACGACCAGACCTATGGCCTGGATTTCTTCAACCCCTATCTCGACTTTTCCAACCTGGCCTTGAACCTGCCCGGGTTCCAGTTGCCCATCATGAAGTACTGGGATGGCCAAGGCCTCAGGTAAGCACCCGTCTGCTTGATTTTGGGCCTGTTTTGCAGGTGTCCCCAGTTTCCTTGCGAGCCTCCGACCCTCGACGGCCGGGGGTACGCGTCTAGATGATCATCTTTCTTACGCCTCTCTTCGTCTACTGTCTCAGGTCCAACCAGAGACGCTCACACCAGCTCAGATACGTCTTGAGGAACAAGGAAACAGATCAGACATATCTGGTCGTCCTCTTCACTCTGTACAACAAAGAATTTGTCAATGAGGACGGGTCCCTCAAGCCGGGGGCCAAGGAGTCCATTGCCGAGCAGCGAGAGATCCCGATTCCCGAAGAGGAGGGCGAGTACAACGAGGTCAAAGCCCTCAACGAAGCGCGAGACAAGTTCGGGCCCAAGTTTGGCGAGGAGGGGTACGAAAAGACCAGCCCCGACGACGTAGATTAATGGCGGGATCTGACCGGCTTTGACCGGCTTCGACCGGCTGGCTTATCGGACACAGTGGGAGCGTGCCGGGGCACCGAAGCCCCCGGTGCCCGTTGCAACGTCACGCTGACGATATTGGTTCTAATGGAATAATTCTCTGCTTCGCCCATGTTACCATGTGACTGCATATTTCGTCGTCTACGCAGCCAGGATCCACCACAATTGAGTCTGGGGCTGTAGGTCGTATCCTGGCCATAGAACATAGGCGAATAAGGGGTGGGTGGACAACATAAAAGCTTCGAAAAGCTAGATCGGGATAGTGTTGAGGAACTGAACCAATTCCATGGACGCTAGAGTTCAATGGTACGCCGAGAATGAGAATTTCACAACCGCCGTCTCATGCTAGTCCACGCAATGTAAAATAACTGGGGGAAATGCTTTGATGTTCAAGGTGCCTCCGCGATAAGACTCGGTCAGATGACGCATCACGTGGTACGCAGTCCATTACTCGTGACTCCCACCAAACACCCATCCCAAGCTAACTGACGTCTTCAACATATCCAGCAAAACTGCAATGCTACCACCCACTTCGCCTCAGATGGGATTCCCCGCGGGTTTAGACCGGTTAAGTTACGCGCGCAGCCCGCGGGGCCCGCTTTGGGAGGGGTGGGGAAGTTAATACCAGGTACGTATGTGTGCTCCCCAGATCTCATCTCATCTCCCTCATCTTCAAGTGCCCAACGAACTATGCTCACCTTCCCCTCTCAGATTCCCGTGGCACGAGAAAACCATGTTCCGGTAATAGTCGGTCATAGTTCTCCCCACCTCACTTGTGGATCCCGCCGTGCCAAGAACCCCGCTGAGCGAGGCGGTGTTGTCTCTAAACGACCAACTCTCGGCAGTTCAGCCTCTTTTCTTCCCATCAAGACGAGTTCCGTTCGGACCCATGCCCAATCAGCTGGCTTCCCTTGGTCCTCGGCTAAAATTCGTGGAAAAGATGGCTGAATTGCAGCGTTGGCGGCCCCGCGAGACTGCTCGTGTCCAGGGTTCAAGTGCCGCTGATTGACCAAAACACTCTTGGGCCCGTCATCATGCTGCATGCCCATCTTATTCCCGGCCTCGGAAGAAATCTCATCTCGGCCTCGGACACTTGAGGCAGGTCCGATTGCATGGCTGAGTGGGGGGATACGAATGGCTTGTTCCCGTCAAGGCCCAGACCTTTCATGGCCAGCCTTGCATATGTGTCGGACGTCAGTGAACGGTTGATACTCTCACTTATTCGGTGGGAAGAAACATCCAACAGCGAATTTGTGTCTCTCAGCGCTCATCAAGCGGGACTGAAAGATGATAAATCCGATCGCCCCTAACCTGATTCCTAATAGGTATCATTTTTCTTGTCCGAGAGATACCCGCTGATCTTCAACACCACTTCAGTTCTGCCGAGTCCGCACTAGCGCCTAGCACCGTGTACAAGTCATTCGTGGGTCTTATTAGTCTTTCGGGTTGACATGGAAAGGCGGATATTACACCCAGAGGCAATTATTCCCGTCGCCATTCCGCCGCTATGCTCATCTCCCGTTTCATTTATCCCGTCCAGCCAGCCTTCATAACCCGGGGTTGTGCCCCAATGGGTGTGGTACTGCTTTTCAGTGTCTCACGATCAACTCCCAACCCACCCGGATGTTGTCTCATCCTTATCGAAGCCAGTATCTAACACAAAACTGGCTGGCCAACTGAAGCTCTTGACGACGATTCCTTCAGATCAAGCCTTGAAACGCACCACAGGCACCACAGAGAACGAAAATGTCTCCAAATAGCGAGTCCCGTTGGGACGGAGATACTCCGGTACTCGATCAGGGCGAGTTGGAGATCAGCGTTGACAATACTCTCGCGCCCAAAATTACAGAAAAAGTATTCGCCAGCGACGAATCGATATCATATCTCTATCTTTCCTTCAGCAGCAACCTCCCGTCGCTTCCAACAGCCCAGGAAGCCGGTCTTCGCGATAACGAGCAACTGCCGCCATGCCCAGACTTGCGGGCTTATACCTCTCCCCTGACTTGGGCTCTGACCCGAAAAAACATCTTGCTCGCGCTCTCATGCGTCGCGACGTTCCTTACGGCGTATACTGCCGGCGCCTACTCGCCTCCCTCTGCCCTGATGGCAAAGGATCTCAACACGAGTCACCTCGCCGCTCTTGTCGGCATTACGACGTTCTGTATGGGCTTTGCCATAGCTCCCATGGCCCTTGCTCCGATATCCGAGATTTTGGGGCGCTACCCAGTCTTTGTCTTTGCTGGCGTCGTATATGTCATATTCCAGGCCGTCTGCCCTGTCATGACCTCCCTTGCTGGCATGCTGGTTGCCCGGTTCTTGGTTGGGGTTGGTGGCTCAGTGTTCAGCTCCATCATTGGCGGTGTTATCGCTGATTTATGGGACAAAGAAGAGAGGAATACCCCAATGGCAGTATTCAGCGGAGCTGTACTGGCAGGAACTGGAGCAGGGCCGCTGGTTTCCGCAGCCTTTGTGGATGGCATGAGCAATCCAACGCAAGCATGGAAGTGGGCTTTTTGGCACCAGGTAATCATGGACGGTGTCCTTCTTGTTGCCATCATATTCTTCTTCCGCGAGACCCGAGGGTCAGTCTTGCTGTCGAGGAAAGCCAAAAGGCTGAACCAATGGTACGAACAACTGGAGAGCGCGGGCGCCTACGGCGTCTGGGTAACAGAAGTTGAGGAAGATACTGCTGAATCATCATCGTCGACCATCAAAACCCTACAGCCCGACCCCGCCGAACTTGAGTATAGCTCTGGTCAGGAACAAAGGCCGCAGCGTCGATTACGGCGCGTCAGATGGGTTGTCAAGGCGGATGAACAGCGGGCATCATTGGCCAAGATGATGTCGACATCGGTCCAACGCCCCTTCTATCTACTCTTCACTGAGCCTGTCGTTTTTTGCTTCTCGATTTGGGCTGCTTTCTCGTGGGGAGTCCTATACTTGTCCTTCGCCGTTGTTCCATACCTCTACTCAGACAACCTCGACATGTCCAGCCGTGTCTACACGGCTATGATTGCATCTGCTATTGTCGCAACAATCGTGGGCATCTTGCAAGAAAATCTGATGAAGCATCCCCAATGGAGGAAGCAAGAAGAGGGAGACAAGCCCCAATCGGGATCCAGGTTTTGGGCATTCATGAGGAAGAACTTCCCTGCGGAAGCGCCAGAAGCAAGGCTTTATTTTGCATGCATTACATCGCTATTCCTCCCCGCAGGATTGTTCGGTGCATTTCTGGGTCCAGCCAGCTCTAGCCATTACGCACAACCCATCGGGATTGGATTCGCCAACTGGGGTATTTACTCAGTGTATCTCGCAACCTTCAACTACCTTGCAGACACATATCACCTCTATGCTTCGTCGGCTCTCGCCGCCCAGAGCTTCTGCCGCAACGTGTTGGGGGGTTCATTCCCAATCATCACTGGGCTCATGTTCGACAACCTCGGTCTGCGAAACGCGGGATGCCTCCTTGGTGGGATTGCTAGCGGACTGACACTTATTCCCTGGGTTTTGGTGTTTTTCGGAGAGAAGATTCGGTCCAGGAGCAAATTTGCTATTGTAAGATCCCAATATCCCCGATCGGCGGTACAGAAGCTAACCTTGTGATAGTCTTTGCAATAAAGTCTTGGATACTTTTCGCAGAATAACAGGGTGTACAGGCTTTTCTCTCGGTTTCTTCAAACTGGGGGTTAGCTTTGACATACTAGACCTTCTAGGAAGAGCAAGAGTTGGAGAGTTCAAAATTATGACTTATGATGAGGAAACTAGATAGCCAGTCTTTTCATAGCAGGGAAGGGATGTCTGCTGCAGCTAGACATATTGGGGAGTTTGATGGAGCGAACCACTCGGATTACACGACGGATGTTAACGCGTTTCTACGAAATGAGCGATTATTCTATTATCATACAAAAGAACACCGTGTTATCTGGCATGTCCAAAGATCGTCGATCAACCATTGCTACAACGTGGCGGAAATTTCTTTCGACAAGCTTCGCTTCCTCTTAGCTTTTGCCTTTCCGTACACATCCAGCAGTCGCATTATCCTCGTCTTCTCAACTCCGACTTCTTCCAACGCACCATTAGCCCGGCCTTGTTCCCCTTGAGTTTGGGAACCCACGCTGGACTCCAATGACTGGCTTCTCATCCTCTGCAGCGCCCTCACGACTGGCGGGAGAGAGGGGGTTCCGGACGCGTCAATGACCGGTGGGGGCAACTGAACGCATCCCTCCCAAGCTGCCACAGCCGCGTTGGAACTCGTGGCCGCGACAGTATCATGATCATCTAGCAGAAGAGCTCGGTTTCCCATGTCGATGTAGGATTTCTGGCCACTCAGCCGTGGCCAGATGGTTGATGGAGCTACGCGGTAGCAATGTTGTCTCAAGTCCCTTGGCGCGGATGGAAACATGGCGTCTACAAACCGAGTTGCGTACTCTTCGCTGAAGCCGCAGATACGGACGGAGTTGATGCGGCCGCGCAGTGCCAGGAGGCGGTCACATATGTCGAGATAGGAATCTGGGCAGTAGTAGACTTGGTGGCCCGGCAAGAAGGGGCTCGTTGGGGTCTTGTTGTCGGTCTGTCTCGGATCCGGCGTCTCCGTGCCGTCAGTTCCTTCGGTTGGGGAGTTCGCAGCCTCGTCCGAGTCGATATTCCAAAAGGGCCGGCGGCGGACTGGCGAAGAGCTGAGTGCCTTTTCGAATCCAGGTGAGTCCTGCCTCGTCCCTTCGAGACTGGACGGTGGCTCGGATCTCTGGCTCAGACGACTGTAATTGCTTGCTTCACTCGATCGCCCAGTAACGGATTTAGTTGGCTGGTCTTGGTATCGTAGGCCATAGAACCTCCGGCACAGAAGAACCAAGCTGTTCAGGGGCCGCGTTTTCTTTCGGCAAAGTTGGTGTTCGACAAATTTATGCAGCAGTGCGTCAATGTGTTCAACGCCAGGGAGTAGGCCAACGGCGTATATCTCGGCACCACAGTCGAGGCGCGTCATGTCGATCTCGACGACGATTTCCTGGGCATATTTTCCGTATTTATTCAGCCATGTCGTAGCAAGCGGGCTGACTCGGGGTCCCACGTAAGGCGAGAATGTGGCATGGAGCCTGACTTCAAGGAGAAAGGCAACGAGCAAATCTGCACGGAACCCAAATGAGACTTCCAAGTAAGGCCCAAGAGGCAGCAGTGCTGTGCTTGGCGACTGGAGATCGTCGGTACGCCAGCAATCCCGGTTGAAGGAACTCCGGTTGAGGCGGATGGGCTTCTCAGTGCGGTGTGGTGCCAGGACAAACTGGCAGATCCGCATGCGAACGCTGTCAGGGAGACGGAAATATCCAGAACTTGGTCTTTTGTGGCCATGATCCTTGAAAAACTGCTGGATGGCGTCAGGGAACCGGGCGGCGTTGTTGGTCGTGTTCTGGTCTACCGCGTGCTTGTGGTACACAGCGTCAAATGTGCGATCCCAAGCGGGGAGGCCCTGTCGGTGAGGATTCACTTCGGTATTCCTGAGCGAAGTGATGGAGTCATGATCGAGCTTTTCGTGGGTTCCTTCAGGGAAGGGCGACGAGAGAGATCTCTGGATGGCGGAATGGCTTCGAGCTCGCCCCTTTGCCAGCGCCACTTTGCACTTCGTTAGTTAATATAAACCAGAGAGCTTCGGGGTAAGAGCTGATCGTAGATATGGACAGAAAACTAGGATTCTTACTCATCTCGACTCCTGACGACGGGTTCTGGAGCTTTTGTTGTGGCGAAATAGCATTGTTGTGACAAAGTTGGTCGCGAATGGTGGTCAAGAAGTACGAGAGGATGATGTAAGGAACAGTGAATCACCCTCTGCCAAGATTGGGCGTGCTCTCAACTCACTGCTTGTTTACTTTTACGTCAAAACTTGCCGCTTTGTTTGCCTCATTTCCTCCTTTGGCTGACGGATCCTTTGTCTGTTTGCCCGTTACGCTTAGGATGGGTAGTTACGGCACTAGTAGGCAATCCAAGGCATCGCTCTTATTCAACTACGAAATACCATGACATAGTAAATCATAATAAGTAGATTTTATCCTTTCTCCGTGATTTGGCATGTCAGGTATGCAAGTCTAGCTAAAATTGGGACATCACTTCACAGATAGTTCCAAGCAAAAATTGCCTGAAAAAAACATTGCATTGTATTGGGGTATCACTGAATATTTCAGTATCTACAGACATCTAGTTCCGCACACTCCCGCTTAAGAGAACGTGGGGTTCAAGTTCGAATACAATTCAAGGACCTGGCTGTTGCCATTCCGTGATGGCTCTACAGGGAGCCGCCTGAGAAGGCCCTGCGTTTTCTCCTCCTCTTTTTAACCGCCGCTATCAACTGCGCGGAGCTCCTTGGATCCGTGGTCGGTCGTCGGTCGGCGAGATGGTGAATTGCCGGTGAAATGTGTGCTTTTCTGGTGTATTCCTGGCCTTTGGTTCTATTTTACTTGCCCTTGGCCTTGGCCTTCTCAGCCTGAGCCTGCTCGTAGATCCAATCGTTCAAGCCGTTGCGGTTTCTGTGGCATAGCCGTTAGAACAAAGTAGCTCCCAACTCGTGTGGAAAGTAGTCTTACCGGGCAATCTCAACAGCGTAGAACTGCATACGCGGCACTGCAGACATTGTCAGCGTTCGAGAAATGCATTTCAGTTTCGATTTACATACCGAAAACAGTGGTGTTCTCCTCGTACTCGGCCTTGGCGTCGTTGCGGACCATGGTGCCGAAATTGTAGTCGTCAACCTTCTTCTCGTAGGCCATCAAGAACTTGCGCCACCTGTCCTTGCCCTGCTTGCTCTTCATCTCGTCCTCGTTAATGGTGGCGGCAGGGTCGAACTCGGGGAAGTCGGCCTTGAGGTGCTCGTAGATTTCGTCGTCGATCTTGGTCAGGCGGAGGGTCGAACCCTTGACCATCTCAAGGATGGACCAGTAGGTCTGCATGTGCTGGACGACTGAGGACACAATGTTAGTGCGAGGAAGTCTTTTGGTATTTTTGAATGCATAGATACACACCCTTTACAGCAAACTGCTTCTCGATCTGGCGGGACGAAGGTTAGCTAACAGTCTTGGTGGCTCTGGCATTTCAGGCCTGCCATGACGTGGGGCAACTCACATCCTCGTTGTTCTCGGCGTTCTCGGCGTCAAAGTTCTTGGGGATGGGCCCGCCGGACATGCTATCAAGGGGATCCATTTTGGCTAAATGTGATGTCGAATTTATTCCGTCGTGTCGAATCGCAAAGTTGTGGTGTTGTTGGTGTTGACAAAAACCTTGAACGTGGGGCAGTCGGGTGTGAAGCAAGCCGATGGAGGGGCAATGGAAAAAAGTGGGAGGATGATATCAGCGCATAGTGCATGCGCCTGTTAACACTGTACTATACGCACTGTGGTTCTAGTGCCTACTCGAAGTTGGTGGATGCTTCAGGCACTAACACTAACACATAGCATCACAATAGTCAGCAAACGAGGACAGCAACTTCGATAAACTCCATTTCAGGGCGGGCAGAAAATACTGAAAGTCACATGATGGAATTACACCATGGGTGTAAGCCTCAGTCAGGATAGAACCCAGCGGACAGGACATAGCCAGTGTATCTATTTTTGGAAGTTGACACCATATTCTCATAACTCATTCCATTTACTTGCGGATCAATCAGAAAAGCCTTTATATTCATTGGTTTGAAGATAGGACAATGACGTTACTTGATGACTTGCCGGCCAGCGAGGACATTGCGCTTCAGACTGTCACCCCGCATCCTGGGATCGAGTCATGATTCCCCTTGTCTTTCTACTTCTGCTCCGCTTTCAACTCCTCTCATATTTGCCCGAATTGGCGGGCAAGTTTCAGTGACCCCTCAAGGAAACGTAAATAGTTGGGGTTGGGATGAGACGTGGTTTCCATAATTCCTGATATATTGCTAGGCTTTTCTGTGCTGGGTATATGGTTCCGGGGCAGTAAAGCCTGTTCAGTATTTAACAATTAACGGCTTTCAACATTTCTTACACTCCGTCCCTACAGTAGGGGTCGAGAAAGAGGGTGAAAGAAGACGAGGTCGGATATTTGGACGATTTAAATGGCTCGAACCAACGCTGGTGATGGCCTAGCACTGCTGAGAGAAGCCCAGACTCCACATGGAGTAACCACAGCGAGAGCTTATCCAGTGTAAGTGTTCGTGTGAGAATTAGCATATCACGGACCTGTCTCCTTTTACTTGTATCTTCCTTATGTTCTGTATATACGTTTTGTACATATGCTTCCCAAACCCTTGCGCCAGTTTCAGTTAACCAATTGATGCATCATATGCCACAAACGCTGATGGAGAATAAATGCAATGCCCAATTTCAGCCACCCTCACCTCTACGCTATAGGTCCTTGATCTCAAACCTTTTTCTCAGATACTCGCCATACTTCATGAAAAGCCAGGGAGCTGGTAGGAGCGCGGCGGCAACGAAGCCAAGCAAGCTGTTGCCCCAGCCCATGCCGAGCTTATCGTACATGGGAAGACCGGCCAGAGGTAACAGAGCACCCGCGATAGACCTCATTACCGCGTTGGCGGCCAGGGCGGAAGCGGCGTATACGGTAAAGCTGTCTACGAGGTACATCTGGAGCGACTGTTTTTTGGGCAGTTAGCGGTGTTAATTTTCGACCAAGGGCAGAGGGTAAGAACAAACCATAAAGATGATGAGGTTTCCAATACCCATAATAGCAGTTCCGATGATGGGCGCAATCCAATGAACCTTATACTCAGCCGTCCAGCCGTAGATGAATAATCCCGCGGGGAGCAACACGGCACCAATCCTTAGCGGTGGCAGTCTATACTCGGGCTTCATTCCACTAATGGTTGAGGCCGTGTCATCATCTCGAGCACCACCAGCCTCTCCACCATCGACCTGTGAAGCTTCGGCGGCGCGTTGCTTGTCCCGTGCAGCCATTTTCTTGATATGTCGGTCGCTAGCCACGGAGAAGTATGCAACTCCAATCATGCTTCCAACACCAAGGCCAAGAAATGTGAGGCCAGCGTTTATCGTGCTAAAGCCGTATATGCGCATGAACAAAGGTGTGAGACTAGTGAACATGAGATAGAGGTAAGCGTAGGCAAGGCCGACGTAGAGTCCGCAGATGATACAGATGGGAGAGAAGAGGAGCATCTTAAAGGGACGAAGAATTCCGCGTTTGAAATAGTCGGCCGGACTTAAGCCAGCATCAAGTTTCGAACGCAGCCGAGGGTTGCCCGTCTCTTTCTGGAGCTTCTCAGTCTTCCTCTTTAGGATCACGGGAGCGTACGTCTCGCCAGAGAAGATCAAGAAGATGGCCGAGAGTGTCCCGGAGATGATGGTGAGGATCCAAAAGACCCAGCGCCAGCCAAGGGCGTCTGACACAATTCCGCCAACAACTGGGCCGATAATGGGGCCGAGGAGAGGACCAATGGCGAAACTAGCCATGGCAGCACCGCGCTTCTCCTGGACGATCATGTCGGCAATGGTTCCTCCGCCATTGGTGATGGGAGCAGACCCGAAGATGCCACTAAGGAAGCGAAAGGCGATGAGGGAGTCAAGCGTAGGCGCTTTGGCGCAGGCGATGAGGAAGACTTTGAGAATTAGAGGTTAGTAAGACTGTTGATAAATGGGGAGTTCAATCACGGCAAAGCGACCTACCAATGAACCCAACATTGCAGCCATGATAGACAGGGATGCGGCCATACAACTCAGACAAAGGGGCAAAGATCATGGGTCCAGCCGCGAAGCCCAGGACGTACACGGAGACGCAAAAGGAGGCGAGCTCGGAGCTCTTGCTCTCGAATTCGACCATCAGTTCCGGAACGCCAGGGGCGAACATAGCTGCAGGTAGTATAAATCAGCATGAGAGCGATATCATGGCCACGTTTATCGCATGAACAACCCGTGAAAATTCCATCAAGGAGCGAACCAAACTTACACGACGCGAGGGGCGTGACAAAAGTCAGCGCGCTGACAAGGAAACAATTGAGAACCTTTCTCCAGCGAGCCCAGTTGTAGGGGTTTTCAGGGTCGTTGTCACTTTCCCACCAAACAATATCGTTTTCGCTGCTTGAAGTCTCTTCTCCGTCGTCTTCCTCATCCTCCTCTTCTTTGTCGTCGTCATCTTTATTCCCATCTCTGGAGACTCCTTTCTCAAGATCTTGGTGTTCTTTACTCCTTCTCTTTTCCAAATCTCCGCGTACCCGGTCGTGGTCACCGGCGACACTGCTGCTCCTCCTTGCACGTCGACTGCTGACAATACTCGCTCGACGCTTGCGTTCTTCGGTCTCGGTCAGAATAAACCCGATGTTACTGGGAATGTCGGCGTCGTGTCCCTCGTCGATGGCCTCGCGTGTTTTTTCCTCCCGGGTAGGCTCTCGCTTTAAGGCGAGAGATGTAGTTACCGGCTCATCGTGTTGATCGGATGAGTTGGCTGGATGGTTCACCATTGTGGTCGTAGGAGTCGTCTATCCTAATAATAAGATTGTATGAATTAGCTCCACGGTCATGACTAACACCTTCTCTGTGAATTGAATGCGCATAAGAAGTCATTGTCATAAATGTTTTCAGAACGCGCAAGTTACTTATACTTGAAGGATGATCAAGTTCGACCAACTCATCAATCAACCGACTACCGTAACTTCCGGTTCCAAAATTGTCCTGGGAGGATGTGGTGGGTACGTACCGTCACAGGAAAAGCTTCCCGGTTAAGCTTGACTCAGTTAGGAGTTCCCCAGAGAGTAGCTCAGTTCTAGCGAGCCAACAGTGGGCAACGGGGCCAAATGGTGGGGAGAGGCCCTGCAGAGTAGCCGTTTACAGCGGGTCTGGGGTGTGATCCACTGAATCATCCACTGATCGTCACTGGAAATTTCCACTGAGCAGTGGGGAAGCTCCAGTCAGTTCAGGCCAAGAAATGGGGGGTGGTCTGACAACAAAAGAAACTCCGAGGAAGACAAGAAGAAGAGGCCAGAGAGGAGAAGGCAGATGAGAAGAAAGAAATTGTTGGATCGAGCCCGAATCATATGTCAGGGCCCTGGCAAGGCTTTTGGGATGACTTACGTACAACCACGGCACGGCCAGGCAAAGTTAGTTACCTTTTCCGTCCGTAACCGTTTGATGTTAAAGTGAGGTCAGTCTTAACGGGTGAGCGGGAACAGACAGTCGAAGCTTTTGTCCGACAGGTCGGAAGATAGTTGATAAAACAACAAGACGAAGGTAGAATAAGGGTAATGCGAAAGATGACGAGACAAAGAAACGAGAGGGAAGAGGAGGCGATGAGGAGAAAGAGTGAGACTGAGGGAAATGAAAATTATTGCCGCTCGTAGCCCAGGCAGTTCGTCGTCTCGTCCGATTAGATCCTCCCAGTACCACGGGTGTCCCAATCTCCGCCACCCCTGCTATTCGCTTCGGATCCGTTATTCCCAGCCTTGGGTCCATGTCTCTCTGCAACAGTCGTTGTGTACGTAGTACGTAGTATTGTTCGTAAGCCCTTCGGGCTCTGGGACAACTCCGAACAAGCTTGCCTTGATTTGGCTTGCTCGACGACGGCAGGGGCACCTCATTCACGTGTACCCGAAGAGCCCCAGGGCTGCCCCGGTTCCAAGAATCCAACCAGAAGCAAAAGGTGCTCGAGTCTTTCTGCCCTGATTGGTCTCCAGTACGCTCCACCATGTTGTTCAATTGCTTCATGGAGGGTCGGAGTGGGCGTCTGATGGAGCCCTGGGGTCGTATGGGCGAACAGGGAGTCGAGGACCCCGGTCCCCGCGATTTCAGGCGTTGGGTCTTCTCGGCCGACCGACACCTCAACGCCGGTCCCATTCCCCGCTAATGTGCATGGCGCGGAAGTCGGCACGCACCCCTTGCACGACTTCTGTGCTTGTTTACCCGACCTACCCCAATTGAGCTCTGGTCGTGTGGTAGGATCTGGGCGGTTGTTTGAGTGCTAGCAGTTCGGGATAAATGGCTGATCAACATGGAGCTGACCAAGCAATGGGAGAGCAGGTTACAAAGATTGGCGAGGATGGTGGCGTGCCCCTGTCAGTCATTGTTGGCGCTCGATACGTCCTCATTTCTGTACTGTGTAAGTACGTAGTTCATGCTAATGTTGCTTGCAGTAGGGCCGTCGTTAGGTCTGGGGTCCTTCTGGCCTATCTGGTTTACTTCAACAGGTAAGTAGGCAGATGAGTTGGTGTGCCTCTTTTGACGTCAATTTGCCGAGAAATAGCCCCAGGTAGTAGACACAGCATCATGTCGCGAAGGACCTGGATCAACTCATCCTAGGATCCCAGAACTGAACAGTTTTGTCCTGAGTCCTTTCATGTCGGCAAGTGTGCCCACCGAACGTAGCGCGAGAGCCTCACATTGTAAGCTAAGCGCACGAGACTCCAGCGAAGTCTCACCGGCGGCAGATATAACCATTTCAGACATCTCTTGACATCTCGCTTCCAATGAAGAATGAAGCTCCACCAACATTGTAATCATTATGGTGGCGGCAGAGTCTCTGGGTGCCACGAATGAGCCGATCCGAATCTCGGGGATATCAAAATTGGGCTCGCTGTCTTTGGGCAAAGTCGAGAAGACGTGGGCACAGACTCTTGAATGATCCATGAGGTTGTCAAAGATATCGAGCAACCGCAGGTGGCAGGCGATTAGGAGGTTCAGGAGAGAGTGGTCCAGGATGGGTGGTGACCTGGGCCGGAGGGACTGGCGCAGATGGTGCATGCAGTCGGAGATGGTACATTGACTGTCTTCTGGAGGCCGGTTGACATGGCGGTGCGCTTTCTTGAGGACTGGAGGATAGAGGAGTGCCAACTGCTGCCCTTGCTGGAGCAAGAGCTCAATGGTCGACTGCATATCGAATCTTGCGGCGGCAGATTGCGAAATTTGCTTTACCATTTCAACGGACATGTGTCTGTGGATGTAAGATAATGGGAAATCGCTGTGGATGCGATCTAGCGAAACCATGAGGTTGGCCAGCTCGGAGGTGTTGCTCAAGGAGGGCGTGTCGGCGTTGTCGCTGACAGGTGGCGTGGTGACGAATGGATTAGCGCTTTGGACTGCGTCGCCATTAGGACTATTGTTGCAGACTTGGTCGAATTCCAACAGAGAAGACCAGTCAAAGGCAGCCAAGTCGGGCTGTTGGCTGTCTCCTACAGTGCCATTTCGCAGAAGTGATCTGGTTGGAGGACTGAAGATGCAGGGAACAGTGGCTTTTGCGCAGCGGCTACAGATGAGGGAGCCGGGTTGTTTTGGACATCGTAGCTTCTTGTCGTGGCAACGGTCGCAGGCTTGGCGAAGGTCAGCCATTGTTTAATGAAACGTGGTGTTGTGATGTGATGGGGAGTTGAAAGGAGCGGGATGTTGATGTGCGCAATTCAGGCTGCACACATTCAACACCGCCTGAGAAGGAACCCACCCGCTTCATGGCTGAGGAAGCTACCCTGGAGAGCCACAACCAATGGTCGTCAGTGATATTACCCCCCAAACATAATTTTTTAAATCAAGTCTAAAAACATTTGGGGCTTAAATGAGACGCTTGCAACTGATCTGAGCGTGATATCTGTGAAGGAGGAAACTTAACTGGTCAGGATGTGGCGAACAATGCCTCTGCACCAGGCTCCATTAGCAGATGACATCAATGTGCATTCCGAGGGGTGCTGATACCAGGTCACACACAGTAAACGAGCAAGTACCTAGATCACAAATGGGCATTGAAATAGACGGCAAAGTAAACTTCAAGTATAAACTCATAATTTTCAAGTATCTCGATGTTTTATGCCATGTCTATTAAATAGGGAAGTACCTGGGTTGCCGGATAGCGACCTGCTGCTGGCGTGTCACCTGCTGCATCACGCCTATTTTTAAGACAATCAGCAGTGACAGCCGACATACGCCTCCTTCTCTTCCGATCCTCCAGTAGCCTCCTCACGTTCTTCTCCCGTTCCCATCCGTCCCACGTCAACAGAACATCAATAGTTTCAACGACGCTCCTCCATTCGCACCATGACGGCTGCGCTGGCGTCTGAGATCGATGCCCGCGCCGCCGCTACACCATCATGTCGCTGATTCCCTACCAACCCCACGAGGGCCGGGAGATTGTCCTGTACGTCATTCGCCATCCGTCATCCGCCCGCATCATCCCACTCATCCCGATCCCATGCTCCCATGCTCACCTTAGCTGCAAAGCCGTCACCACAACGCCATCGTCGTCCGCGACTCGACCTCCCACCGACTCGAGATTCGAGGCCTCTCAGAATGTCCCACCTGCCACCAGCCGCTGACCGGCCGCCCCTCCCCCTCTTCCGACCGGCCGCCGTATGACCGGTCATTTGGCGCCCGCCATGAGTCCTACGTCGACCCGGACTACTTTCGCATGCTCCGCGCCGCCAACGCCGACGCCGTTCCCGATAACGCGCCCCCGAGCCCCGTGCGGAGGTTCTTCACGCCCGCCCTCGGAGATACCACCAGGCCCGTAGCTCAGCCATCGTACTCTGCCCCCGAGATCCAGGACGGTACCGCCGAGTTCGTCTCCAGCACCCCCGGTGTCGCTCCCATCGCAGGCAGCAAGATACGGCGGAATGCCTTCAGCCCCGGCTACTTCAATACGTTCTTCGTCGAGGAGAGAGTCCTCGGAAAGGGAGGCAAGGGTGTCGTCCTGCTGGTACGCCACGAAATCGACGGCTGTGCTTTGGGCCAGTTTGCCTGCAAACGAGTCCCCGTGGGCGATGATCACGCCTGGTTGGAGAAAGTCCTTATTGAAGTCGAGCTGCTTGCCAAACTGTCACACCCCAACCTTGTCTCATACCGCCATGTCTGGCTGGAGGATGTCAGGCTGACTCGCTTCGGCCCCAGCGTGGCGTGCGCCTTCATTCTCCAGCAGTACTGCAATGGTGGCGACCTTCACCAATATCTTGTTGGTGGAGCACCCAGAGAGGCAACCAAAGAAGAGCTCAAGGCTCAGATGCGCCGGAGGTCAAAAGGCCAGCTGGACCCTCCGACAGATCTGTTCTCAGGCAACCGCCAGCTGTCGTTTGATGAAATCTACTCTCTCTTCAAGGACATCACCTCTGGTGTTGCCTATCTCCATGCCGCAAACTACATCCATCGCGATCTCAAACCTAGTAACTGCCTCCTGCACCATGAGGGTGGAAGGCTGATTTGCCTTATTAGCGACTTTGGCGAAGTCCAGCCCGAGAACACCATCCGCAAGTCTTCTGGGACGACAGGCACCATTTCTTACTGCGCCCCCGAGGTTCTCAAGATGGAGTCTTCAGGCCGCTATGGAAATTTCACTACCAAATCGGATATCTTCTCCCTAGGAATGATTCTATTCTTCATGTGCTTCGGAAGGTTGCCATACCACAACGCCAATGCCATACAGGAAGAGCTCGAGGATGTAGACAAACTCAGAGCTGAGATTACTCACTGGCAAGGCTTCCAAGATGAACGGAGGCAACGTCCAGACCTCCCCTCGAAACTCTACCAGCTCTTGAAGAAGTTGCTGTCGCTGAATCCTGCCGAGCGCCCTAGTGCCAACGAAGTCCTCAAGGCGATGAGAGGTGAATCCCTGAGTTTTGATGTAAGAGAAGACCATGCCCCGGTTCCCGCGCTCAGCATCAACGGGAACAGAGTCCAAAGCCTCGACTCCCCTGCAGCCCCTAGTACTCCGGTCCCAGGTGAGTGTCAGACTTTATCATGTCTTGACAAGTCTTGCTCTTACTGTTAAGCAGGGTCACGCCAGCGCCGGCACTCAAACTCACCGGATAACTTCCAGTCGATCGACGAGTGGCCTGGATCTTCGCAGAGAGACAAATCACCATCCACGGGTGTACGAGGTATGCGCCAGGACCAAGCTCATCCGGCCGGCCCTCGCCACCGTGCCTCCCATTCAATGGTGATATCCCGCAGCCAAGACAGAGCTCGTAGTCCTGCGGTCGCCAACGACGTCAATGACCAGCTCGAAGAGACTGAACGAGAATCCTTCAGCCCTCCACTCTTGATGGCACCCCCAGGTACCATCTCGAGAATGATGGGCAGTAGGCTTGGTGGTCTCTTCTTTCGCGTAATGACTATCTCAGGGCCGCATCTCCCTCTACTGAGCTACATTGGGCGCCTGACTATCTTTCTTGCCAAGATGGCCTCCCTCACCAGGCCTTGTTGGCCGTTTATCGTCAATTCCCAGATTGGCATCCCGCTAGTAGCCGTGGCCGCCCTGGACTTGGGCTTGCCACAACTAAGGAGGCCTCTACTGGTGACCGGACTGGACCATAGGAGCCTTATTCCAAGCGGAGCCTATGCTTGGGGCCTAGGAACAAGTCTACTCTTACTGGCGTTTCACTTCATTGTCCTGTGGCTGGCCTCGGAATCGAAAGCCCTGTGTGCAACAAGTGAGCATGAGGGATTGCCTGAGTGGTAAGGGCGAGAAATCACCGATCGAGAATGAACCTTTTAACCCGCTCCCCGCTCCAAATATCCCACTCAGCTGGTACAAGGTGAACCAAATGCGGCTGAGCCTCTCCAGTTACATCGAGGCAGAAACGAGATATCGTGTACTCCTTGGACTGGACCAGAGATCAACAGCCTATTCATACCCTGGAACGTTCAAACTGCAGAAGTCTGACCGTTTGATAATTTGCATTTATCTACGACTTAAAAGCTACATATATAATAGAGAATACAATTTGCTCTCCAACCGGAATCATTGAACAACTGTTCAAAAATTTCGAGGATTGTCGTATTGACGCTCGCTACGGTGAAGACATTACCTGGTATACTGACTTCATGAATAGTTGGGTGTTACCATATCAAGGATGCCTGTATTGCAATATAGCCTCGTAAATCTCTCCATCTGCCTAAAAGAAGAAAGAATCACATAGCATGCGCTGTATTAAAATGCTGTTAGTACCGAGCCCTCTTCCATTGCGGATATCTAGAGCTTCAACTTTAGCTTGCCAATATTGATCACAATCGCCTTGTTGGAAGTCATGAATTATTTGAATGTTAGATTACTAGAATTGTTATTTACTTCTACAATGTTTACTCAACCTAGTGTCTACTCTTTGTTTCCCACAATACAAACCGCTGACCTTCGATAAATAGCTGGGCAACCCGAATTATTGGAAGTATTGTCTCTGCATCGTGGAACTACTGCTTGGCCAATGTCGTGGCCGAGGTGTCATTCTTCGTGTTCTCCTGAGTTTGGGTTTGCTTCTCCGACTCGGTTTGTTCCGTAGGCTCGGAGTTAAGAAGATTATGGAAGGCGCTCTGCTTCTCCTCGACTGGGAGCTCATCGGAATAGAAGTCTTTGAATTCCCATTCTTGATATACGTAATCTCCGTCGTCTGTCAGCTTCGGCTGAAATGCTTTTGCCAGGCAGCCAAGGCAAAGCCCTTCCACATGTGTAGAAAACCCTTGGTGTGGGTAGATATCGTACTTTGGGCAACATTGATTGACAATCGATGCACCTTCGCACAGGAGTAGAAAATCTGAGTCCCCGTAATATCGGAATCCCTCCTTTGCTGCGTTGGGAATCTCGACGGGAGACCGCGTCGTTTGGCAGCCGCAGCGGAAGGTGACCCGAGCGTACCAGCACATGATGGTCGGGGACGGAGGAAGAAGTTAGAGAAGTTAAAGGGGAGTAAGAAGTGTAAGAAGAAGGCAGCGGAAGAGTTCCGAGAAGAGAATCTGATTTGGAAGACAGAGTATGAGCTTTTAGTGGTGGTTGTGAAAGTGAGAGGATGGCTGGGTTTCGGAGACGACTGGCTTTGATTTATACTTGACGCTATCATATCTGCCCCGAGAACTTGATGAGTGTCTTTCGAAATATGATAACATGTTGATATGACTCTATGGTGAACCTAAGTAATGAGACTACATGTAGTCCAACCCGAGGAAGCTGTTCAAATTTTTGGAATGGTTTGTGAATAATTGGTGGTGTTAGTCAGATACATGAACATGTAATGAACAGCCCGGTCTGACCTCTCACTCCGCATGTTCGCTCAGGACTCGAGCAGAGGAGAGAGTAACAAAGACAGAGTCCTCTGCAGCATAAGTCGCCGAGGATTCTGTTCTACTCCTCAACGTGACATGTGAACCGTGCTCTCGTGTTGCAAATGGGACTTCTCTGGCGATTCCTCCAACCCGTACCAGTGACTTCTAGACGTCAAGTCCTCATGTAGTAGCGAAGCGAACAAATGAGAGCACCCAGCATCTTCTGCGAACGAGTCGACTGTGACGTCGGAGTCACCCCAAACTCGTTGGTTTCTAGACCACTTCTCAGCTCTCCGCACCCATCTTTGCTTTCATTGCCAAGAAATGGTGCTGTTGCCGAGGTTAACTCAGCCATTTCCGGTTGCCCGCTGAGGCGCCGTGATATGAAGCCAAGTGGCCTGACAACAACAAAGACTAAGACGCCCGGTCTGTCAGCTCCGCCACGGGAGGACCCGTGCTCGGATAGGGAGCCCTGGGAGGCCAGATTTGCGCCATCTCATCATGCCAGAACCCAAGATTATCGAGGCGCCTCATCTGTTTCTGCATCTTCTCCTTTCGTCATCAGTCCACTCCCCCGGAAACATCATCATGGGTCCACACAACCAATACATCGGTCAGGTCAGGGGTTCGTCGAAACCAGAGCAGTGACAGCACTTATCGTGCATTTGCTTCATCGTGGTTGTGTCTCTCGGGGGGATTATCCGCTACCCGGTGGAAACCCATGCATGATCCTTGCTGGCACATGTCCACCTTGATCCGGTGTGGATGCATGAACTTATCCACACGGCTCCCGGGAAACTTACGCCCTGCCTGTTGCATCACGCCATCTTCTTTATGCTACCCAGATGTTGTCTCGGAGTCGATCATGGACCGTTAAAGCTTTGGTTATCACAGGCACCCTCACATTGGACAATCGTAACATAGATGTTGAAGAGTTGATAGGAGTCTGTTTTCCCCCTAGCTCATTGATTCTTCATTTAGAACTCGAAAACCCAGTACCTAACCCTGAAGCAACCCTTGCCCTTGTCTATCATTACTTGTTTGTGTATTAAAGCATTTCCGCCTATCCTTTCCTGTCCTTGGGCTCAACCCATTTACAACTGGCCAATGCCCAGGTGCTCGGGGTCGGCCTTGACGATACGCAGGGTGTTGGTGTTACCCATGCCACCCTTCCAGCCCTGCACGACGACGACGGTGTCGCCGGCGGTGAGGACCTTGAGACGCAGAGCGTTGTTGACAGCCCACTTGATACGCTTGTCGACATCCTCCTGCCAGTTAACCTGAGTGAAGTCGGGCTTGGCCTCGGGGAACAGGAAGGGGTACACGCCACGGTACAGATGGCTGAATCGAGAGGTGGTGGCGTTTCGGGTCACCATGAAGATAGGGCACACGGGTCGGTACTTAGACAGCATACGAGCAGACTCGCCAGAGGTCGACAGGACGATGATGCCACCAGCACCAAGATCGAGCGAGGCACGGACAGCGGCCATGGCGCAAGACTCGACGGTGCTGACGGGGCGCTTGACCAGAGTGCACAGCTCCTCGAAGTGGGAGACGTAGGGGATGGTGTTCTCAGCCTTGAGGCAGGCCTCGTGCATCTCGTGGACGGCCTCGGCGGGGTAGCTACCCTTGGCAGTCTCGCCTGAAAGCATGACACAGTCGGCACCGTCGGTGATGGCGTTGCCAACATCGCTGATCTCGGCACGGGTGGGGCGGGGGTTCTTGATCATGGACTCGAGCATCTGGGTGGCGCAAATGACGGGCTTGCCGGCCAAGTTGCACATGGCAATCAGCTTCTTCTGGGCGGCGAACACCTCGGCGGCAGGAATCTCGATGCCGAGATCACCACGGGCGACCATGACACCGTCAGTCTCCTCAAGGATCTCCTTGAAGTTGTTGAGACCCTGTCGGTTCTCAATCTTGGCAATGATCTGGATTCGCTTGCCATCCTCACCGAGAACATCACGGATGTCTCGGATGTCCTGGGCTCGGCGAATGAAAGAGGCGAAGACCATGTCAACGTTATTCTCGACACCGAACCTGAGATCGGCCTTGTCCTTCTCGGACAGGGCGGGAAGGTCGACATCGGTGTTGGGCAGGTTGACACCCTTCTTGGAGCAGATGAAGCCGTTGTTGCGGGCCTGGACCTCAATGGTCTGCTCATCCTTGATGCTCAGGACGTCAAAGGCGAGGACACCATCATCGACGTAGATGACACGACCGGGCTCAATGACCTTGGTAATGTTCTTGTAGTCAACGTACCTGCGTTGGGGATGTTTTGTTAGCGGGGAGGGGCTTATCGCAGGGTGCGAGGATCGGAGAGCGCGGTGGGCGGGGTGGGTGCAACTAACATGTTCTCGGTGTTGCACTTAGTGGCGTAGGCCTCGTCGGTGGTAATGTTCATGATGGTACCGACAGCGATGGGAATGTCCTCATCGTTGGGGGTGTTACCGGTTCGGATCTCGGGGCCCTTGGTGTCCAGGGCAATGGCGACATGGCGACCGGGCTGGACCTGCTCAGCGGCGCGGGCGTTGTCAATGACGGACTTGTGGTACTCGTACGAGCCGTGGGAGAAGTTCATGCGGACGACGTTGAGACCGGCATCACGCAGACGGTTGATGGCCTCGACCGAGTTGGTCTTGGGGCCAATGGTGCAGATAATGGAGGAACGGCGGTAGTTGCGCGAGGGTCGGTATGCGGTGTTCAGCGAGGCAAGCCACGAGATCTTACCGCCGAGCTCGAGGTGTTCCTGGGTGGTGGCGGTCATGATGCTCTGGGCACGCTTGTGGGAGGGTCTGGGAGCCATGGTGGGCGAGTTAGTGATGGGCTTGAGCGGGGTAGATTTAGATGGTGGCGGGCGTTATCAGCAGAGGAGCTGAGGATGGGAGGATGGAAGGAGGCGAATTTGGAGGGGGAGTGGGAAATGCAATTGATATATGTTGGGTGGTGGCTTCTGTGAGGCGAGCAGAGACCAGACGCAAGGCTCGAATGAGCGATGCAGAGGCAATGCAAGCACGGGGGGGTCACAGTAGGGACATGGGGGGGCCATGGGCCAGGCATGACGGGGCGTCATGGGTGTGATGTGATGTGACGTGGTGGGATGAGATGTGGTGGGTTTTTGAGGTGCGGTGGGCAAGGAGAGCTGTGCTTTGGGCTGCTGAATTGTTGCTTGGGGCGTAACGACAGAATGACGACGACGGGAGGTACGAGGATAGGATAATATGTAGCTGGCAGCGTAACTGTCGAAAATCCAGATGTTCAAAAACATTGAACGTTGGAGACGGCAGAGTCAGTGAAGCCAGCGAGAGAAGCTCCCAGGCCAAAGGCCCAGCAAGGGCTAGAGCCAAAGCCATAGCGAGAGCCGGGTCGCTCGCTCGCGGCCCCAGAGACACGCCATCTCTGAGTCGACGCAGGACACAGGCAACTTACAGGTGTCTGTTTCGTTGTACGAGTGTAGCCACCGTACGATGTAATCAAAGGACGACGAGGTGGTCAGAGACGGCGGGGAACGTGCACTCCCTGGAACAATTCCGAGGCGGCAGCGAACGATGAATCTGACTATGCCAACGAGGCTCGGTCGAGGAGAAAAGGGGGGTTCGGGAGGACGATTTGGTCGGTTGGTAGGTGGGCGAAGGTGGATGTGGAGGAGAAGGGAGGAGAAGAAAGAAAAGTTGGTGGTGGTTGAGGTGGTGATGGGCCAGACTAATAAAAGCCCAAGCAAGAGGCAGCCTCCCTCGCTCCTCCCCTCACCATCCCCTCACCTCTCCCCTCAGATTTTCACAGACTATGTGGACTACGTACCTACCTGACCGGGGAAGGAGCCATGGTAGTGGCTACCTGCCCGCCTTGGAAACAAAAAAGTATCTCTGACAAACGAAGGGATGTGGATGGGCGAGGCACGTCACGGTAGCACGGACGGAGATTTGCCAGTCCGCCCTCGCTGGGATGGGGCTCTCAATCCTTACGGAGCACATCACCTACCCGCTCGGAGCGCGCGCCATTCTCACCTAGACTCGGACCGCTAGGACTCTGGGACAATCTCGTGCAATGCTCGCTCGGTTGCCTCCTCTCTCTGCTCCTTCCTCTCTCTGCTCCTTCCTCTCTCTGCTCCTTCCTCTCTCTGTCAGCTCCCGCCGGTTTCATGCCACCGAGGGCCCTTGGGCTCTTAGACATGACTCTTCTTACGCCGCAGCTGTCTTCGTAGGAGGATTCTCGCAGGCTTGGCACATATTTTGCCTCCTTCCTCTTCCCAATCCAAGCTAAGCGCTCTGATAACATGGCACCTCTGCCTACCTCCAGAACTCAGGTTCGTAATCGCAGTAGTATGTAATAGGTAATGAATGGGGAGGTCAAGGAATGGCCAGCTAGCTTGAGGTCCAACGTCGTGAAAGCCCGCCCTGAAGCTGCCCACCCTTACCCAGCTGGGTAGCTCTCCCCCCCCACCCCCCACTACGACTGCAACTGCTGCAGCGTTAGCGACCTGAGGCGCTCTTACACTGAGGCTATTTTCCCGCAGCGAGGCGGCCCCTTCGGCGCGGAATGCCCCAATAAATGCGCCCGCCCCAGTGCTTCTGCCGCTACTGCACCAGCCGCCAGTAGCTGCATCCTCTCTGTTCTACCGGCGAACCACTGTGCAGTGCAGTGTTTTTTTTTCTTTTCTCATCTAATGTGTGTGCGGGGATGATGCGTCGACGTCAACACCATCCAGATCCACGGACAATGCACACCATTCATTGCCCACCGCCCCTCGTGTCTCGACGAAGAGTCCACGTTGGTTGCCACCGACCCGGCTCCTCTCTTATCTGTTGCTCATCATGCCATGTCTCACCACGCGTGTGCTAGCTGCTCGGGTCGGGTACCGTGCTTTAATACTTTATACATCAACCACTGGAACTGGCGGCTGTTAACACGGGGACTCAGGGGCGCATAACACATTGTGCACCGTCGTGTTTGATCAAAGGCATGCCATGCGCCTCTCTGCCCGCCCGCCTCAGTCGGCCCAAATACTGATTGGGGCGGATCCAATCATTCCCCTAGACACGTATCGTGCCGCTGAGTCGCTAACATGGTTGGGGGTTTGCTTGACAGTGGGTTAGAGGTAAGAAGGCCATGTACTACGTAGTATGCCATGCTTTGAAGAGTCATTCATTAGCGCGTCTATCTGTGGTTGGTCTTGATGTCTTTGACGAGCTCCGTACACACGTACATCCACCCCAACCGATATAAAATATATCGGCGGATAAGAAGAATCCGAGAGAGCCAGGGTCCGTTCAGTCTTCTCTGTCATTGGTAGCGCCACAGTGGGCAGCACATCCCCTCTTCAGTTTCTCTTCCTCCCTCGACTGACTGATCTGATGCCGGCCCGAAAGACCACAGATTACACCGAGTCAAGGGCTTTGGATCCCCGCCAAGCGCGAGACCAGAGCTCCAGAAAGGACCCCTCCCTCCCCTGGACAATTCTCCCTCACATCCACTGGCTTGGCGTGGTGGCTGGCTTTTCTGCTGACCGACATCCATCTCCAACAAAAAAAAAATCGCTACCCGCCAGCTCAGCCCCTCACCTAGGTCGGCAAGGTGGCCTACCTTGGTAGAGACAAATATAGCTCGTCGTATTGGGTAACGGCATTCTGCCCGACTCATGGAGATACCGGTAGATAATACGATCCGTTGGGGTAATACGTGATGTAGTAGAAATGGGGGGCACCATGCCGTGAGGCATTTTGCTCTTCATTTGCCTCGTCTGGACAAGACTCGGCGCTTTGCCCGTTGTCTCGAGTCTTTTTTGCGTGCTCCCCGCGCCTGTTCTGGGCCATCATTATCCCTCAACCACTTTTTAACTGGATCTCCCAATGTGGTATATCGCCGAGTCGTGTACGGAGTAATACGTTGGGCTAATGGCTTAGCTGAGGGGTCCAGCTTACAGACCTTGACCTTACCGAACGCAGCTGCAAACCCCAATCCCGACGCCATGATGCATCATGTACGTCTGTAGGTCTGTCCGTAGGCGCCACCCAGCGGCAAGTCCAACATGGCATCGCCGCGATGCCCCGCTTAACCCCTCCATCCTGTTTGAGTCTAGCTCAGATCGCAGCCGGGTCAACGTCGGTCCCACGAGCCGGGGCGGGACTGTTTTTGAGAGATCCAGATTTGGTAAGCCGTGCTGGTCTTTGAGACTGCTATCACATGTCAAGGTGCACGTGGATAGTCACGTGAGAACCCGGAACTGGTCTCCACCGACACGTGAACTTTCACCAGATTGCCCAGTCAACTCCCCAGCCCCCGGAGCTTCGGCGCCTGCACGCCGTAGGCCCACATCAACCAAGTCCCGCTCCCCAGATGGCAAATGGCGTGGTCGCATGACGACGGTGTAGCTGACTCCGTCTCCATCACTCTCCATCGAGCCTCAAATCTCCAACGACAACGCCTACCCATTCGAACGCCACCTGCGCATACCTGCTCCTCCTCGATATAGCCCTTTACCTGCTCCGGAAGCAGACATCATGGTGGTATGTGATTCCCTTCCCTCCAGTCGCCAATAGTCTTCCCGAGCTCTGCCCTGCCCGTCGAGCTCGCCGTCTGGCCTAGCCCGTCTAAGACTCCTCTGCAGTTCCTCAACCTACTGACGCTGGGGCTCTGGTCAAAGGTCGGACGATTAACCCACTACGCATTCGATGCCGTTCTCAGTGAGTTTACCTTTCTTCTTCTTCTCCGTCTCGGCTGGCCCCGCTCAGCTCCAAGCCGTATCCCGAACCCCCGGATCGGATCGTTGTTATCCACCTTTCTGCTTCCTCCTTCTCTCTCGGCATCTGCTAACCAGTCATAGTCTCGGCCTTCCTCGCCGGAATGAAGCGATCGACTGGTTTGACGTGAGTATCCAACCTCAAACCCTCCCGACCCAGCATATCTGACTCGAACCCGTTTCGGGACCTCCTAGACCCAGTTTCAAGAGGGACAAAGTTGCCGGTGAAAACAAGGACCTCGGAGGATGGATCGACAAGTACCTCGGTGTTGGTGAATGGGTGATGGACCAGTCCGTTGCCATCGCCGGATCCAGCGGCTACTTTGAGCGCACCCGATGAGCTCATCTACCACGACTCGACACGGCTAGCTGGAATACCTAGGCCGCCACTTCGAATCGGAGTGGACTCTATCCTCGGTATATGTTTTATGTCTCGCCTCATGATGGATATGAATTCGTGTTTTGGGAATGCAAGGAATTGTTCTATACGCGCCTCGAGCTGGACACACTCCGACATTTCTGCCGTCATCAGGTTTATGGTAGCAGGAAGGATGCATGGACGCTAGCAAACACCAGCATGCAGATCAGCACGAGGCGCCTTATCTTGATAGCGGCGTTATGGTGCAGGACTATGCACGTGAATATTGAATCAATGATATAAAGACCCAGAGTCTATTACCCATGCTGCCTCAGACACATTTTCATGTGGCTTTCGCTGATCATTTCCTACCCTCATTTTCGATTTATGAGTTGGTTTCCGTGACTCTCGAGTGAGATATGATTCATGCTTGTGTTGATGCTTCTGAGTTGCCAAGGACTTCTTTCCATAGATTTAGAGCCAATTAAATAAAGGTCGATTGCGACCCGGGTATATTCGAACACCTCACAACAACTCCATCGTCCACTTGATCATAAAGCTTCTGCTGGCCGTCTCCTAATCTACTTGACTCCCGTGCTCTGCCAAGAACTCAGGCGGTACATCATTGGTCTCGCCATCTCTCTGGCTAGGTACGTCGCCGCTTGGGTGAGGACTAGGCGGCTCATCGTCCTGGTCATGGTCTCCGAACCGAGAGACCAAGAGATCGGGGGGGACTTCGTTATCGCTTTCGTCATCATGATCCTTGTGCTCCTGGTCGTGGCTCGAAAGTTCGTTCTTGTCTTTCTGTGGAGTTGAGTGAGACGATCCTGTGAGGAGTTCGGGCTCCTCTCCCGGGGTTCCAAAGGTAGCCTTGAGGAGACCTTGAGCCTCCACAAACGCCTCCAGTTCTGCGCCGATCGCACAGATGAGCAAATTCCAGTGCTTATCCTCGGCTAGTTGCAGTCTCTGTTCCAGCTCTTGAACCACCGAATCCATTCTCGCAAGCTGCCCATCAATCGCCTCCTGAGATGCCGTTGCCGCGACCTTGTCTCTGTGATGTCGCCCACTCTTGATCAATTCCCGCAGAGTTGATTCAAAGTCTGCCACAAATTTCGTCACTTCCGACCACACTGTGGCGCCTTCGACAAGAGCACATCGATCTTCCAAAATCTGGGCCTTACGGCGTTCGAGAATAGCAATCTCCCCTTCCCACCACGATCGAGCCATTTCAGCAGTACGCCGTTCTGGCCTTAGTCGCAAGAAATCTAGACCACCAGGCGACTCAGTATCTGTTCCGGAGTCTGGGCCAGCACTTTGCTTAATGGCTTGTAGATCCAAAGGCGTAATAGGTGGGCGTCGCAACAGCTCCCGAACCTCAGTGTCGATGTCTCTACCGGCAGCTCGGTAGCCGCTCAACCCGGATTCTCGCCGATTCTTGACGTCGTCAATCTTGTCCCGGACCCATCGCCGGCGATTGCGCATTCCAACTAGCTTCTCTTCCATCAGACGTATTCCTTGATCCAGAGATTCCTGTTCGATACCAAGTTCCCGCAGTTCCCTGCCCAAGGGCTCTTGGTCATCCTCCTCTAGTGCGTGTAGTTCGGCATAAATGCCGTCCCTCCTATCACTCATGGTATCGAGGTATGCCAATGCGTCCTTTCGTTGGGCTAGGGCGGTGTCTAAGTGAATATCTTCCTCTGCCTTGAGCTCTGACAGTGCAGCCATCGACCGACGCAAGCCGGCGCGAGCGGACTGAAGGCCCAGAGGTTTTCTTGCTGCAGGCTGCCGCACCGGTATCACGTTACCGTCAGGTGTAGATCGTGGCGGAACATAGAGGGAGCTGCTCATGCGGGACTTGGATGTGGCGGCTGAGTAAAAGGTACTCTCACCACCTGTATCACTATCTCTCTCTAGGTCCCTGTCAGAGACACTATCTCCGCTTCCTGCGAGCAGCCCTGAAGCCTGTAGGTCTAGAAGCTGTTGAATGTCCCGCTCTAGGGCCCTCTCCCGACGCTGCAGGCTCCGCCATACAGAGTCTGGGCGATACGCGCCCTCGTGAGGTCTCTGGTGTAGAAAAGTGCTTTCAAGGCCAGAACGACTTGCGGCGAGCAGCCCGTTACCTGCCAAGGTCTCCGTGTAGTTTGATGGCAGTGAAGGGCGGGAGCCTTGCTTGCTTAGTAGGATCGAGGATGTGATTGGGGGCGGCGGCTGCGAGAATATTGGTTTCGGTCGAGTCCTGGATGGCGAGCCCGGCGAGCGCATTTTGGTATCCCACGAGGCTGGTGGTGAGGGAAGTCGTGTGGAGTCACCCTGTGCTGCTGGTCTTCGGAATCTTGGGCGAGGGGGCTCAAGGTCGGCGGTCATGGTTTCGTCCGGTCGAGGTTCAAGTTCATCGAGAGGGTATTCGCTGGGTGGCCGATTCGAGCGATTGTGCAAGGGGAGGATTGGGAGGTGGTGTCGGGAATTGGAGATTCGATCAAGGAGAGACTGCGACGTCATGGCTGAGGATTCGAGGTGGAGCCTTGCAGGAAAGTCAAGGGAGCGATCGGGAGGAGGCGATCTGAAGGTTAACTACATTCCCAGATAAGGAGAAGTTTGCTTCAGCATGCGCCGAGCGAAAACCGGAGTAGAAGGATGATTTCGTTAAACCTGATAAAGATTGATCGTGTGAGGAAGAGTTGTGACAACCTGGACGGTGAGGAAGAGGTCACGTTCGAGGTTTGGCATGTGCCTGGTCAGCGAGCGCGCGCGCCGTGCCGTGGTTTCCCGTTTTGGTCACAGTGCTGTCTCCCACAGGCAGCCTCTAGTGCACAGTGGGGCAGGAGTATGTACGCCCGGGTGATTAGATAGGTGGGCACATTGAGGAAGGCAGGATCTTGGTAAGAAATATATCATGAGTATATTGTTACCTACTAGGTAGGTATGTAATAAACAAGTACTCTATACTCTACAAATAATAGCCTAGATTTTGGGCGAATTAGAATACTCAGTATATCGGCAATAGTCACTGGGCTGTTCCCCGAGAGGCGATGCTTCGTGACGGAATCTAGAGGAAATGTGACACTCTAGGAGATTCCGAGACCCGCCGTTGACTTTTAAAGTGCAAGCCATCACGTATTACATTCGTTGTCATGTTGTCGTGGCCCTTGCTTGGTCTTCAACAGGCAAGGCTCGATCCGGATACATCATACACGGCGGCCGTTTCTAGTGAGTGGATGTGGGGACGGACGAGAATGTGATGTCTTCCGGCCGGTTGAGTCATATTCCTCGTGGGGTTAAACATGTGTGAGAGGCGGCGACAATATAACTCAGAGAATAGGACTAATAGTGTATGACTCGATCTATGTTTGTAGGATAAGCGGTCATGACCTACCGTCCAGGTCCAGAGGAAGTTAAGTGAGTAAAAGTCAGTCACGTGTACAACCAGCACGGTTCTCACGTTTTACTCAAAGCCTAAAAAAGGATTGTGACAGAAGTGAAAGAAGATGTGTTCAATAGTTTGTGTGAGTCTTGCGCAATAGGGATTGGTCAAGCTGCAGCGCAATAAAAGGAGGGATAAGTGTTCCGGAGGAGGGATCAGAGTACGAGACAGACGTGGAGAATTATGGAGCAATAACTGGAGCACGAAGTACGGATAGTGGATTGTGGACGGGAGGCATACGGGCGGCTACAGGTGCGGCTACAGCGACAAATACTACGTAGTACAGCGGGAGGCGCACTATGTACAGTGTGCTCAGAGCACGCTGAGCGTGCTGAGCACGCTGAGCACAGCCCTCTTCTCCCAGCTTGACCTGCCTGGGCACCTGGTGGTCAGCTGCTCCTCCCCAGTCCTGGATGTGAACGTCCCGTCGTTTTCCTCATCCCACCCTCACTCACTACTCCGCCCTCCGCCCTCCGTCTCTCATCTCGCAACTATCCTCATAGTTCCCCGGCGTCGTCGTCGGGTCTCGGGCTCCTCCCTCCGTCCCGCCGAAGGCCACGCCGAAGCCGCACGTCGCCGCTGACCGCCGAATTTAGCTACGGATCTGCCGCTGGTGCTGCGACCGGTGCTGCTACTATCGGTCATCGCCCTCGCTGGTATTGGTACTGGCCGCTTCTGGGCCGCCACCACCTCCGCCCGCCTCTCTTCTTTTGCGTGCGCATACCACGCACCACGCTCCACGCTCTCAGCGCAACGCACGCCCACGCCCGCGAAACCACCATGAGCCAATCACAGCACTTCCCCCCTTCGCTGCGTCAGGCCGGCTCCGTCTCAGGCCCAGCCTCTGGTGCTGGCTCTGGCTCTGGCTCTGGCCCTGGTGCGGGCTCTCGCTCTAGCTCCCATCATCACGACGAACTGCACATGTCGGGCCTGAGCCAACCCGTTGCCCCAATGTCCATGTCGCCCCAGGACTACGAGTACGATTACCCGCCGCAGATCAAGCTCGACCACTCCTCTCCCAACCCCAATCTCAATCCCAATCCCACCTTTGCTTCCAGCTCCAACTCGGCCAGCTCGGTGCCCAACGTCCTCCAGCCAGCCGGTGGCCTGTCCGCCGCCCGTGCCCCAGCCTCGCCCAATCCCTCGACGACGCCGACCACGATGCACCAGCCGCAGCCGCCGTCTGCCTCATCCTCTGCTTCCGCTGCCGCTTCGTCTGCTCACCAGCAACCACAGCACCACCATCATCAATCGCAGTCGCAACTCCCCTACTCGTCCTCGGGCTCGTCCTCCAAGCCCTCCTTGAGCATGTCTCACAGTTACTCCCGCTCCAGCCCCGCCGCCGCCTACGAGGGCTCCTCTAGCTATCATGCCTACACGCCCACCACCCCGGGCGGCGCCTCCCAGCTCATGTCGCCTTCCGACCCCTCCAAGTACAATGCTCCGGGCTCCCAGCGCAACATCTCCAACACCCCGCTCGGCCTCGCTGACATCCGGCCCCGAGCTGACTCGAGCATGTCTGATGGCACCCATGGCCCTCTAGGATACGATCTCGCCAACGCCCAACCCGGCACCAGCAACTACTTGGCTCCCTGGGCCATCTATGCCTTCGACTGGTGCAAGTGGGCGCCTCAAGGCAATGGAGCTGGCAAGCTGGCCGTGGGAAGCTACCTGGAGGATGGTCACAACTTTGTACGTGTCTGACCTGCGATTCCTCCGCTCCTCCATGCCCTTGAGCTGTCGCGCTAACCCTGCTGTTCAGATTCAAATCCTCGATAGTCAACTCACCCCAACTCCCCAGGATGTCTATGCGCCGGGCTCATCCAAGTATAACCTCGAGTTCACAAAGGTTGCCGAAGCGACGCACTCCTATCCCGTCACCCGCCTGCTGTGGGAGCCGCCTTCCTCCCAAAAGCAGTCCACCGACCTCCTCGCAACCTCCGGTGATCATTTACGCCTCTGGTCTCTCCCTTCCGAAACCCCTGCGACCCCAGGAAACACCATCACCCGTAGTGGCCGCGACGCCGCCGTGGCCAAGCTTACCCCGCTGGCGCTGCTTTCCAACTCCAAAACCCCAGATCACACAGCGCCACTGACTTCCCTCGACTGGAACACGGTATCCCCCAACTTGATCATCACCTCAAGCATAGACACGACCTGTACCATCTGGGACATTCCCTCATTGACCGCCAAGACTCAGCTCATCGCCCACGACAAGGAGGTTTACGATGTTCGATTCTGCGCCAAGAGTGTCGATGTCTTTGTCAGTTGCGGCCAAGACGGAAGCGTCCGAATGTTCGATCTGCGAAGCCTCGAGCACTCGACCATCATCTACGAGCCAACCGGAAAGGAAGAGAGGGGTATGTTGATACGATCCCTGGAGCGGCGCCAAATGCCAGACACAAGTGACTAATATATGTGATAGATGCCAATGGCGGTCGCATAAGCCCGACGCTTGCGCAGCAGACCATGGCGAACCCCCCGCCTCTGCTGCGACTCGCAACCTCTCCACATGACACTCACCTCTTGGCCACTTTTGCCCAGGACTCTAACATCATTCGCATCCTAGATGTTCGACAGCCTGGCCAGGCTCTCCTTGAGCTCCGCGGCCACGGTGGTTCCGTCAATTCTATTGAGTGGTCACCACTGAGACGAGGAACGTTGGCGTCCGGAGCCGACGATTGCCAGGTCCTGATTTGGGATCTCCTCAACTCCAACAACCCTATGGGTCCCCCCATGAACGGCGCTCCTCAGCCGGATAACCAACGCAGCCCGGTGGCGAGCTGGCAGTGCGATTATGAGATTGGCAACCTTGGCTGGGTGCCTCATCTTCCCAATGCTGACCGTGGCGAGTGGCTAGGAGTGAGCGCTGGTCGGGGAATTTGGGGAACACGGGTTATGTAGAATGCCCGTCATTGGATGGACTGATGTCTACACGTCGCGCTTAACAGACTGCGATGGGTCTCGTGTTGCGCGATTGTCCACTTTGAATCATGTAGAATCTGGCTGGTTGGGTCTGGTACAAGCATTGTGCGAAGCCCGGAGTTTTCGGGGGTCGGGTTGTTAAGTCATATTGGAGCCAGGGTACTGGATAAAATTGAGGGATGTGATGGCAGTGGACAGCATGTTTCGGGCGGCAGGCTATGATATTTGAGACGATTGCTTCTGATGTCACACTGAGCTCTAGGCCAGAGTCGCCGGTACGATTCAGACAATGGCAACGACGAGGATGGTAACCCCTCGGTGGGAGGAAGGAGTATCTTAAAGCGGTTGAGACGATTTGTCATGTTCACTCCAAGTCTTCCGCATTAGAAAGAGCAAATACCTCATTTCGGGTTGTCGGTCTACTCCGGCCAACTTGGTTGAAGATGCTCACCAGGGTTGAGGGGGAGGCGGCTCTTTGACGGCCACTCCTAGAACCATAACGTGTTGCCTCACTACTTATATAGACAGGCTCGACATGCGCTATGGATGGTAGCCAACAGAGCAACGAGCATAGAGCACTTTATTAAGAGGACCTTACGAAATCAAGGTGTTACCAATTTCTCCATCATTTCTAATGCCACGCCTCTCACAGCCGCGGTTTCGACGAGCCCGTCACTCCCTCACTCACCCTAATCACTGCCTTGCCCGAAATCTTGCGGTTAGATAGATCGTGGAGTGCTTGAGGGACGCTGTCAAGGCCCGGGTAGCAGTGGGAAACCGTTGGCCGGATCTGGCCGCTCTCCATGAGAGGTTGAAGTTCTTGCCACATGAGCCGCCGTTCGTCTGGGTCTCTACGAAGAGACTCTCCGTATCGCTATCGAGACCATGGTTAGAAGACTTCCAGCACCGCAACTTGGTTTGCACTAAACTCACATATCCGATCAGAGTCGCCTGCTTCAACAAGACCCGGTTCATGGCTATCTTTTCCATTTGACCATCCAACCCCACGAAGCCCGTGACGAGCACTCTGCCACGATGCGCAAGGCATTTCAAACTGCGATCAACGAGACCGACGGGATCAAACACAACATCAACTCCTCTACCATCTGTCTCTTCAAGAATTCGTTCCCACCAGTGGCCCTGCGTGTAGTTGATGCACTTGCTCGCACCCAGGCTCTCGGCATATGCGCACTTCTCTGCAGCACCTGCAGTTCCCAGAACACGGCAACCCATTGCCACGGCGATCTGGGTAGCCATTGCTCCTATTCCACCAGCTGCGGAGTGGACAAGAACCGTCTCGCCCGCCTTTAGCCCGCCGCGGAGGACCAAGGCTCCGTAGGAGACGGGTAAGGTTGCTCCGAGTGCTGCAGCCTCGGTAAAGTCCCATGACGCCGGTATCTTCTGGAGCGAACCTGAGTTTTCCTGAATCGCCACAAACTCGCAATAGGACCCCCCGCAATCCCCAAACACCGCATCTCCAGGTTTAAAGGATGATGCAGCCGGTGACGAGACGACGATGCCCGCAAATTCCAACCCAAGCGTGAAGGGGGGTCGTACTAGGCTCTTGTTGTTTTGATGCAGCCCTTGCGCCTAATATTCGTCAGAATACCTGGACCACATATAGGCAATTGGCCGACTGGGAATGAAAATGCGCCGCACGTACATATAAGATATCCACGAAGTTGACACCGGCTGCCACAACTCGGATCAGAATTTCGCCCGCCCTTGGCTGTGGAGGCGGTACATCTGAGACCCGGATATCGTCCAGAGAGCCGTAAAATTCGTGCACTACAATCGCTTTCATGGCCACGGCTTCATCAATGAACTGCCCGCGGTGTTATGCAAGGATCATCGAGGTTGCAATTCACTCCAGCATCAACTACCCGGTTGAGGTCTCTATATACGCTATAGTGTTGTTCCGCGCTTGTCCTATATCATCCCGAATTGCCGTGAGGGGAATACTCTCTAGCAAATGTGATTTCTGCGGCTGCTGAGAACCAACCTCTTTTCTTACCGTGGTACAAACCGGCAAGATGGAGACCGTACAGTGTATTCCCCCAGTGATGTACTATAGTTGGCACCGTGAGAGCTGCATAATTCGACATAGCTGAACCATAAAAGGATGGCTTTTTATGCACACCCTCAATGGCCGCTGTTTAGCCGAGAGCCAGCAGAAGCTCTGACAGCATCGGGAAACTTTAGCTAAGCGTGCCTGTTTCTTTGACATCTACATACGCGCTCTCGTCTTCATCTTTCTTCATTCATTAATTTTCCCTCCGCCATCATTTGACGTTGCCTCGCTCTGTCCGCGACTGCTGCCTCCCCGTGGTGGCTCCCCCAGAGACAAGATGGCTTCGTCGAATGACCGATCGCGCTTTGAAGACTCCGAAGACGAGGAGGACTTTAACCCTGCCCCGGCCGACCTGTCTGACGAGGAAGCTGGTGACGACGATGCCGATCAACAGTTAAGATCGGAGGCGCGCGGAAGTAGCCCTGCTCCTCGTCGTGATGCCGATGATGATGAGGAGGACGCAGAGGAGGAGGAAGACGATGTCAGGCGTCCTGCCGCTGCCGCTGACGACGACGACGACGACGACGAGGAAGACGACGACGACGACGATGAAGATGACGTTCAACAAGTGAGTAGCTCACAAATGCCTCAAACCGCCAGCGAGCTCATTACGCGCCTTGCCCCTGACCTTTGCTGACACGGGTAACTTGTAGGGGCACCGTCGCAAGCGTCGCCGAGACAGGCGCAATGCCTTCTTCGATATCGAAGCCGAAGTCGACGATGAAGATGAAGGAGAAGATGATGAGAAGGATGGCGAGGAGATTGGAGACTTCATCGATAACGCCCACATTGACGACATGGTCGACAGCGGTCGGAACGATGATCGACGCCATCGCGAACTCGATCGCCGCCGAGAGATGGAGTCCAGCATGGACGCGGAGAAACAGGCAGAAATCCTGCGGCAGCGTTACGGCAATCGCAGATCTGCAAAGGGCTTTGGCGACGCGTCGATTGTCCCCAAGCGCCTCCTGCTGCCCAGTGTCGATGATCCAAGCATTTGGGCCGTGAGGTGCAAGGAAGGCAAGGAGCGCGAGGTCGTCTTCTCAATTATGAAGCGCATTGAAGAGCGTGCCGGAACCAAGGATGAGCTTGCCATCACTGCTGCTTTCGAACGTGGCGGTAACGAGTCCGTCATGAAGGGCTTCATCTACGTGGAAGCCCAACGACAAACGGATATTCTCAAGGCGCTTGACAGCATGCTCAACGTCTATCCGCACTCGAAGATGATTCTGGTCGAAATCAAGGACATGCCTGAGCTTCTCCGTGTCACCAAGACGCCAACCCTAGAGCCAGGCGCCTGGGTTCGCCTGAAGAGGCCAGTTAAGCACAGCGGAGACTTGGCGCAGGTCCTAGATGTCACCGAGAATGGCCTAGAGGCAAGGGTTCGGTTTATCCCTCGACTAGACTACGGTGTGCGCGACGATGCGCTGTCAGTCACTGCTGATGGAAAGCGCAAGAGGCCTTTCGGCATGTCAGGCCCGAAACCACCACAGAGGCTCTTCAGCGAGGTAGAGGCCCGAAAGCGCCACCCGCGCCATATTCAGGGCAATCCCACCACCAACACTTGGTCGTACATGGGCGATGAATTCGAGAACGGCTTCCAGGTCAAGGATGTCAAGATTCAACAGCTTGTGGTTACCGATGTGAACCCAAGTCTCGAGGAGGTCACCCGATTCGCTTCAGGCGCCGAGGATGGTACGGAAAATCTCGATCTCAAGGCCTTGGCTGCCAGTCTGAAGGATAGCAACACCCTGGTTACTTACCTTCCCGGCGATATTATCGAGGTGTACTCGGGCGAGCAGAAGGGTGTGGTTGGCAAGGCGACCAGCGTTCAGGGAGACATTGTCACCATGTCCGTCACGGAGGGTGATCTTGCCGGCCAGACAATCGAGGTGCCTATCAAGGGACTGCGCAAGCGGTTCAGAGTCGGTGACCATGTCAAGGTCATTGGAGGGAGCAGGTTCCGGGACGAGGTGGGAATGGTGGTCAAGATCTCCGAGGATCGCGTGACCCTCCTTACAGACCAGACCAACACCGAAGTCACCGTCTTCAGCAAGGATCTTCGCGAAGCCAGCGACATTGGCGGACAGGGAGCACTAGGGCAATACGAGCTCCATGATCTAGTGCAGCTTGACCCCACAACCGTTGGTTGCATTGTCAAGGTAGACCGCGAGTCGCTCGTGGTCCTTGATCAGTTCGGTGATACTCGGCAGGTGATGCCTTCGCAAATCGCCAACAAGCTGCCCAAACGAAAGCAGGCCGTTGCTGCAGACCGCGACGGCTCTGAGATCCGACTCGAGGACGTGGTGAAGGAGTTTACAGGCCAACAGCGACAGGGAAAGATCATTCATATCCATCGATCATATGTCTTCCTTCACACAAATGACAGCAAGGAAAATGCAGGCGTGTTCGTCACCAAAGCAAGCATGGTCAACACTATTGCTGCCAAGGGTGGGAGAGTCAGCGCTGCCTCAACGGGCCCCGACCTGAACACGATGAACCCAGCGCTCAAAATCCACAAGAACGGCGCCGAGAACAAGCCTCAACAGCCCATGAAGATGTTCGGTCGGGACAAGGCCATCGAGCAGACTGTCATTATTAAAAAGGGAGCCTACAAGGGTCTGCTGGGCATTGTCAAAGATACGACGGACACACATGCGCGTGTCGAACTCCACACCAAGAGCAAGACTGTCACTGTGCCACGCGATAGCCTCGCATTCAAGAACAGGATGACCGGAGCCACGATTGATATCAACACGCGCGGCCGAGGTGGTGGCGGAGCGGGCCGAGGCGGAGGCGACAGAGTGCCAAGTTGGCAGGGAGGTTCTCGAACGCCAATGGCCAGTGGCAACTCCGACCGAGTGCCCGCTTGGGGATCACGAAGTAAGTACCGTCATAATCCAACTCATGTTGTTCCGCGGCTAACAATACCAGCACCTTCGGCGAGTGGACGAACACCGGCTTGGAAGGCTCAGGACATGTCCGGGGCCAGGACGCCGGCTTGGGCAGACGGCTCACGGACCGTCAATCCCTACGACGGCAGCCGCACTTCATATGGTGCCGGATCGCGCACTCCTGCCTGGCAATCCGGAGCGAGAACTCCGGCTCCCGGGGACGCTTTCGGCGCTGGATCTCGAACTCCTGCGTATGGTGGTGGTGACAGCTGGGCGTCGGGCTCCAAGACTCCCGCGTACGGAGCATCCGCTCCCACTCCAGGAGCGAGTGGCAACGACACCTGGGGTTACACGCCTGGGGCTACTGGCTCGTCCAACCCGTACGATGCTCCCACACCTGGCGGTGCTCTCCTTGGAGCCCCTACTCCTGGTGCGATGAACGCTCCCACGCCTGGGGCCTACTCGGCACCAACACCTGCGGCGAACGCGCCCACTCCGGGAGGCTGGCAGGGCGGTTGGGGCGCTGACTCTGCCCCAACGCCGGCAGCCGGAGCTCCCACGCCAGCAGCAAGTGGCTTTGCGGGATCGGGAGGCTACTACGGGGCTCCAACTCCAGCCGCCTATGGAGGAGCACCCGAGACTCCTGCGGCAAGTGGGCCGAGGTATGCGGATGAAGACGACGATTGATCTGCTGGTTGAAACGAGGGGCTACTCTGGCCAAGGCGGAGGATGCGAGGCTGCATATTGGCGTTTTGAGGATTGTATAATAGAATCAGTGTACCAGACGAGCCGTCAGATCTTTGGAGCCGCGGCCGTCTTCCAAAATGAATTCAAGGTCGATTTAGTTAATAGGCGCTGGCCACTGCCAGTAAGCCATATCTTGAAATTTGATATTCGCCAGTAAAATGCAAATAATGCCCTACGGGAGGTCATGGTTGTCTCATTCTGTGAGGTGGTAGTGTGGTTGAGAATACTCCATCAAAGCCCGTCAATTGCCGCCGCCTTATCGATACGACGGCCTCGGTCCAAGCGACGTCGAAAAAAGCTGACGATCTCTCAACCGCTCTCTACCACCCCAAAGAGGAAGCAACTTTGTACACATCGTATCACCAATTGCACTCACAAGGTGTGCAAGCGAGCGGTGCCGAAATGGCGTCCCTTCCCCGAATCCAGCGATTGCTCCTAGAGCGCATTGATCGAGCGCAATCGTCAATCCGACCGTCCAACGCTCGAGCTCTCTCCACCACACCTTCGAGACGTGCCACTCCTCCCTCAAAGCCTCCAGCAGCTCCCCGTCGCGCTGAAACTGCCTCGCGCAGCCGCGAAGCCCAAAGCAAGCCACCACGAACAGGGCGGCCTTCACTACCGAGCCCAACTATCCGTGTGACTCCTTCTGCCCCCAAGATCTCCCGACCAGCTCCGAGCCCCGTCAGCCCCTCAAGTCCCGTTGCTCCTGGCCCGACCCAAGAGGCGATACGCGCTGCCGAGTCGCGAGAGGCAGCGCTACGGACCGCGCGGCTGCGGCGTGCCGGACAACGCCAGGAGGAGGCCATGGAGGAGGCCAAGAAGCAGCTGGCCAAGAAGGATTACCAGAAGCGGTATAACAGCGCCGCCCGGAAATGGGTGTCTTCAATTATAGCGCTGCCCATCTTGCTTGTGACGAGTTACTACCTCTTTTATCGACGTAAGTTTCTCTGGTCCAGCCGCGTCCGTTTAGGAATGCCACATCAAAGGGTTGATGGCTAACAATATGCGTGATGTACAGTGGCATTGGGACATGCGCCAAAGACGCTGCCCAAAGCGAGAGACGAGGATGAGGAATAGACTCAAGGAACCAAGTTGCCTGCACCAATAAATTCACGGCACCCTTGTGCGTCTTTCGTCACAGGGGCAACCATGAAATAACAGAGACAGAACGGGCCTGGGCCGAAACCACCCAGGTCCACGCCTTAGGGTGAGCTTCGGTGGTCAATGATGCAGAGCCAGAGTCGATTGATTCTTGGCAATTGGGTATCGGGGCCTCTCATCAAACTGGCTCCCATCGAGCCAAGTCCCACCAGGATCCCTATGCCGTCGACCAAAGATATCCTCCGCCATCAGGAATCTTAGGTTTGTCAAGTCTGGAGAGGATCCTATCAGCTGCCCATGACTTCATCACTTGCCTCGACCCGAACAGTGCGACGAGATAAAGTGCCGCAAACAATGTCACCACATGTTGGACGTGGAAAGTCTGTGTCGGACGAAAGCTTCTCACGGGGCTATTGTTGATGTTTTATGCATCGGCATCTAGCTACAAGGCGTATTCTTTGGGTGACTCAACCTCGACATTTGATCCCGCTGTGCCAACGCAGCCTATGATTGGGTCAGCTCAGTTTGCGTCGAATTTGAAGACGGAACCCTGCTTGACTTGGGGCGGCCGAATTACACAGGACGCTGCTTGAAACGCGGGACTGCGTTGGCTAGGCATGAGGAAACTTGTGTTTATTTGCAGTTTCTCATGCCATTCTGAACCATACTCTACATAGAGACGAGACTCAAATGAAGGAAAGTCAAAGATAGGGTCCAATTCCGACGATTCACCGTGTGTGCATTTCATCTATGACACTCCAGGTATCACAAAATCTGGATACGATTTCGATTGCAAATAATATGCAACGATATTATAGGTCATGCGTCCATCTGACACCCGACTCGACTATTTCTGGATTGTCCAGTAACTCACAATCCGTGAAACACTGTTCCCAACGCTCAGCGATGGCTGGACCATCACCGAGGTTGCGCCAGCCTAGGTGCCCTCGGTCTGATGGCCAGTGAACCAAGCCCTGTCGTAGATATATCCCCGTCGGGAATTGTGATGGGACGGGTAGAAATCGGGGTCCCATACTGGGCGCCGATGCAGCCATCCCAGTGTGCATAGAGGTCAGCTGCCTCTCGAATAGGCAGAAGGATGATCGGAACAGCCAAAGGTGAATCTCCTCAAAATAGTGGTTTCAACAGGGGTACTAGGACAACAGAAATGAAGCAAAGTTATTCTTTTCAAGCTATGGGTTGGGACATCGCCATAGCCCCCAAAAACTAGATCCCAAGGGGGCCTTCCAGACCTAGAGGGCATTGAGGGTATTCGTCCCTTCTAGTTTCGGATGTTTCTATGAGATACGTAAGACAAAAATTGAAAGCCTCGAAATGGGTGATAGAAGGCTAATAGAAAACGATAGGACTAGGTGACAGAGTGTGAAAGACTGGTTGTCAATTAGAGAGCCACGGTTGATCAAATGCCAAAACAGAACATGGAAGACGAAGTGTCTTTTGAAGCGCCCAGCACACTCTCCAAAAGTTATATCTTCCTCGGGGGGTTACCACTGAATTGCTTCCGCCTATCCATCTCCCGGGTCGCGAGATCTCTGTTGATGCCACCAGGGGCCACGCGCTCCTCATTTGTAATGCTTCCAAATCCAAAGTCAGGTTTCCCACCCAGACTGCCGAAGATATCGCCAACGTAGTTCTCAGTGGCGATACCATCTTGGAAGGTACAGTCCCAGTTCTCCACGATGCCCTTGACGATTAGAGAGCCTGCAATAAAAAGATTGTCGATGGCAATGGAGAAGCCGTTCTGTTGAGCGTTGGTGAGGTGCTCTAAGTCGGAACGGCCGGGGGGAGGGCGGTCAAAGTTGGAGCCTCGAGACAGATGTTAGAATATAACTCTTCTCGAATAGGAGTAAATGGGATGAAAAGGCCAGATCTTACCAGTTCGAAGGACGATAACCCTCCCAAAGTCCACAAGCTTCTCAATCGCAGCTCTTATCAAGACTTCCAGTGTCGCATTGTCCTCCTGAGCACTCATGCAGTAGGAACCAGTCCCATTGGTCCATACAGACGTTGTATTCTCAAAAGCCTCCGAAAGTCTTTTTCCGGAGTAGTACACGTCGCTCGTGGCGGTGTCGCATTTTATTACGCTGGGTGGTTGGGATGCCATCTTGTATGACTCCCCCAAAGATTTGTACAAGTTCCTATACGACCGTGGACCTTCTGCGTCCTTCAAGGTCGCTGCAGACGCTAATTTGTACGCGGTATCTTGTAATTCGGCATTCAGCTCAAATACTTCGGTGCCATAGGTGATGAAGGGGTACTCGAGGGGTTGAGTGCGTCCGTAGGCAATATACCCAGTTAACCACTCAGCTGGGAGCGATCTTGGGTCGATTTCATATTGTAGCGCCACTTGGACAGCATACCTGGCCAGGGCGACAGTCCCTAATGTACCATGTCGGGGATTGACACCTGCTATTCCGGCAAGAAGGAAGTATGTTTCGTGGAGGTCGAACATGGGAGACAAGACAAGCGCCATGAGGCTTGCCGCCGAGTTTATCTCGCCTTCTCCCAAGGTGAGCTGACAGATTCCGGTGTCCTCAGTGCAGAAGGCCTGTGGAAAGAGCATCGAGAAGCCAGCGGAGTGTAAAGAGTGCGATGTCAGATTCCCCAGACCGGAGCTGGGAAGCTGGTCTTGCCAGATCTGACCCTCGGGTGACCACTTCGATTACATGTCAGTAATTGTCCAAGCCATTAAATATTGCATAGACTAACCATAGAGATTATCATGACTTTGGGCGCCACGGGGCCCGCTCTACTAGAGTTAGAGGGAGATGGTCGAGCCTCCACATATGTCATCAGTGGGCCGTAGAGGGCTAGAGTCAGGATTAGGTTAAGGAGAAGCATGGTGAAATCGAGAAATTTGGGGTTCAAGTCTTGGTGTTGGGTACCGGTCGATGGGAAAATACGGTTCGCCTTGTGGCTCTCGTGAGAGAATTTATCTTTGGAAAATACTCAAGGCGAGTGACTGGCAGTTAGCGATCTGAGTCTTGACAGGGGTAAAATGGACAGCTCGAGACTCATTGCGCCGAGACGTTACACCCCTTTGTTGATATCTCGAGGATACTAAGGCGATGGGATGATGTCTCGTGTGACTGAATCACGTCGAGGAAAGAGTGACAAGAAACACGGGAGGAGTCAGAGAAGACGGACACCGGATATTGATTGGGATTTCGGAAGTGATTGTCATTAAAACGGCTACAACGCCGGGTTAGGAGGAGGGTGGATCTATGCCGGGGGAGTAACTCATCTTAGATACTCTCCAAGAGACAGGGATCCAAGTCATGTTCGAGCTCGTGCTTAACTTTGAAGGAGCGAGCTGAGTAAATAGGAGTGAATATTGCAGACATCCCTTTCCAAGTGTACGTGATATTAGAGAGGTGTTTAAAATAGACTAACCTTGGACGTGTATCATGGAGCGAGACCAGTTGTGCGGCGGTGGGAACATGGCTTCGCCATATTTACAAGGACAGTAAACCAGTGCCCTGACCAAGTACAGATTTATCGGCATACTCGAGCCGAGGTCTCGGGTGTCGTCTTGGCCGAGAGGACACGGGTAGCAGGACAAGACCAGAAACAGCATCATGGCGTTTCGAACACCCGACGGGTCCTAACCACGAGACAAACCTGAAGAGACGGAAACCTTATGATGGGTGGATTAAAAATGAGTCGCAGCTTGTCTCATCTCGCGTGGATGGCAAGTCCAAGCTACTGGGAGTTGATTGCTCCCCTCGTACAACCTCGAACAGACCCTCCCGGCCTCCCGGGGACGAAATGAGCCGTGAATATGCGAGAGACGAGGTCTTTCTTCATTCACTCTTTTTCGCGTTGTCGTGTAACTGGTTCTCTGGGGACAGTTATTAGATTAGCCGACGGCGGGTCTGAGGAAAGCATGTCTCAGTCGATCGAGCTGGGTGCCGAAACAACTGGATGAGAAACAAACATGTCGAATCGATTGGCTTTCACAAACGAAAGCCGATGGTTCCCGGTCGCCCAAGGTTAAATGTGTTGGGGAGACTGGTTTGGTCGAACACGAGGAGTCTTGTGTCATGCCACGTTGTATGAGAGGGACGGTTGGAGGTGAATGGGAACAGGTGGTATGAGTCCTTTGGCACATGGCATGTGTCTCTATCGTACATGTTTTTAGCATCTGGGTAGAGTTACAGAGCGGATGTGTGGTGTTTCGGCGACAGGTCCTACTCGAGTCGTACTACGTTTGTTTCTTTGACCACGTCTCCCTTTTCCTCATCAACCACGTGAGAATTCACTCAGCCAGATGGAGGCAAAATCTCGCTGCGCAAGTGTAATAGCCAACCCCCCCGGTACGTCTCCCACACACGCGGCATGCAAATAACGTCCGGGTAGCGCAAGGGAAAACAATGCGGTATATTGAGTGTTTTTCTTTCTGGTAAACAAGTAGTGGTTGGATGTAGCCAACTGACACCACCTGTGACGTAGGGTAAGCGATGATGCAGAGGCAACTCACCCTGCATTGCTTCCACTTAGGTGGAGTCGCTAGAGGGGAGGCGTCCAGTATAATACTTAGTGGCTGGCGGAAAACGCGTAATTCGATTTGAGTTTGGGTGGCTGCTCTTGGCTCAAACGTAATGGGACGAGATTGTGCTTAAGGAAGGAAGGAACCTGGCGTGATGGTTGCTGTCGCTGAGGTCCACTAAGAGGGAAGGCACACGCCCAAGAAACCCCTGCCCAATTTACTTACAGTGCTTGCAACGCAACCAGGAAGCAGACTGTCATCGACATCCGAGATTATGAGCGTCATCATTGTTGGCACATAACATCACGAATCGAGAGCCGGCCCTCCATCAAGCGTGAACGAAACCGCATCGACACGCCAAAATAAAATGTTATGGCATTTCTTGCTGCCGTTGACACTGATGCTGACGTTGGATTCGCGGCTGGCCTTGCTGATCGACAGATACCCAAGCCTTTTCGCTTGAAATTCACCAGCAATACGCGTCCAGATCCCGCTGGAGGTCCCCGAATGATGAGCAAAATGAACCGCTGCGACGAATCTTGGCGCCCCAGTGACAAACACACTGACGACCCCCTTCTCCTCACCGAGGAAGACAAGCGCCGCAAGGTCGCCAAGACCACCAAGACCGCTAAGGACACCCGCAGGATCAATGGGAGGCAGCCAAATCAACCCTCAGTCCATGATAGTCCTGGATCAATCGTTTCTGCCTCTACCAAAGACCAACAGCCCTAGCTGGTCGTTCCCACAACCTCGCGCTTACTGGGCACCCAGCACGCGCTGTTGAGTCCGACTCCACCGCCGCGAAGATCATGTCCACTTAGGCTCATGATGGGATGGGCCGGGGTTTGACGCCAAGGACCAGTTAAGCAGCTACCCCAAGTCATTCCGAAGTGGGGCCGCGCCGCAAAAGTGACGAGGACAAGTCCTGTTGCTCTGCCTTTGGTGACGCCCATGGGTTAGATTTGATGTCGGCCGGGCGCCACACTACGGCCCTCCCCACTCGCAGCCGTGAGCGTTCTGCCGGTCCTTTCTCTTCCCCGGATCTGGCACTTCTACTCAAGGCCGTCTTGTTTCGCGTGTCTCCGTTGCTTCGTCGTCGTCTCAACCCCCCTTCGATGGATGAGATCAGGGCCGCCCCGGATGTACGCCCCGGCCATGGTGCCGAGTCAATTGCCGTTGCGCCCCAGCAGCTCCCCCCAGACGTCCAAGACGACACCGCGATAACCTCTCAGCTTTCCAACCCCCACGATGCGTCCCTCGACTTTTGCGAAGAGACGGTCGATCCGACAAGCAACTTTGCCTTTTCTCCGAACCAGCTTCACAAGCTTCTGACCACCAAGAGCCTTCCTGCCCTACGCGCTTTCGGAGGCCTCCCCGGCCTCGCAGCCGGCCTCCGCACCGATATATCCTCTGGCCTGAGCATCGACGAGACCAACCTTGATGGGACGGTGGCATTTGACGAAGCTGTTTCCGCTGGCCGCGATGGACGCCCACCCGCCATCATCGAGGGGCCGCCGCCGCCGACACCTCCCACCCTCCTCGCCCAAGGTCTGCGACTCGGCGAGCCTCCCGATAACCACTACATCGACCGGAAACGAGTCTTTGGCGAGAACCTCGTCCCCCAGCGGAAGCAAAAGTCCTTCTTTCGGCTCATGTGGATTGCCTTCAACGACAAGCTCATAATTCTCTTGACCATCTCTGCTACCATCTCCCTCGCCATCGGAATTTACCAGACCGTGGATCCCTCCGTGGATTCTTCGCGCATCGAGTGGGTTGATGGCGTCACTATCGTCGCTGCCATCGCCGTTATTGTGGTAGCGAGTGCTGCCACTGACTGGCAAAAGAACCAGAAGTTCAAAAAGCTCAATGAGCGCAAGGAACAGAGGAATGTGACGGTGATCCGCTCCGGCAGATACCAGACCATTTCCGTCTACGATGTGCTGGTTGGTGACATATTGCGTGTCGAGGCCGGTGATGTTGTTGCTGTCGACGGTATTCTTGTACAATCGTCGTCGCTCCAGGTAGATGAATCTTCCATATCTGGCGAGTCTGCTCTTGTCCACAAGACTGTTCCAAGCGACAACGATCCCTTCCATACCGTCCATGCCGACCCCTTCATCCATAGCGGCACAACCGTCTCTCGAGGAAACGGTCGCTACCTCGTCACGGCTGTTGGCCTCTACTCTTCATACGGACGTGTCCTGGTGTCCCTGAGGAGCGATGTGGAAGAGACACCACTACAGGCTAAGCTGGGACGACTTGGAAAGCAACTCATCATCATCGGCAGCATTGCTGGCTCTATTTTCTTCCTCATCCTCTTCATCCGCTACATGGTTAACTTGCGAAATCTCAAAGTTGAGCCCTCTCAGAGGGTGGAAGATTTTCTACATGTGCTCATATTGTCCGTCACCGTCGTGGTCATCACCGTCCCGGAAGGTCTGGCCCTCAACGTCACCATTGCGTTGGCTTTTGCAACCAAGCGTATGCTCAAGGATAATAATCTCGTACGCCTTCTTAGGTCTTGTGAGATCATGGGAAATGCCACAACTGTGTGCTCAGACAAGACGGGAACTCTGACGCAAAACAAGATGACTGTCGTGACTGGTCGCATCGGGCTCCGGTGCTACTTCGATGACACGGATTTAGCTGACACGGATCTGGACGTGTCCATGTCCAGGGCATCCACCATCAAGTGTGACACTTCTGCTCAGCTTGTGACTACGTTGTCGACAGAATCAAAGACGTTGATCAAGGCTATTGTGGCACTGAACTCTACTGCCTTCGAAAGCGACGATTCCGGGTCGTCCGAATTCGTCGGTTCAAGTACCGAAACAGCGTTGTTGGAATTCAGTCGTCAACATCTGGGCATGAACCCCCTGGTGGAGGAGAGGGCCAACTGCCCTGTCGTCACTATGCTTCCATTTGACTCCTCCCGCAAATGGATGGCCACTCTTATTAAGCTTCCTAACGGCATGTATCGCTTACTGGTCAAGGGTGCCGCTGAGGTTGTCTTCGAGTACTGTGCCTTTATCGTCTCCGACCCAACATACAGATTGCCACTGGCGCGTCTATCTGAGGATGACCGGGCGAGTTTCAACAACACTATCCAGGACTATGCTTCAAAATTGCTACGGCCTGTGGCTATGGCATACCGAGATTTTAACGCGTCCGAAGTATTCGGGGACCCAGACGATGACCCAGAGTCTCTCAACCTTGAATGGCTAGCGTCCGGCATGGTCTTCCTCGGCGTCTTTGGAATCCGGGATCCGCTACGCCCCGAGGTCGTGGAGTCGGTCCGACAGTGTCAGGCGGCGGGTGTCTTTGTTCGTATGGTTACGGGGGACAATTTCCTCACCGCCAAGGCTATTGCTGCAGAATGTGGTATCTACACCGCCGGCGGCATCGCCATGGACGGGCCAACATTCCGAGATTTGACATCAGAGCAGCTAGATGCCGTCATCCCTCGCCTGCAGGTTCTCGCCCGATCGAGCCCCGAGGACAAACTACTCCTAGTGTCACATTTAAAGGGCATGAATGAAACTGTAGCCGTTACCGGAGATGGCACCAACGATGCCCTGGCTCTCAAAGCCGCAGACGTTGGATTTGCCATGGGCATCCAGGGCACAGAAGTGGCCAAAGAGGCAGCCTCCATCATCCTTCTAGACGATAACTTTGCTTCCATCGTAAAGGCGTTGGCCTGGGGTCGAACTGTCAACGATGCGGTAAAGAAATTCTGCCAGGTAAGATAATGACGTGATCCCTTTTTGTGTGTTGAGCAAACAACTAATGTACTGCCGCAGTTTCAATTCACGATCAACCTAACTGCCGGAATTATTACCGTCGTTTCAGAACTTGTTGGGGATGCTATATTTACAGTCGTCCAACTGCTCTGGATTAACTTGATAATGGATATTTTTGCGTCTCTTGGTTTAGCCACCGACAATCCCTCACCCGACTTCCTGCTACGGAAACCCGAGCCTCGAAATGCCCCGATAGTTACCATCACCATGTGGAAGATGATTATCGGGCAGGCACTCTACCAGCTTGCGGTAATTTTCGTCGTCCATTATGCTGGCTGGGACTTGTTTAGCCCTGATACCGAGTTCGAAGTTGAGAAACTCCAAACATTCGTCTTCAACATCTACGTGTGGATGCAGTTCTTCAATCAGCACAATTGCCGGCGGGTTGACAACAAGCTGGACATCTGGTATCAGGGCGTGTTGAAAAACCCTTGGTTTATCGGGGTGCAACTGATTACTGTGGCTGGCCAATTCACCATCATTTTTAACGGAGGCGAGGCGTTCGACACAAGACCCCTGACGGGCTCGCAGTGGGGGTGGAGTATGCTCTTCGGAATCCTGACGATCCCACTGGGCGCGTTGATCCGACAAGTCCCGGACAGCGTAGTGCAGTCGTTGTTTGACGCATGTCGGATATCGTATAACAAAGCTGTCAAGCCGTTCCGAGGATGCTTTTCCTGCCTCATTCCCAAGAGGTTCAAGAAGCGCGACGACGAACAGCCAGATCAGGAATTGGGCCGAGTAGAGAACATCATCCAAACACTGGGCTTGGGTTCAGAGTCAGTGGATCAGGATGTGACTACAACAGCGGATCAGAGAGCAGCGTTGGAGAGTTCGGCGAGATTGAGGAGACAGGAAACGGAGAGATACACCAGGGAGATCGACCTGAAGGGACTTATCGAAGCAGCCAAGTTGGGCCGGGAGTATGATGGTGCTACTCTGGAGCTTCACCCGCGAACATTGAAGGATGATCCAATTCTGAGGGCGAAGAGCGACAGCACGGTGCCTCCAAGCCAAGACGCTGCATTTATGAGGTTCGTCGCCGTGAATCGCAAAAGAAACCGGAGACAGGTGCGAAACCCGACGAGCCAGGTTTCTCAGAACGCACGACAGTCTCAGGCACAGGCTCCGACAAAGAGGTCAAGCGGTTTCAAATGGGAATCGCTGCTGAGGTCGAAGAGAAGGTGACGAAGGCCAAACCGGAATCGTAATACTCGAATCGCCCATCGAGAAGAAGGGTCTGAATAGAGACAGTACAGTAATATGACGACTACGAAGTTATGATGGATAAACCATATAGGGAACGGTACCAATGATATATTTGTGATTTTCTTTTCTGTGGAAACTTGCTAGGCTGCTCGATGCTGTTTTTAAAAGATCCAAGTTGCGTTTCTAACCAAAGCTGTTTCCTGTACACATTATGTCACCTTGATTACCGACCCCTGGATGGCGCCGCCTAGCTCATCTCGCGGATACCCAGGCCCGCGCATGAGGCAGACGGCGCTACGGGACAAATTGGACACAAGCAGTCCGATGCTGAGCTGCATGGTTAGGACGTTGGGCCGCGGGCGTAGTTGATCGGGTGAGAAGAAGTCTACAAAGCTCCAGCTGTCCGGCTGTCCGGAGGGGACCTCGCTGGGCGGGTTGTTGGGTGATGACGGGTTGGCGATGTTGAGCTCGAGCGTCTCGGCGTCGATGATTCGGCCTCCGAGGGCCAGCAGCTGCTTCTCGACGCCCAAGATGCTAAAATATCCCTGGTCGCGATTGCTGGGATGGGGTTTGTAGATGCCAGTCCAGCCCATGTCCTCGAAGGCGGGATTCAAATCATTCCTCGTGAAGACTTGGGAGCCGTGTTGCCCATACGGCAGATCAACGACGCGATACATGTCTCCAATGCCCGGCCCCAGTAGCCATCTCAAGCGGATCAACATCTCGCGTTTGTCCGTATAGTCTAGGTTTGTTCCGAAGACACGATATTCCTCTGACTGAGGTATAGGTGGGTGTTGGGCCTTGGTGAGGATCAGATATGCGATGCTGAGGCTTGCCTTTGCGAGGCGGTGGGCGAAGGAGTCCTGGGACAGAGGCACGCGAGCTCCCCAGTGCTTCACTCCAATAATCGGATGATTCGTTATAGTCCAGCCATTTCCGTATATTTGGGGAGGTAGCGGAGGGGCAGCGACCATGGCGTTTTCTGGAGGTTCATCAGGGATGTGGTAGTCGGCGCCCGGTGGTCCTGGCAGGGTGAGGATGAGGGCCGATTGGGAGGCGCGGTAGGCTGGGTCAGTTCCTGTGTGTGTATCACATTCCATGGTGTCTTCGGAGGAGTGACTGGACGTCGATGAGTCGCCTGGTGGTGAAGTCGAGGAGTGGCCTGGTGGTGATGCTGAGGAGTGGCCTGACATATCGTTCTCGGGAATGCCTGCCAGCAGTTTGGTGGTTGATGTTGATGTAGAGGTTGATGTAGAGGTTAATGTAGAGGTTGATATGGAGGTTGATGTTGGCTCAATAGCTGGAGCCACGGATGGTGTACAGGATGCATTTTGCTCGTCGTCTGGTCCGACGACTTCATGGGCCAAGGCGAGAATGCGTGCCATGGACCGACGCAAGCTCCCAACCAAGTTCGGCTGCTTGTTAACGACCTCAGTCTCGAGCATCTCATCGACGAAGCTGACAAAGATGGAGCTCATCTCCTCGACGACCTCCTCCAACCGGCGGAGCCTCTTGCCTTGCTCCGCTTCAGCTGCCTGCCTCCGCCTGCGGAAGACATTCTGGGCTTCGCGGTTGCGTTGGCGGCGGGCCTAGACGATGATAAGCGTGTGTTGAATCTATTAGGAGCGAGTGCTGATGTATTACCTTGAGAGTGGCATCGTCTATTTCAGAGGGGTTGGAGGGAGGCCGACCTCGTCGCTTGACGGGGGCGGGCTTGGGATGATCTGGCATGGGATGACTTTATAACGGACGAATCTTTAAGAGATGTTTGGATGTGCTTGGTGGATTGGTGGAGAGGGAGGGATGCGGTGGGGGCCAGAGAATGGAGAACAGAGAAGAGAGGATGAAGAATGGAGAATAGAGAATGGACAGCAACGGTGGAGTGGTCTGACTATGGCCAATTACGGATTTTTTGAATCGACAACAGAAGAGCCTTCCCACTTGGATGAGCAGCTGCGAATTACCAGGCAAGAAGACGTTGATGCGGATGTAACAATGTTCCACGTATGAATAAATGAGGAGCGTGAGTTGACTCGTTGAGAAGAGCGCCAGGCGGCTTGTCGGGTTGTGGCTTGTGGCTTGTTGATCACTAATCGACCAGACTCGGGGGCGTTACATCACACGTCCGACTCAATCGGCGTGATGCGGGCGAAGGTAACAGCTCGGATAGCCGTTAGCGGGTGCTAAAAAACGTTAAAAAAGGGTCACGGGCTTTAAAACAAGACGGCCGTTATTATGCCGCGGCCTTTTACTTGGTTGTCACTTTTTGGCATTTTTTGTAGCGAGGTAAGCAAGCATGGATGAGCGTGAGATGGATATGCTCGGCCCGTCCGAAAAACGGAGAGCCCTTCTTGAATAAAGCGACTCGGTTGGACCATGTAACGAGACTTGGGACAAGAACAGACGAGAATAAATAAACGAAAAGACGGAGTAGCAAGCAGGTTTGATCCAAAAGCGTGTACTGCACCGTAACCATGTCACAAAGTCAATGCTCCCTTCCTCTTCATGCCCTCCACCCACGGATGGACTCAACACCCGATCCCGTCCCCGATTTTCCCGGTTCCGCCTCCGCCATGACCTCCGCCATGACCTCCGCTATCGCCTCCGCTATCGCCTCCACTGTCGCCTCTACTGTCACCTCCGCTAGAACATCCCTTGCTTCTCAATAGCTTCTTCGAAATATCGTCTTCCTCCTCCTCCTCCCGATCCTTCTCCTTTCCCTTCTACCTCCCCCTTTTCTCCAGTCCATCCTCCACCGCTGACAAGGTCCGCAAACCTCCCGTTCTTCTGTAGCAGACCGTGATACGTTCCCTCTTCCACCTTCGCCCCGTCTTCGAGCACCACGACCCGGTCCGCCACGGCCATCATCTCGCGACTATGCGTGACGACGACGATGGCCATGCCGCCCCGAGATTGCTTGGCCCGGTCTGCTAGCTCCTGAATCGTCTTCCGGATCGTCTCGGAGCTCTCTGCGTCGAGAGCGCTCGTAGGCTCGTCGAGGACTAACAACGAGGGCTTCCGCGCGAGTGCCCGTGCAATACTCAGTCGCTGCGCCTGCCCCCCTGAGAGCACCTGGCCGCCGTCGCCGACAAGTGTGTTGTATCCTTCTGGTAAAGACACGATAAACTCGTGCAGACCTGCAGCTTGGGCGGCCGCCACGATGCTGTCGATTCGTCGTAACGATGAGCTTTCGCCAATGCCGTAGGAAATGTTTTCTGCAATAGTCGCCGGGAATAGGAATGGCGTCTGCGGCACATACGCCATCATAGACCTGAGATGCTCCATGTCGATTTCACTGGATGGAATACCAGCAAACGTCAAAGGCGAGGCCCTGCTGAGCATCGAACGCGCCGAAGGCGAGTAGAGGCCCAGCAGTAGCGACATGACAGTCGACTTACCACACCCAGAGCGGCCCACGATGGCCAAAAATGTCCCTGGGTGGACTTCAAACGACACTCCTCGCAACACCGGGCGATCTCCGTCCGCTTTATACGAGAAGCTAAGCTCGTGCAGCCGAACAGGAAGCGTTGTCGTGGGCGTCTTAGTACCAAAGGCTTTGGAAGACGGCTTCGGCGACATGTTGGCATACGCCAGAATCTGTGAGGCCGTTACTTGAGCCATGGTGACCTGTGGCATCGCGCTCAAGAAACCGGTGGCAGTCCCGACGCTAAACAGGAGCAGATTCACAACCTGAACCACGGCTGTAGCTGTAATGTTCTTATCCGACGCAAGGAGAACCGTGCCGTAGTAGAAGACCAGCGCCGTCAGAGGGTAGTTGAGCGACTGATACAGCCCATAGGGCCCGCTGATGAACACTGCCCTCCGCATCCCGAGGCTGAAGGTATGCGAGACAGACTGATTATACTTGGCACGGAAGTGGCCCTCCAAAGTGAAGGCTCTCACTACCCGGATGTTGAGAAAGATCTCGGTGAGGGTAGCGCTGGATTCCTCGGCGCCCTTGTTGCAAGTTGCCTCCCACTTCCCGCTGACGACAGAGAAGCCCTTGACTGCGCCCATCACCACGGGTGCCAGTGCCATCGCGACCAGGGTGAGTTTCCAAGAGACCACGAGGGCCCAGGTGACGGCCACCAAGGTCATGACAGTGACAACGATGACAATGGGGACAAACCTCCCGACGATGTTGCGCATCTCCTCAGCGTTGCGATCAAGGCACTCGTTGATGCGGCCAGGCGAGTTTTGCGCCTGGTCAAACCACGACTTGGGCTGTCGCAAGATCTTCTTCAGGGCTTGGACGCGGATGGTGTTGATCCAAGCCTGGCCAACGACTTCGAGTTGATACCGGCCGCCACCAGTGCAGGCGCCGTCGACAACCGCCACCACAAAGAGGTAGATGGCCCATTTCTTTCCCTCGGCCAGCTTGTCTCCAGGTGACCACATTACTCCGAGAAGCTGAGCGAAGCAGTACGCAAACGTAGGGATAGCACCTGCTCCCACGGTGCAGGTGAGTATCCCAAGCACGAGGATGAGGCGATGGCGAGGCCCAAGAGCCGGCCACACCGTCTTGAGGATGGCTACCAACGAAGTCGGCTGCGAGATGTCATTCGGTGTCTCTTTTGACGTGTCTCTGGTTGTGTTCGAAGCCGTCTTTTCATCATATCGTGCCAGTCGTAGACTCGATATGTTTCCTCGGCGGTCAGCTCCCCCAAATATGTAGCCAGTCTCCTCTGTTGAGCCGCTCACTCTTATTTCCGGAATCTCAGTGATACCACGCGAGTATTGTGGCATTATGGGTCTTTCATGCAGTGGTGGCGGGCTTCTTATCCCCGACCTTGGTCGTTCTATAGGCATATCCGATTCCCATATCTGCTCTGTTCTCATTCTCAACGCTGCCGTGGTACTTGCGCCCCATGAGATTCTCCGGGACATGCCAGTTCCAGGTACGAGCAGCGAGTTCCGTTGTAGTCCTTCGAGTTCCTCCATGAAGACTCTGGAAACACGCGAACCTCTTGCCGAAGGAGGAATCGTGACCAGAGAGTGAGGGCTGGGGCCGTCGGGAGAAGTGACATTGATCCCAATCGGGCTATCATGAAGGTCGTTTTGGTCGGTGGATGCAAGTGTATCAAATGCACCGACACTGCCGCGAACTAGATCGCGTTTGAAGCCTTCCTCCACCAGGGATGCGTTGTCCATGACGTACACAAAGTCGTCGTCTCCAATCTGGGAAACGTCGTGAGTAATAATGATGGTGGTCTTCCCACGCCTCCAGTCTCGAATCGCCTCCATGATCAAATCCCGGCTGACTTGATCCAAGCCACTCGTAACCTCGTCGAGAATGAGTATTGGAGGGTCCCTGAGCCGAGCTCGTGCCAGTGCCACTCTTTGCTTCTGGCCGCCACTCAAATTGTAACCCCCTAAGCCGACATTGGTTTCTAGGCCACTTGGAAGTGCTGTGAGGGTGGACTGTAACAACACGGCATCGCAGGCGGCTTTCACTTCTGACTGTGTTGCTTGTTCTGGAGCGAGGTGACCAAAGGCAATGTTTTTGAACAAGCTGTCGTTGAACAGAATGCTGGACTGCTGGATCAATGTGACGTTTTCCCGAAGCCAGTGCTTATCCAAAACTCGCAAGGGTTGATTATCTATTTGGATCTCGCCAGTAACGGCTTCGTAAAACCCGACCATGAGGTTTCCAAGAGTGCTCTTACCAGATCCGCTTCGGCCGACAATGAAGGTCAACTCGCCAGCGGGGAAGAAAAAGGACGAAGTATTCAGTACCCTTGTCTCTGGGTTTGAAGGATATGCAAAACTAACCTGTTAATTGTTAACAATGCGCTCTGCAGCATGAGAAAAGCTGGGCTGGGGTGCTTACATTGGTCAGTTCAATGTCGCCAGCACATCCGTCTGGCCTCAGTGAGCCCGTCATTGCTTTGGCTCCGTGCCCTTGTTTGTAATTCGAGACCATTGCAGCTAAAAACCCTCCTGCCGACATGCCTTTTGCAATGACCAACCATTGCGGCATGAGAGCTTCGATTGCCTGGAACGAAGCCAAGGTTGCATAGAAGGTGGCGAGGACATGGCCAGGCGCGAGCCCTCCGTTGACCAGGATCACGCCGTACCAAAAGCCGACAACGAACATGGCAATTCCACTGAAGCTGATGTATCCCATTTGTGTAGAATTGCACTGCGCCTGGACGAGGTAAGGCTTTGCTGCAGCCGTGACGGCGGTTGAGTATTGCCAAACGTCCTGGTCGTATCCCTTGAAGACCTTGACGAGGTCTATGGCGGTAATTGACGCCACAGCGTGCTTTGAAGCAATAGCTAGATATCGTTTTTGTGCTTGGATGGCGGGTTCCAACCGCCGAGTAGCTAATGATAGAACAACCACCGATATTGGCAAGATGGCGAGAAGTACTAAGGTGAGTTTCCACGAGTAGTAGAGCGCGATACCGAGGGAGGCGAAGGAGGTTATGACATCACACACTAGTAGGCCGAGAACTTGGGATGTTGCGAGCTGTAGTTCTCTGGTTTGTCTGTTCAGGCGTCGTGTTAGGCGAGATGTCGGCAACCTTGGGGAATATGGAGGTATAAACAACTCACGTCTGGACTCTGACGAGAAGACTGGATATGCCCTCGGACTGTGAGTCAAACCAAGCCATATCTCTGGAAAGGAAGTTCTCGAAGAGGTCGCGTCGAACACTGTTAGCCTGCAACTCGCCAAAGACTACCCAAAGAGCTAGGAATGCCGAGTTCGCCAGCCAGTAGCCCATCCCTAGACCAAGCAGGATAAGGGACCACCTGGAGATCCTGGACAAAGCCTCATGGCCGTCGAGGGTTCCGTTTCCGAAGCCGGCGATTATGTCAAAGACCTTTCCCAGGATGATGGCCAGAATGGTCTTGAAACCAGCCGAGATGGCGGAGGCAGTCAGGGCGCTGGCCAAGGGAAGTACATGGGCTCTCTTGGTGAAAACAAAGAGCTGTCTCCACGATGACTTTGCGGCTTGCTGGGGGCTTCGGGAAGTCTCTTTAGAAGCCCGAGTCTCAAGGCGATTAGGAGTCGCTGATTCCATGGTGTCTGCGCAAGGGGACGTGAACTTGTGAAGGGGACTGATGGGTCAGTGGAACGGGCATTGCTTCAGAGATGATGGCGACGAGGAACGAAAGAGGGGTTTCTGGCAAATATTGTAATTTTTCATCAGCTAAATCGAGTACAAAGAACAGCATCAAGATGTGGATGCAAATGGGGTGACGAGAATCTGACACCCAAAAGTGGTGGCACAGACGCGGTGCCTATTGTTCTTTGGCGGCTTCATATTGTTCGCGCATTTCAAGCTCCAACTGACTTAGAACGCCTCCCACACAGCCAATCAGTGGTAGGGTTCGGGTTCATGTTGTAGGAAAACTCCACAGAGGTCACGCCCAGAGTTTTGACAACTGCAACACGGCCGTTGGTCTCATGGGAAGCATCTGAGCTAGACGAGTGTTTTTCAAGCCCAACAATTGTGGCCGGGAAACCCCGTTTGGAGATGCCTGGTTTGTACACATTATCAATGATTCTCGCTCTAAATATATACCAGCTTTGTAACAACAGTTCCGTCTTGAAGGACCCGGGTTTCCTCCTCCAGTCTAGACCCTCGCCAGCGAGGAATGGCAATTGTCCACACATACCAGTAGACGATCCCTGCAAGGAAGCTGCAGTGGTGCGGTTAGCAGCATGGTAAGAGATATTTGGCATGGAAGGGCAGCATACATAGTTACCCCTACAAGGGCGTAGGTGGCATAGAACAGGCCATTACCAGAGCCTTCAGGAGGTCGGAAGAATGGCGCCGCAATGAGTGCAATTGCGAGCGTTATCTTAACCAACACGGCAGGCGTCCATGCCTTGAAAGGCCGTTTGAGGTCGGGTCGTTGGAACCGTAACTTAAGAAGCCCAACAGCGACCGCGAGGCTCACAAGCTCACCAGCGTATCCCTCGACTTCAAGGATGAACGAGTACACTGACCCAGATGGCGGCAGGGCAATGACAAGAAAAGATGGGATATAATGAACAATGAAACCGCCCAGCGGGGAGTTGAAAGGCCTGGACGACGATAGGAGGTCGGAGAATGGGAGGAAGCCCTGTCTAGCAATTTCTTGCTTAATGCGTGCCTGTATTTACCCAATTATTAGTCCTTCTTCCCCACTTACCAATAATCGATGATAATATGGTTCAAGGGGGCTCACCATGGCAAAAGTCACAACCATGACGTTTCCAGCCGCAGAAAGTGCCACAGCTAGAGGCAGGATTCTTCGCCCAAGGTTCTCGCCAAAAAGGTGCTCAAAGAAGAGAGCCGCAATCAGCTCGCCGCTGTCTCGGATCTCATCCACGGGAACGACCAGAAAATATGCCACGTTGATGAGAAAGTACATACTGCATGCCGTGGCAAGCGCTGTCATGGCCACCGATCTCAGTGTTCGGACAGGATCCTTGACCTCGTTCAATACATTGCTGACATTGTCGAGTCCAGCATATGAATAAAACACCTTGAACAAGGATGTCGCTATGACGCCCCAGTTCCAGCTACTGTCCTCCCAAAGTTGGTCCCAGGAGAGTAGGTTTGATCTTTCGGACATCGAGTCGGAGTCTGGGCGAAAGAGAACAACATAAATCCCCGAGAGGATCATGAACAATATTACCCCAACCTTGACCCAGCCGAGGGTGTTCTGTATTCTGACGCCAGTTTTGGGAAAGATTCCATGAACCACAGTGACGGTGGTGAGTAACCCAATGGCCAGGCCCTTGAGGGAAACGTTTCCAGGCTCATGGACTCCCAGAGCGAATAGGACATAGCGGCTGAAAACGACGCAGTTGCTCGCTGTGAAGCCCAGCATCACTGCGTATATGGCGTACAAAGTCGAGGCAAGGAATCTCGGCCACCGATACGTAAACTCGAGGTAGACCTTGGTTCCGCCGGAGCGCGGCAGCATGCACCCATATTCCAAGGCCACTGAAAGGCCGCAGGCAGCTATCACAGCGCCGACAACCCATAGCGAGAGCGAAAGGCCGATGCTTCCCACGGACTGGGTGATGGCGCCCGGTGTAGCAAAGATGCCGCTGCCGACGACGCGCGATATCGCCAGGATGTAAGCGCTCTGCCAGGAAATTGTTCGCCCAAGAGGCGATGCCTCGGGGAGCACCACGTCTTCGACTGAGCGCGACGGTTGAGGATCACCAGCGCCAATCTCACCTCCATCGATAGGGCTCGCAAAGGGCCTTCGGATGGCATCTCGGTCTGTGAAAGTGTCTGAATCAGATAGAACACGGTCTGTCGTTTGGAGGAGCGGCCGTAGCTCAGGATCTTGAGCAGCCTTGCTATCCATTTGATGTCGAAGATATTGCTAGCTCGCCTTGACTCAAGACGAGGCCGATGATGATCATTATGAATAGGAACAGGGTGAGAACAGGGCAGTCCTCCATTTTCACATTCCTCGCTGCTGACCACTTTCCTGCCTCGGCCATGAGACATCCGGGTCTTCCATGGCTCGTAATGGGTCAGGCTGCAACTTCGTCAGGCGTGATGCGGATTGCGCGATTGACTAGGAAAGGGAGGGTCTGAGTATCAACGTTATCGCTGGCGGATTTGACAGGGTTTAGGTCTGCCTGTGGCGGAACGAGTGTGGCTGTGATAAATAATGACACCGAGCGTGAGGTTTTCTCATTGTCGAAACAAGACAGTCACTACACAAAGACGTTGAGAAGGGGGGCGGCGGGCACTTCAAATAGCTCCTAGTGGCTAATTCTGCATGCAATATCGCGACTCGGGCCATTTTCCAAACAACTCTCAGGATTGTTTAGACATTTTTTCTCTCGATATACGCAGGTGTGATGCGATATTGCTGATGATGGTGTGCTCCCAGAGAGCTGACAAATCCGAAATGACTTGACGGTAAAGGAGAGAGACGGGGATCAAGAAATTGAGTATTCTTCGAAACGAGAAACATTATATGCCGGCCTTCTTGCACGTGCTAATTAATGCTCTCGGCGTACTTTGTTATCACCATATCGCGATAAACAGTCAGTCCTCCATATTTCTAAAAGCCTATTGCTACTACCCCCGATGTATTATTGATCCGCGAGTTGTATCTATATTTAGCCCGTGGAAAGGAAGGTCAACCACAACTGTAAGATAAGATTTGTCACTGTACAGATGTCCTTTACCATCGTTCTGCCTCATAAACTGTGTAGAGTTCTTCGTAGTCAAAAACAAGGACTTGGTTCCTTTCCACTGCCCGCTCCCTCTCAAGACTGGGGACATCTGTTGTAACTAACCCCTACGTCGGCATTAAGGTGTTTCGTGCCAACGCCTGCCGTGATCGGCCGGGAGCTACAATTCAGACACTAAAGAGGATACGGTGCGGCCGCATATAATGAGGGTGCTTGCCGACGACCGTATCCGCTGACCACTCTGGCTTCGGGTAATTTCCCGTTCGGACAGCGTTACCACAATAATGTTGCGAACACTCTCGCATACCAATTTCTATAGCTTAGTCTTGGGTATATTGAATCAGCACGGGTCATGTTGCTTTTTGGGCTACTTTACTCTGTCCTCGAGATGTACGCAAACTTGGTTTATTGCACGTTTTCGCCCAGGAACCCTCCAACCGCCAGCGCTGGAATTGAGAATCGTGATACACAATCCCCGGAATTGCGCACCCTTATCGCAGGGTTTGGCACCAATGTATATATGACACGGTCAATTTAATTATTTTAATTCACTCGTATATCCCTTAATCGCTTGCCGTTCGTCTGTGCTTAGTCGGATCCGGAACCAGCGATCGATTGTCTCGATTCTCTCTTCCTCATCCTGAAAAGTCCGCATGACGGTCTCTTTGCCCCGGATATTCTTTTTAATTCTGTTTCCAAAAAGCGCTACGAATCCAATCAATTCTTTCGTCTCTTCGTCCACGAGAAACCTGTGTGCGACCACGTGCTGCGTGAAGAAGCTCTTTGGACTTGTCATAGGATAGAGGTTCATTGTCTCAAAATCGGTGTCAAAGTACTCGGTTTCCGTGAAGCAGTAAGCCTCGACCCAGGGTGAATCCTGGCAGCTGCGATGCGAATAAACCCAGAGACGTTGACTGGGGTCTGAATGCTGGGGCAGCTGTGTGAAGTCGACTTTGAACTGTTGTGGGATGATTCCATCCACAATGCCGCCACCCAACAATATAGGATATGTTGGACAGGGGGTGCCGTGACCAACATCCACCAAATACCGGAGGTTGTCAATTTTGACAAGGTTCACAAGGTGACTCCTGCGGAGATGATTCAGCCACGCCAACAATGAAACGGAGTAAGCATCAAGAATGCAGAGGAACCTTGCGGTAAGAAACATACCATCCTATCCATGCTCCATTTTTGCCATCTGTCGTAGGCCGGCTAACCCTACCCGCAGCATACATGGAGTCAAATCCTAGACTTCGAAGAACAGCCCCGAAGAAATTGTTATTCTCCATGCAATATCCTCCACGGCCACGAACGACAACCTTCTCGAACAAGTCGTTGAGATCCAATGATAGAACCTTTTGTACCGAGTAGTGGAGTGAAAGATTCTCGAATGGCACTCGCTCTAACTGCCGCTTTTGTAGCTCAGCCAACAATTCGAGTGGATCTTTTGGGTGTACATCTCGAGGAAACCCGATATGGTCGAGATACCTATCTATCTGTTCCTTGTTGTACATCGTGGCTGGGACCCAGGAGTATGACGGTTTGAAAAGACAGGTGAGTTAAAGGAAAGCAAAAGGAATCAAGTTTGTCGTTTAACGGATGAGTGTCGAAATAAGTCATGAGTACAAATCTTAGTCTCTAGTCATTGTGCTGGAGCAGTGCCCACTACAACATTGACTAATCCAGTGTAATAAGGAACCCATTTTCCCGATACCTTGTCCAGCTCAGGGCCCGTACTTAAGGCAGCCGATAATACACATGACAGTATGAAATGCGCGTGCTTAGTAAAATTCCCATTATTCCTGTTCTAACCATCTAACCTACGGAAGGGTTGCCAGGTGCATTATCCGCCTGACTCGGCAAATATTGTCGGAAGCGGAACTTCCGATCCAGGATGCACTTCCGACTTCCGAAAACATCACGGAATCATCCTATCAGATTGACGGCTTCAACTTGTCTCTCAACTTATCGCGCCTTATTAGCGCGACTCATGCACTACCTACCTAGTTATTGTCGTAGGTAGGTACGTATCCAGCACAGTTCTTGTTCTCTCCACACTAGGTAGGGTAGTGGTTCTATTCATGAGCTGTGAGGCAGGACACGGCCTGGCATGCTTGTGAGGAGTAACTTTATCATATTTATGCTACCTAAACTACTCGGAGTCCTTGAAGGCACCAAGCTTAAACAGCTTCTTGGCATTGTCCTTGCCAATTTTCTTCACATCGTCTCCTCCTAATTTCACCTCATCGTACCAGTCGCATGCGTCACCGAATGACTCAAAGGGGTAATCAATGGAGAAGAGGATGCGATCAGCTCCGATCTCGGTGATGCAGTACTCGAGGGTCGGTGTGGAAAAGTGCCCACTAGTGGTGATCCAAATGTTCTGGGCAAAGTAGTCTCGGATTGTCTTTTTGCATGAGAGACCCAGGGGTTTCTTGACGTCCTCGAACCAGTGGTTGATCCTCCACAGATCAAACGGAATATGCTCTCCCAAGTGGCCGATGATGATCTGGAGCTTCGGGTGTCGGTCAAAGACACCATTGGTAACCATGCCGAGGAGGTGCAGACTAACACCCTGAGCGAAGCTGAGGGGGGGTCCAATAAGCCACTTCCTCTTGGCCCACAGCTTGTCATGGATTGAGCCGGTGGGGTTCCTGGGGTGAAGATAGAAGGGAACATCTAATTCGGTCACCTTGGCCCAAAAGACATCCCATTCAGGGCCGTCGTAGAAGATCATATCGTCTCCGTCATGGCCCGCGCGCTGGGTGTCGTTGACAAGAGCTCCTTTGAAGCCCAGCTGGGTCACACAACGCTCAAGCTCGGCCGCGGCCTCAGACGGGTCATGCATTGACAGGGTACTAGGGGAGAAATGAATTAGCGAACTGCATGAGATTCCGGGTCTCCGACGTGCAAGTGTCACTCACGCAAAGGCACCAAGGCGATCCGGGTGTGGCTTGATGGCTCCGGCAACATAGTCATTGACCTCGACAGCCAGCTCCTGGGCCTCCTTGGGATCCCACACATCCTGGACTCCGGGTGCTGTATAGGACAAGATGGTGTATCCGACGCCGTGCTTGTCCATGTACTCGATGCGAGTGGTGGTGATGTCGGTGATTTCGGCAGCATGCTTATCAGGGTCCACGGCAAAGAGAGAAGCCCACCACCTTGTCCTTTCCTGAAATCGGGGTAGGGCGAATGCCTCCTCCAGGGCAACTTTTCCGAACATGACGGCTGCGGTGGGGAATAGTATGTGGATGAGGATGAAGATGAGAATGAGAATGAAGATGAGGATGAGAATGAAGATGAGGATGAGGATGAAGGCGGATATGCTGACAACCCAGGTTATTGGCACGAGCCTAGGCTGGCTATAAGTAAGCATTCATCGCGGCCCTTTAGTCATGGCATCGATCCCATCTCCGATCCCATCTCCGACTGTACCTCGAGGTACGGAGTACATACCCGACAACCGTGACGTCGCAGCGTCGGTAGAGTCGAGCGAGCGGACGAATCAACAGAGACGGTCAGATCGGATGAGCATTTCGGAGTGGGGAATAACCCCTACAGTCATCGTCTGGGGTCTGGGGAATGCGGAGTGTGGAGTGCGCGAACGCCGAAAGGGAACTATCTCGGTAGTTTTGAGTAAAGGCGAGAGCGGTTCGCTATCCGTACATCCGCACATCCGCACATCCGCACGGTGCGGAAATCCATTATCGGGCACCGTCACACCCACCTGCAGAGCCGGATGACGGATGACGGCAAAATATTACTTCCAATATGACCCTAAGTTACAAAGAGCATTCTAATTCCGCTCATGACCGTACTATTATTACAAAATCGACAAGCCAGTCTCTTACGACCCGTGGGCATGTACGCTCCTCTTCATTACCCGGCCCGAGACTCCTCTTGACATACGACCCCTCCGCCTGCGGCCATGCTGCCTGTCTCGTCGTGGGAACCTCAAACGTTGGAGTAAGGATTGCAAAATTCCTCCTTCTTTTGCGGCCTCCTTCCCATTAATCGTGTGTCCTTCCATCAGCGTGTAGTTGCGAAACGCCTCAAAGTCTTCCCATACCTTGACCTGCTTGCCTGTTCTCCGTGCATCAATTAGGTCAACGATGTTAACCAAGGTGCCCTTGAGATCCCTCTTGCATTCCTGGATCGAATCACTAGCCGCGATTCCGACTTCCTGGCAAAGGGCCTGATAGCCTTGGAGCATTTCCTCGTCAGTGAGCTCGTGCTCTTCCTCGAGCTCCTGTGACTGCGAGAAGTAGTGCAGCTTCAATTCGGATCGCAGTGCAATCGTGCGTTGTCTCTGGTATTCCTGGGTGCCGCCGACCCAGTCCTGGGAGGATGCGAGGCGCGAGAATTCATCATCGAAGGACGCGTTGTTATCGGGAACAAAGTTGCCAAAGTTCTCGAAGTGGGATTGGGATGATGGGGGAGGCATATTAGCCATGTCCGCAGCTGCCATTTTGGCGAAGGAATCCTGGAGGATCGCAAGCGGACAGCTGGTCTTGAGGCGGTAACTGAAGGAATGGCCTGAAGCAAGGAAATGTGGTTGACGCAACTTCGCATGACAGGATTCTACTTGTCCTAGTCAGATTGGGGAAGCGCTCGCGTTGCTTCATGGAAGCCGCTTGCTTGAGCTTTGTAGATCAAAATAAGAAAAAAGTCCACCAACTTTGGGGCAGCGCAAGGTATTGTTGTGAGGTTAATGATGTTGTTGCAAGGAGCTGTGGAATGATTAGCTTAAGCGGACCCACTATAGGAGCTCCGCTCCCACCGCTGATAAACGGCGATGGCAGACTCCTCTGTTCTGGAGGAAAATAAGGCACCTTCATTCTCTTGACTATATGCGCTCATTGGGTAGATTGCACAGTTCGCAACAGGCGTGTATTTATGTCGTGCGTAACTAGTTGCCTACCGCCGCTTAAGCTGGCATCCTACCTCTCTCGCAAAGGAATC